GACACATGGATATTGTGTCAGTTTTGTCTTCTCAAAGAAATATTTCCCAGAGCTTTCTGCTCTGATTTAGTTTAGATCAGACGTGCTGTGGTCTTAGAATCTCCATCATCATAGGGATTTATTTTTTTCTTCTAGTTGGATCCCATTCATTCTTTCCCTTTCTTGATATGTTCATTCTGGTAGGCATATCCTCTAGTAGCTTTTTGGAAAAGGGAACATTAAGTAGTTCATTTATTGAGAACTCTGCACGTGTAAGAATGTCTATTCTACTCTCCCACAGTATTTTGGCAGAGTATTAACTTCTGTTTTTAGAACTGGGCAAAAATGTCGCAAGCACTGCTGCCTTTGCCTTCTGGCTTCCAGTGTGACTGCCAAATCCACCCCACTCTGGTTGTTGAACTTTTGTGAGGAAACTTTCTTCTTCCCAGAAATAGGAATTCTTTCACTTAATTGTTATGACATTTTGTTGTGATGTACTCTCATCCATGGTGCCGATTATTCAGCCCCTTCAGTCTCCAAATTCACACCCTTTAGATAGGGGAATCATAATTTTTGTGATATCCTTCCCTTCCTTTTCTGTGTTCCATCTTTCTGGGACTCATGTTATTTGGAAGTGGGACTTCCTATACCAGTCCCCTGATTTTTTTTCTCTTTTCTCTCTCAGTTTCTATAATTTTTGTCTTTTTGCTCTACTTTTTGGCCCTTTAGTTAACTTTACCTTCCAGCCTTTCTCCAGGTGTTCATTTCTTTGTGATATTTTTATTTTTAAAAGCATTAAGAATTTTCTCAGGTGCTGGGGATGTGGCTCAAGCGGTAGCATGCGTGCGGCCCGGGTTCGATCCTCAGCACCACATACAAACAAAGATGTTGTCCGCCGAAAACTAAAAAATAAATATTAAAAAAATTCTCTCTCTCTCTCTCTCTCTCTCTCTCTCTCTCTCTCCCTCTCCCTCTCCCTCTCCCTCTCCCTCTCCCTCTCCCCTCTCTCTTAAAAAAAAAAAAAGAATTTTCTCAGGGGCTGGGGTTTGGCTCAGTGGTAGAGCACTTGCGTAGCATGTGTGAGGCACTGGGTTCGATTCTTGGCACCACGTACAAATAATTGAAATAAAGGCCCATTGACAACTAAAGAATTTTTTTAAAAAAAGAATTTTCTCAATATATTCTCTTCAGTAATAGTCTCCTATTCTTTCATGGTTGCAATATCTAATTTTATCTAATACTGGAGGTAGTGGTTGCACATCTCTGAATATACTAAGACCCAGTGAATTATACATTTTAACAGTGAATTTTATGGTAAATTGTGAAAGTAGAATTAAAATGTCTTTAGTCTCAGTGAAAGTAGAATTAAAATGTCTTTTAAAACAATTTTATGAGGACATTAATCATTCTTTTGAAGTTTTCTTCTCCTTGCATAGTCTTCCTTTTCTTCTCATTTCTCTCTTTGTGTTTCATATTAAAGCTTTTCTCAAATGTCTCCTGGTTCTGGATTGTCCACTCACTAAAGAATGAGGACTAAGAACTTAAAATTTGGATGCTCCATATATCTGGCTTGTTGACTGGTGAACCTTGATGTCAGGTGAATTGGCTGGGCCCTTTCACTGGGAAACTCCTTTTCAGATTCTACAGGGCTGTTCCCTAGGGCTTATCAGGTTCCACAGAGAAGATTCTTCCTTCTCCTACTGAGAAGGGTATGGGACCGTGTACTAGCATTCTGAGATCCCTGAGGGGAGGTTGAGTTTTGACATATTTAGCAAGTGAGCATCAATTCCCTTATTTTCAGCATGGGGTTCTCACTTTCAGCTGTGCCTGGTATTTCTGTATTTCCTGCTTCACATTCTGGACTGCTCTCCACAGAATCAACTCCAGGCTTCTACAAGATTGGGAGAGGAATCTGCCTTTTCTTTTTTCCTAACAGAAAATTTTAAGCATAAAGTAGAAATAAGAGTAGAGTGGCTCCCATGTACCTATTAGCCAGTTTCAGCACTTACCAACTCAAGACCAATTTTATTTGATTAGAAGACTTCACCTACTAATTTCTCCCATTCAAATTATTTTGAAGCAAATCTTGACATCATATTATTTTATCCATAAATGTCATTATGTATTTCCAAAAAATAAGAACTTCTTTAAAAAAAAACCACAAAATAATAACATTCTTTCCACTCAGAAACAAAACAAAATAGCTAGTGACTTCTTAAGATCAGTATCCAGTCTTTTCTTTTTCTGTGGTGCTGAGAATGGGACCCAGGGTCTCATATACCATAGGCAAATGCTCCACCACAGAGCAACATTCCTAGCCCTTTTTTAATTTTATTTTGAGGGTCTCACTTAGTTGCCCAGGTGCCCATGATCCTCCTGCCTCAGCCTCCAGAGTAGCTGGGATTTATAACTGCTTTTTTTTTTGAGAGAGAGAGAGAGAGAATTTTAATATTTATTTTTTAGTTTTTCGCAGACACAACATCTTTATATGTGGTGCTGAGGATCAAACCTGGGCCGGACGCATGCCAGGCGAGTGCGCTACCTTTTGAGCCACATCCCCAGCCCTATGACTGCTTTTTAAAATGAGCTTTGATTAATCATTTCCATCTTCTGTAGTACCTATTCTACCAAATCTTAAGCTTCTGGAGTCTTGCAGTATAAAGCAGTTTGTTTCTCAGATTACCCACTCCCAGTATAGGATCCCACTTTCTTGGGTCAGACAACTTGGTATTACCCATCTGTCTATTTCTCAGCTTCCAAAATTTTGTAGCTATTGCATTATCGCCTATTTTCTTTGTCCTTGTGCTTTCAAAAAATAGGAAATCCATTTATAATATTGTCTTAATGGGACTTTGTGGGGAAACAGAATATTTTTTTATTTTAAGTATATTTGTTAAGTATGACTTTTTTTAATACATGGTTGGTTGGCTGGCTGTTCCTCTGAAACTCTGAGGGATGGGGTGGACATTCCTTCTTAGAGCTGCCTAATCCATTTTATATACTGAAAAAAAACAAGTCCAGCTTTTCCCTCTAACTTCTATTTGATGAAGTTAATTTCAACCACTACTTTCCCACCTTCCCATAATAGCTCATCATATTTAAAGAGAAGGATTCTGTTACTTCCTACTATTTCTTCTCCATTGCAAAGAGTCCATGGTCCAGGGAAATAACTCAGTAGTAGAGTGCTTGACTAGTGTATGTGAAGCCCTGGGTTGATCCTCAGCAATACCAAGAAAGAGGTACAAAGGCAGGGAAAAAGAAGAGAAAGAGAAAGGAAAAGAAAATGAAGACAAAATGAATGTTGATATTTAAGATTCCATGGAGGGGTGGGGGATGTGGCTCAGTTGATAAAGTGCTTGCCTGGCATGCACAAGTCCCTAGGTTCAATCCCTAGCACCATCAAAAAAAAAAAAAAAAAAAAAAAAGATTCCATGGAGCTGGTCCCCACAGGCTATAATTTCTGGTCTCCTCATTTCATTTCTTTGGGTATATAACTTCACTCAGCTTTCCCAGTTAGTTCTAATCAGAGGAGAACAAGATCTCTCCTTTGGAACATTTTAACTTGATTAGTGTAGTCTTTGAACCTGTTAACTTTTTGGATACTCTGTGTCAAGTTGATTAGAGACAAAAAGAATGCTGCCATCTTTATTTTGCACATCACTTCTAAGCTCTCTGTCCCCCATCTTGCACTCATGCTCATGGTTTTTGGGCTCAAGCACAGGAATTTGCATTTGTTCCTATTAAACATTGTATTGTTCAGAGATCTGTGTTGGGATGGAAATAGAACTACTGTGTCATGAAACCTCAATAGGATATTTCCATATTTTATAGAGCAGTGAAATAAGGAAAAGGTTTAAGGAAGAAAAAGGCTTACTTGGACCAGTAACTCCAGAGTATTTCATGGTAATGAGGTTTGGGAGTACAAGTATCACAACAGGATAGAAGCCACAATGAGGCAGGAACTGAGATCCAGGTAGAGGGTGTAGCTGTTCCAAGAGAAAGGTCTTGTAGGATATGAGAGGGAATGAGGTCAGGGTTACCAGAGGCTGCCTATTAGAAAGGACGAAGGGAACACTGTACTGCAAATGGCTTTCACTGTATTGAATTCTGTTCACGTGTCCATTATGAAAGTAGCTGTCTGTGAGTTTGGCAATTTTTATTGCATTTTTCAGATCAAGAAACTGAAAAAGAAGGGGAAAAAAAAAAAAAAAAGAATGCCCAAAGACAGTTTTTATTTTTATTTTGGTATGGAGATTGAATCCAAGGGCTCTTAACCACTGAGCCACATCCCTAGCCCTTTGTATTTTTTATTTTGAGACAGTGTATTGCTGAATTGCTTAGGGTCACCCTAAGTTGCTCAGGCTGTCCTCAAACTTGTGATCCTCCTGCCTGAGCTTCTCAAGTCTCTAGGATTACAGGCATGTGTCACTGCCCCATGCTCCAAAGAGTTTTGTTTTGTTTTGGTACTGGGGATTGAACCCAGAGGCAATGATAAAGTGGGTTAAATCCCCAGACCTTTTTTTTTTTTTTTTTGTAAATTTTGAGACCAGGTCTTGCTAAGTTACTTAGGGTCTCCCTAAATTGATGAGGCTGACATTGAACTTGTGATCCTTCTGCCTTAGCTTCCTAAGTCACTGAGTATAAAGATTGTTTAAAAGAAAAATCCTAGGTAAACCTGAGGTGCTACTCTAAGCCAATTTTTCTAAGTTTTGCTTTTTGTTTGACACTATGCAGCCATTGAAAAACTTTGCAGTAGATTCTTTCTTTTCAAATTATTTGGTGGGGAGGGGCATCTCCTTGGAGGAGAGATGAGATGAGATAAGATGGCAAAAATGGCATGTATGTGTATACTGGTAATGTGTCCTACAAAGCATAGTGAGGGTTATGATTCTGAATGTATTTGTTCTTTGCATGATATATAGAGACTCTTCTCCCTACAACCAAAACAATAAAACAAAATAAAAAATCATTGGTCTTGAGAATTATAAAAAAAATTAAAAATTGAAACAGTGCAGATTTTTTTGCATCCTTGTTTTATAGGCCTTTGCCCAGTTTGATGCTGAGGGTGATGGTACTGTTGATGCTGAGAACATGTTGGAGGCCCTCAAGAATTCCAGTGGAGCTAATCTTCAGGGGGAGCTAAGCCACGTCATCAGACAGCTACAAGCCTGCTCTCTTGTTCCAGGTAAGACTTTCATGGGATTTTCAAATGCTCAAAAGTGTTCTCTTAGAACCAAAATTAATTTATTGTGCTTTAAATTGAAATTAGACAATCTTGAAATTGGGCAAGCTTATTGGCACAATGAATAAAGTTCCCCCACTAGCATTCACTGGGCACATGATCTAAACTAGCATTCAGCATAGCCATCTCTTTCATCCCCCATTATAATGATGACTCCCCAGTTCTACTGTTTTTGTGAACCTTTGTCAGAAGAGTGCCTTCCTTAGTGGATCTTCTATTCACTCTTCAAGAGACTTCTCTATCCCTCCTGCATTTCTTTTCTGGAACATATTAGCATTATAATTTATTAACAAATGACACAATTATTTGTTAAATGTCTGTCTTCATTCTTGTACTATGAGCTTCATGAGGACAGGGACCTTCTCTTTTAATTCTGCTGTCCTCACATTTGACTTTTTTTTTTACACTTGGTAAGCATTTTGTTTTTGTGTGTGTTTTTAGAAAGCTATTACTTTGAAATTTAAGAATAAATAAATTAAAAGTAAGCATTGCTGCTTCTATCTTGTACATACAGAAAAACTTAGCCTATTTTTGAATGATTTTCTTTGGGAGCTCTGACTCATGTAAAGACAGAATCAGAAAAAAAAAAAAAAAACTAAAGAGAAAACAGTTGAGTTTCAAGGGGAAAAAAACATTGTACATCTTCCTTTTAGTTGCAGTTCATCTTATCTAAGAATTTTTCCTGCTCTGTACACTCTGTGTTAGAATACTTACTATATCGGGCTGGGGATGTGGCTCAAGCGGTAGCACGCTCGCCTGGCATGCGTGCGGCCTGGGTTCGATCCTCAGCACCACATACAAACAAAGATGTTGTGTCCGCCGAGAACTAAAAAATAAATATTAAAATTCTCTCTCTCTCTCTTAAAAAAATAGAATTCCTACTATAGGTAGGGCAGCAGTGGAGGCAAAATAGATTTGATAGACAAATGTAAACCTAGTTCTTTTGACCCCTCTGGCTTACTGCTGAGTGATGTATGAGCTAGGGAAGGATATCTGTATTTTAATGAAGAATGCATGCTTCCATTCCTCCTTAAGTTGTCTTTAGGGGCTGGGATGTGGCTCAAGCGGTAGCGCGCTCGCCTGGCATGCGTGCGGCCCGGGTTCGATCCTCAGCACCACATACAAACAAAGATGTTGTGTCCGCCAAATACTAAAAAATAAATATTAAAAAATTCTCTCTCTCTCTACCTCTATCTCTCTCACTCTCTCTTAAAAAAAAAAAAAGTTGTCTTTAATTATGTAATATTTATAGGGCATTATAGGTAGCCTGTACATATTAGCATTTTTTTCTAGTCTCGTAGCAGTTTTAAAATTATACTGTGAGCCAAGCGAGGTCACATGTGTCTATAATCCCAGTGACTCGGGAAGCTGAGGCAGGAAGATCCCAAGTTCAAAGTTACCTGAGGGATTTAGCAAGATCCTGTCTCAAAATTAAAAAAATGAAAAGGGCTGGGTATGTAGCTCAGTGGCAAAGCAATTCCCAGCACCAAAAAATAAGTAAACAAATAAATTATACTTGGAGTTGCATTTGGCTGATATATATTTTAGCATTTACATATTACTGTCATCTTTGCATCGTTTTGCAAGATCTTTATGTGGATACTTTAGTAAGATTTTTCTGGAGAAGAGAAAGGGAGTATGCACCAGGGAATCTATCAATAGTTAGTACCTATTGCACTGTTGTGCTGATGCCTGGGGCCAGGGGCAAAAGAGGGTAGAGAAAAATTCAGAGTCCAGATCCCAAGATGCTTACACAGTAGGTACATGACTTAGGACTTTCTACTAAAAGATTTCCATCAACACTCAACTTAAAAGAATTGCATTATCACCATCTTAGGACAAACCTTTGTAAGCTGAAGTCACCTCTGTACTGGCATCTCACAGTTTTCTAATTCCTCTCTCTAATATCCTCCTATACTAAGACTAGTTCCTTTTGTATCCCATTGTAGTGGTGCGTTTTACTAAATTCATTGAACCAATTCATTCATTTACTTAATATTTCAACATCTGAACACATTTCCCCGTCATTCCGGAAGGTTGTTTTAATGTTTTTGTGGTTGTCGTTTTGTTTTGTTTTATTCTGGAATTGAACCTAAGGGTGTTTTATCACTGAGCTGCATCCCAACCCTTTTTATTTTTTATTTTGAGACAGGATCTCACTAAGTTGCTGAGGCAGATCTTGAACTTGTGATCCTCCTGCTTCAGCCTCACAGATTACAGGAACTATAGTTGTGCTCCACCACACTCAGCCAGTATGTTTTTTGTTGTGGGTTCTGAGCAACTCAGTGCAGCATCAGCAGTGTTATGAATATGAGGCCTGGGTCCTCCTGTGGGTGGGGAGAGATTAGCTGGACTTTTTGAGTTTTCATAAATCAGTTGTCTCTAGGCATTGGGGATATAGTTTGCACATAGTTGAACTAGGCTATTTCAAGTGTAAAATTTATCCTCAGCTTCATGCTTCATCTTAAAAATTAATACAGAGTTTCATTCTGCTTTAATGAATCTGTTTCTTATACTATTGAAGACAGCTTCCTCTAGAGACTTCTGGAGTTTTGTTTTGTTTTTCCTTGTATTGGGGATTGAACACAGGCCCTCAGACATGCTAGGCGAGCACTGTACCATTGAGCTACATCCTCAGCCCTCTGGACTCTTGATCTGGGGTTGCTTACATGGGTATTTTCAATTTGTGAAAACTCTTGAACTATACAATTATTTGTACTTTTTGTTATGTGTGTTACGTGATTCATTGGAAGGTTAAAACCCCAAACCAAAACTAAACCAAGCAAAAAAACCTTCCCCAATCCACAAATATATCTGATCTCCAGGAAAAAAAACTATCATGTTTATCCTCCCTTCACTTAACCCTAGCACTCCTAGGTTATGAGCCAGTTTGTTTGAAGTGTGTTAATATAGGTTATGGAACCAGGGAAAGATTTTAAACAGAGGTATATATGGTCTGTTTTGTGTCTTATAAGATTACCTGGAATGATGTTACATGGGAGGCAGCCAGGGAGCCACTTATCACATCTGTTTAGGGCATTTGAGGAGGAGGTGTTGAGGGCAGAGGGTGAACAGAGGGGCAAATTCAGAGGAGTCACACTGGGGAGAAAGACTAGATGTTGGAAGGAGCATCTAAGGGAGTGTGAGGAAATGTTCCCCATTCTGTTCCTTTCTTTTCTTTCTTTTTTTCTTTTTCTTTTTTTGATACTGGGGATTGAACCCACAAATGTTCCTCCTCTGAACTACATACCCAGCCCTTTTTATTTTATTTTATTTTATTTTAAGACAGGGTCTCATTAAATTTTCCAGGCTGGTCTCAAACTTGTCCTCCTGCCTCAGCCTCCCAAGTAGCTGGAATTACAGGTGTGCACCACTGTGCCCAACTTTATTTTACCCTTTTCTTGTTGACATATTGTTATGTTACTTGAGCTTCATTTCGTCAGTTGTAACCAAGGATACCTTTACCTTCCCTGTCTATACCTTGTGAAGACTGAATGAGGTTATGCATGCAAGTACCTTCTATGTTGTGAAACATCATCAGAGGTCATGGTAATGGCAGTAGTTGTATTGTAACGTAATATAAAACCAGCTGTGTTTTTACTCTATAATGCAATAAATTCTATTCCTAGCCTATATCCTATATCTTTAAAAATCTCTATTTAAGGGTTGGAGATTAGTTTAGTCACAGAGCACATGCAAGGCCCTGAGTTCAGTCCTCAGCCCTGAGAAAACCTAAGGAAACAAAAATCTCGGGCTGGGGACATGGCTCAGTGGGTAGAATGCTTACCTCACATGCACAAGGCCCTGGGTTCAATCCCCAGCACCACCAAAAAAAAAAAAAAAAAAAAAAAATCTCTAGTTAATATTTACTTGCTTATACATTTTTAACACTTGAATTAAAACAAATAATCATTGTTCTACATCTTCTGAAAGTCTATCCAACAAAAATGAAAATAATTCTTAAACTGAGATTGCCAATGGTTCGTTTCTTTAAAACTTATTTAGATTTTTAAATGATTAAGGCTGAAAATATCAATGAAGGCTGTTAATAACTGCTTTTAGTTCAGCCAATTCAGATGGGCCACCAGACAGGGAGTGTGGAAACTATTGTAGTAGCTTCCCCAAAACACCAAAAATGTATTTTATCTCTTTAGGTTTTATAGACATATTTTCAGAGTCAAAAGAAGGCCTTGGTGTTCACTCATCAATGATACTTCGCTTCCTGCATCGCAATCGGATCTCTAGCATGGTAATTCCCTACCCGATGTTGGACCACTGCAATAACATGTGCACCATGCGGTCTTCGGTTCTAAAGGAGTCTCTGGATCAACTGGTACAAAAAGAAAAGGGTATGTACATAAGAGATTCTCCTGACTCTATCATTGTTTCTTCTAAACCATGCATTTAATAAGATGAGCCAGTCATTGTCCCAGCCTTTATTTCTGAAAACGTAATAGAAACCAGCTTGTAGCCTTATATGATCGATCTTTCCTTCCTTCCTTCCTTCCTTCCTTCCTTCCTTCCTTCCTTCCTTCCTTCTACACAGCCAGTTTTAGTTTCTCATCGTTCATCTCTCAGTTTAGATATGACTTTAGGGATACCTTTTTTCATTACTCTAATTAATAGTCCCTGCCTCCATTTCCTCAGTTTCCACCTTCTGATTAATATTACCTTGTAGGTTTAATGACTTACATAGCACTGATTATTTGAAGTCTTAGCATTATTTGTTACCTATGTTCTGTGGGGGGTTTTTTTGTTTGTTTGTTTTTTGTACCAGAGATTGTACTCAGGGGCACTCAACCACTGAGCCACATCCCAAACCCTATTTTGTAATTTATATAGAGACAGGGCCTCACTGAGTTGCCTAGACCCTCACCTTTGCTGAGGCTGGCTTTGAACTCATGATCCTCCTGCCTTAGCCTCTCAAGCAGCTGGGATTATACACATGCACCATTGTGCCTGGCTGTTCTGTTTTGCTTTTTTTTTTTTTTTTTTTGGTTCCTTATCCTTTGTAACTGAGATTCCTCTGTCACATAGTAGAATATTTATTTAAGGAATATATATTGAATAAATGAGAGAAACTACCTCAGACTCACTTAGTGATGGTAACAGAAGTTGAGGTGTTTATAGACAGGTCTATGGCACATAATAGGGTTCAGAATAGATCCAAGTTTATGTGGAACTGTAGAACCAGATAAAATCAGCTATACAAATTAGAATGGAAAAGATGATTTGTCAACAAATAGGGTTAGGGCAACTATTTAGCCATTTGGAGAAAAAAATAAAGCTAGATTCTTATTTCATTTCACTCATTAAAATAGATTTCAGATTTATCAAAAAGTTCAACTGGAGAGAAAATAGTAAGAGTACTAGAGAGGAGCTGGGTTGTGGCTCAGTGGTAAAGTACCCCTGGGTTAAATCCCCAGAACCACCAAAACAAAACAGACAGAAAAATCTGACTCACAGTAAACACTCAAGTAAATGTTAGCTATTATATGTGTGTATATACATGATACAATGTATAAAATGCATTACTTAATAGACCAGTGACCCAGAAGAAAATGAAAGAGGAAGAACTCAGAAACATAAGTGGCTTAAAAAGCCTCACTCATAATTAAAGAAATGTAAACTCAAAGTATAAGAAACTATTTTCTGGTCTGGGGTTGTGACTCAGAGGTAGAGCGCTCACCTAGCACGTGCAAGGCGCTGGGTTCAAGCCTCAGCACCACATAAAACAAACAAACAAATAAAAAAATAAAGTAAAGGTTTAAAAAAATAGAGTTAAAAAAAAAAAAGAAACCATTTTCTTCTCTTGGCATCCTTTTGTAAATGTATCAGTGATTTGAGTATTGTACTATAATGAGATAATGGGCAATTCTTGGCCAGTGGGTTCTTTGGAAGGAGATTTTAAGGAACATTACAGTTTCTGGTGCCAAAGTGACCAAGCATTTTCTGTTAGATATTTTTTCTCTTTGTGAAAGAGATATCATGTGGTAAATTCTGATTTTCCTGCAGAAAGCCCTGGAGATCTTACCAGAAGCCCAGAGATGGATAAACTCAAATCAGTAACAAAGTGCTATGCTTATATAGAAACATCCTCCAACCCTGCTGACATCGACAAGATGACAAATGGAGAAACATCATCCTACTGGCAGTCAGATGGCAGTGCCCGTTCACACTGGATTCGGTAGGTGGCACAGCACGTTTATTTATTATTTATTTATTTATTTAGGTACCAGGAATTGGACCCAGGAGCACTGAGCTACATCCCCAGACCCTTTCTATATTTTATTAGTGACAGAATCTTGCTAAGTTTCTAAGGCTGGCTTTGAACTTCCACTCCTCCTGCCTTAGCCTCCTGAGCTGCTGGGATTACAGATGTGTGCCACTGCGCCTGGCTTATTATTTTTAAAATTTGGAATTTTTTGTACTCAATTGCCCAATTTTTTTCTTATGAGTAGATTTCTGTAAAGATGCCTCAATCAAGTATAAGGAATCGTAAAATCATGTAGCTTGGTTCACATATTCATAAACATATAGTTTCTTTATTTGATGTTTAAAAGGAAGAAGTAACATTTGACTAATATTTTATAATACTGATTTCAGATCCTTTTCAGTAGTTCTCATGAAAATTAATATTACAAAGGACAAGAACTTTTTTACATAGATATAATTGTACTTCTATACTTTTTCAAAATTCATGTATGAGTTGGTCAGTTCAGAAGAGAGTGGGATGGCCAGGAATCCTGGAGTGATGTTCTTGTCAGTAAACTGTGGAATTTCTAGAAGTTCTGAAACTGCTGTCTAAATTTTCACATTTCCCTTCAGAAAATGGGCTAATTTTAATTGGCAGGAATAGAAATAATTTTCTAATTTTCTTTTAGGGGTAGGTCACTTTTGACCTTTAACCATCTACCTAATTTAAAGATAAGGGAATATACTCAATTTAGGGAATGCAGTTTAGAATTTGCTTCTTGGCATGTAAAAGAATTTTGTTAGAATGTTCGTTGTTTATATTGTCCCTTCCTGCCTATCCTAATACTGAAAAGGAAATATAAGATTAATCTTGACCTGAAAGGCTTTTTCGAGATTTGGGAATGTCATATGGACCTTGAAACTCATAACCAGTATTTAAGTTAGTTGCTATTAGGAAAAATCAGTGTTTGGTTATATCAAATATCAGACCTTTGAAATGGGTCTTGTTTTTGACCCATATTAACATAAAGCGTTGTCTTAGCGATGAATGTGACACTAGGATTCATGGTCTGAGGGCTGTTGCTTTCAGAGAGTTAAGTCTAGGATGCTTCGGCAATATGGTATTGGTCTCTGCTGACATCTCTGGTAATGGCTTCTATGGAGACAAATCCCGCCTTTGTCCAGACACTGCTGCACAATAGTCAGTAAGTTGATCTCTGATTTCCACCCCATCAAGGTGCATTCATATAAACACTGTGATTTCTGCTTTCTGTTTTCCAGCTTAAAAATGAAGCCAGATGTTGTGCTTAGGCACCTGTCCATTGCAGTTGCTGCCACTGACCAGAGTTATATGCCACAGCAGGTGACAGTAGCTGTGGGGAGGAGTGCCGGCGATCTTCAGGAAGTTCGAGATGTGCACATCCCTAGCAATGTCACTGGCTATGTGACACTGCTGGAAAACGCCAATATCAGTCAGCTCTGTGAGTCAAACAAAACTAAGGGAATGGGGAGGAGATGAAGGGAAGTTTTATTTTTTAGCAGTAGAACCTTTGAAGTAGAAAAGCTGCTAGTTTTCTTTTGAGATTTGATTTGCTTCTCATGACACACACGTAAGTGATCATTATTTCACCTCATACGTGTTTTTAAAACTATTGAAAAACAATAGAACCTTTTCTTAGTTTAAAATATTTTATTCTTTTGTTTTATTGGAAAATTAGAAAAATATGGAAAAACAAAAGTACTCAAATCCTACTACCTAGGGATTGTCAGTATGACTACCTTGGTGAGAATCCTTCCATAACTTCTCGTGTATTTGTGTATTTATGTGCACATGTATAAACACACACACACACACATGCACACACTTTTTTTTTAAAAAAAAGCATTATATTCACATACACAATTATCTATACATATCTTTTTACAAAAATGATAATAATCTACTCAAGTTCTTTGGTATTTTTTGATGTGTTGTTGTATCATGTATTCATGAACACCTTTATTTAATGTTGTAAAAATAAGTCAATTTTAACCCACTCTTATTCTTGTACATTTATGTGTCTAACTTTATACTGTTACACCTTGCTTCACACATAGCTTTTTGGAAATAATCACAATTGTGTGATTTCTTTCCAGCCTTATTTCATTCAGGGAGCCGGAATACTTCATGTTTTGTCTCATTTCTTCTAATGCTTTCCTGGGTCAAAAGAAGTGTTCTTACTTGGCTCAGAGGAACTGAGGCCTAGGGAGGTAGTGTCTTTGTGTTTTGCCTGTAGGCAAAGAAGTAGTAAAGCTTGTGGAGTAGAAGCTTTCTGCCTTACCCCCTTTGGTGCTCTTTTCTCTAATTTGTGTCCTTTTTAACTTCTCACCTACCCCCAAACTCAAATAAGAAATTGTGACATCTCCTGAAAGTGAATCATGTCTGTGTCTTCTGTTTGGACTGGATTGCACAACTACTTATGAGCCAGCTGCTTTATAACTCAATCCAGATTTCAAACTCTAGGAAGAGTTCTGGAAAGTTCTCACCAAGTGTTCAGTCAGGATTTATAATGCTCTTTGTGAAGCATTATAACTTTTCAGAACTCATAAGTTCCTAAGAAGTTCTATGATAAGCCACCCTTAATTTTACAAATTACTCTTTAAATTTCTTGGATTCATCAATGTTTTGTGATAGGTTTATTATGTACTAGTTCCATTGTGCACATTTATTTCTGTCATCAAAGTATGTCTTCAGAATTTTCTTTTCAAAACATCAATTACCGTTTTGCTTTTAGTTGAGAGCCTAGCATTTACTGAACTAAACAAGTCAATCCAATACTGAATTTGTTGTTTGTGCTTGACAGATGTCCAGATTAACATAAAGCGTTGTCTTAGCGATGGATGTGACACTAGGATTCATGGTCTGAGGGCTGTTGGCTTTCAGAGAGTTAAGAAGTCTGGGGTCTCAGTCTCAGATGCTTCGGCAATATGGTATTGGTCTCTGCTGACATCTCTGGTAACGGCTTCTATGGAGACAAATCCCGCCTTTGTCCAGACAGTGCTGCACAATACTCAGTAAGTCGATCTCTGTTTTCCACCCCATCAAGGTGCACTCATTCTTCTCCACCCTTCTATGGAATGTCACTGAACAGCCTTCCATCATCAGGGCTCAGTCAATAGCTCATCCCTGGTTACCTATTGTCTTCAATTTGTACCTTTCAGCTCCACATTGCTTCTTTCTTCATAGACTGTTTTATTTTGTTGCTGTCCTGGGGATTGAACCCAGGCCTCATTGTGCATGCTGGGCAAGCACTCTACTGCTGAATTACATCACCAGCGCTGACTTCACAGACTTTGAAGAAGCATCCATTCTACTTTCCTGTTTCTCCTTACACAGTTACTCCAGTGTCTTTATCAGCTCACTGAGTACCTCAGTCTTAGGAGGTCACTTGTGCTGTGCCTGTTTCTTAGCTACTGGGGAACATTTGCACGCACACATACACAAAAGACTCATGGAATCTTATTAACTGGGTTATAATTAGCCACAGGTTTGGTGCTTAGATTGTCCCACATTTGGCCAGTGGCAACCCCTTCAATCTAGCTAATATCCTCATTTTAAGAATACTTCCTTACTGTTGTGTGTCTCTGACTCTCTCTCTCTCTCTCTCTCTCTCTCTCTCTCTCTCGTGCATGTATGCATGTCAGTGTGTGTGTGTTGTGGGGAAGATGGGGTGTTACTCTGTAGCCTACGCTGGTTTTAAACTCTTGGGGTCTAGTGATACTCCTACCTCAGCCTCCCAAATAGCTGGGACTCAGGTGAACACCATTATACCCTGCTGCTGCTTTTAGCACAAGGCATTGCAGGTTTGAGTGTTCCCTCCCTTAGTCCTAGAATCAAACATTTTTCTAAGGAATCAGGGTCCTTTTTAGTGGATAATGATGCTTTTGGACAAATTCATTACTGTCAAGGTGTTACTTCTTCCATATCCTTTCAGTGGACATAGCTAGGCAGAATACATTTGTATAGGAATATTGTATAACTATTTATATCTGTATTATTTTTCTATGAAAATAAAAACTGAGTTTACACTGATATTTTCAGTTCTAACCCAGTACTACAGAATTCATTCTAGTTGTCTCCCTTTCAGGATTTGTAACTGCCTTCTCTGATAGTGACAAACCTGGCTGCCATCATCCTTCATATGTGTACTTACTTCTTCAACCTCTTTCTAGATAGTCAGAGTCCTGTTGCCCCTGTCCTTGCATAGACACACTTCTCTTCTTACTCCTGCTTAACACCTTTAGCAGGGCTGCTGCTATGGCCACCTTTTGCACAGATGCCTTTCTTGTCCTCTGTAGAGTCTGTGTGTCCCCTCTTCCCTGTATTAGGCCACCCTTCTTGCCATCATTGGTACCTGCATTCCAATTGGTCTGTTCCTTTGTGTAGATACCCGACTGTAGGCCACCATGGCTCTCCCCACCTCTGGCACACTTGTACAGCTTGTTCAGCTCTACCAAATAGACTAGATTTTTAGGAAGGGGGAAAGAAAGAGCTTTCTACATTATTATTATTTTGAAGATGTGCCAGGTTATTGAAGAATGGAATTATCCTGCTCAGTTTTACTAGTGCATCGTCAATGACATTTTTATGCACCCCTTCAGTTTTAAAAATCAGTTATCTAAAACTTTCCTAAAATTGAAAATATATTGTGAAAAAGATCAATGAGGAAAAATAAATAAGAAAAAGTATATTTGGAACATAAGTGTTTACTTTTATCAGTGGAAATAAACTCAGCAAATGATCACATGCTACTTGTATGCCTTAGATCTCATTGATGAGCTGTACCTGAGTGTAGCTGCCATACAGCCCAAACACAGCTTATCAGGTGGACAAGAAGGAAATCAGAGCAGAGGGGAAATTGACATAGTGTTAGCTTTGCTGTATCTTGAAATGCAAAAATAAAAATGTTTCAGGGACTCATTATTATTATTGTCATAAAATGACAATTCTAGAATTTTGAGGGTTTTTTGATCCACTTGTGGTATACCTTCAAGCTTTTCATGGTATATTCACCTAGCATAGCTTCTAACATGTGGTAGGACTCATTAATCATTTGTTATATATGTTTGTTAGATGAGCTGGATGTGTTGATGCACATCTGTAGTCCCAGAGACTTAGAAGGCTAAAGCAGTAGGATCACAAGATCAAGGCTAGCCTCAGCAACTTAGTGAGGCCCCATTTCAAAATAAAAAATAAAAAGGGTTGGGAATGTAGCTCAGTGGTAGAGTGCCCCTGGGTTCAATCCCAAATTAAAAAAAAAGAAAAGTTGGCTAATAGTCCAGAGAAGACAAGTCCTTGGGGGATTCAGAAAGATAAAGCTAAACATTCAGAGGTGATGAGGAAAGAGAAACATTAAAAGAGACATGAAGGTGGAAAGGCCAAGACACACACACAGGAATAGAGAACGTGATGGTGTTGATCTGTTTAGAACACAATAAAATTCATGACACCTTTTTAGATGCCATAGATCTTAAGAGCCTATGTATAAAACAGGCTTCCTATTGAACTACACTCTGCACTTGCCTCTGAGGTCAGATTCCCTAAGAACCCCTGAATTTTCTGTAGTTTGTCTTTCGCTTACACTACTTAAAATAAATGCTGGCTTCTAGAGTACCCCATAAACTTTTCCAGAGGGAAATGATACTTTGAAAAAGAAAGAAACCCTATTACACTACTTAGCTAAATCTAATCTACTATGACTCCTAGGGATAAGGCTGGTTTATATTGTGTCTTAGGTTCTCTGTAGGCATACTGACTGTTTTATAAGGGATGAATCAGAACAACAATGTTTTTGTCTAATGCATGTTTGGCTTATTACTTTTCTAGGAAGGCACTACAGCACATGCCTCCACTTTCCCTCTCACCAGGATCTACAGATTTCTCCACTTTCCTGTCTCCCAATGTCCTGGAAGAAGTGGACAGCTTCCTCATAAGAATAACTAGGTAAAATCAAGGTTGATGAGGTAAACTCTTTGTGGGGGGTGGAGGGCATGTATGCATGTTAAGTCTTTCAAATTTTTTATTTTATTAAAAAAAATTTTTTTGGTACCAGTGATTTAACTCAAGGGTACTTAACCATTGAGCCACATCCCCAGCCCTTTTTATTGTTTATCTTTTATTTTGAGACAGGGTCTCGCTAAGTTGCTTATAGCCTCGCTAAGTTGCTTACAGCCTCCTTAAGTTGCTAAGGCTGTCTTTAAGCTGCTGGGATTACAGGTGTGTGCACCACACTCGACTAAGTCTTTCAAAATTTAAAAAGGAAATCTTTTAAAAATTACTACTGAAAATGATCTCTATCTTGTGGCTGAAGAGAAAGTGAAATAATAGTTCATCCTTAGTCCTATTGGTATCACCTGTCCTCTAGAATTATTCAGGCAGGAGGAAAAGTCCTTAGATTCATCTGGAAGAGATGTCTCAAAGTTCAAAATGTGAAACCTCTCAGTTCACTGTTATCCCCAGGCCACTGCCCTCACTCAGAGCCTGCTTACCTTTGCACAGGGCTTAGGCCTGATTCTACATAGAACGGGAAGGGGCTTCTTGGTTGTTTGAGGGAACACTTAGTGTAGGGACACTCAGCTCTGCCTCAGTGAGCTCTGGGGACATTACTGTATTAGAAGACAAACTAGACCCTGATATCTAAATAGTTTTAAATGTTTCAGTGTGATGTATTTAAAAAGGCAGTGAAATGTGAAGGGAGTAAATATAATTATTTCATGCTTCTCAAGAAACATACTCTTTAGCCAAGCCAACTCATTACCACAGGTTTCTGAATAGTAAAGGCTTATTGCAGCAGCTCATTTATTTTTGGTTTATGATTATCATTTAGTATTTATAGAGTATGATTTCAGAAATGGGAATTTAATTCCCTGGTTCCCCTGGGTTGATTTAGTTTTTCCCTAAGTTATCTTAAGGATATTAATAAAGTATTTCTGATGAATATATAGAAAGCATATGGCAGCCAGTCATGGTAGCACATTCCTGTCATCTCAGTGACTCAGGAGGCTGAGGCAGGAGGAACTCGAGTTCAAAGCCTGCTTCAGCAACTTAGTGAGGTCTTAAGCAACTTAGCCAGACCCTGTCTCAAAATAAAATGTTTTAAAAAAGAGTCAGCGATGTGGCTCAATGATTAAATGGCCCTGGGTTCAATCCCTAAGTACTAAAAAAACAAACAAAAAAAAAACAGTGAGAGATAAGAAAGAAAGCATATGGCAGATTAATTTCACTCATTGATCAATTACATGGTTTTGAGCTATCTGGGTTTCTTTATATTCTTTGGAAGTGAAGAGGTCTTTTTTGTTTTTGTTGTTGTTGTTTTTTCTGTTCTTTATAGCTGCTGTTCTACCCCAGAGGTGGAACTGACTCTTCTGGCTTTTGCACTAGCAAGAGGAAGTGTTGCCAAAGTGATGAGCTCTCTGTGTACCATCACTGACCACCTGGACACAGGGTATGATGCCTCGTCCCTCATCTCATCCATGGCATCAGTCAGACAGAACCTGCTCCTCAAATACGGTAAATGACCTAGGCATGATAGAAATGCCAGCAGTGGACAAATCCTAAAAGCATTCTCAATCTGGGCCCTCCTGGCATCTTCCTGTCTTTTGGGGGTAGTTTGTGGACTGTCTTTTGTAGTTGAACCATGATTCCTTGTGCATATCCTTCCAGTACAAGACTTCTACTATAGCTGGTAGGGAGAGGGGGAATGTTGTTTTATTTATGGTAGGGTCGGCAGAAGAGGACATTTAAGTGTATCCTGGGCTATACTCCCAAGATTTATTAGAATAGTCCCTATGTCTGGTGGCATTTGAACACAGCCATCTTTAGTGAAGTACAGGAATATCTTATTGGATAGGTTAAGAGATTTGAAAAGTTAGAGTACTTCTCATCTGGAGGGAGGAAGCTAGTCAAGACCTGGTGCAAAGGGATCCTTGGCTTAGAGTGCATCCTTCTTATTCCCACACAGCTTCTTAGAATTATATTTGTACATAGTTGCCACAACTTTCCCTTCCTGGGCCCATTTGCAGTCCATCCTAACATAGGACCCCATACAGCTGTTCCCCAATGACTGCACCTGTCATGTGAGGAACAACTTGCTTGCCATCCTGACCTCTAGTAATAAGTTTTTGTTCACAAACTTTGGATATTAGATCCCATCCTCTTTAGTAATAGAGGCATTGCTGTGATATTTGTACCTCTGTTTTAATATGATTTCATGATTTAATTTTATGTTTAACTTCTAAAGTCATACAATTGATGTCTTTTAAATCCAATTTCCTTCTACATTTGGAGAGGTAGGGTCCTGATTCAGGCATGGCTAGGTAGGAGGTAGAGGTAGTTTCTAGAAGCTGAAGTGTTCTTCAGGAAAGCTGATGATTCAAATTAGTTGTTCTGAGAGGGGAACAGCAGATAATTAGCCAGTTATGGGTTGTGTTAGAGGTTAACAAGTATTTATTATATTACTAAAAGAAGTCAGATCACCGTAACAAAAATTGATTTTTATTAAAATTGACCTGGATATTTTGGGGGGTGTACTGGGGAATGAATAGAGGGGCACTTCACCACTGAATTACATTCCTAATCCTTTGTATTTGTTTGTTTATTTATTTTTGAGACATCTCCTAGAGATGTTTTGAAGAAATAAAACCTAAAACATTGTTTATATATTTAAAATACAATACCAGTAAAACTGATTATTAGCTTCAAAATGATATTTTAGGACTCCACCTCCTACAAAGTATGTTGAATCTGTAGTATTAATCTATGTTATAATATGCTTTGTTTCTGAAACAGTGATTATTTTTAGAGACCTCTCTTCAGAATCACTCAGGGACATAGCTCTACTTTTTTCTTTTAGAAAAGCACAGAGGAATAATGTCCACTTTTGCCTAATATCATGCTTTACAATCAGTAACTTTGCTGAATGTGGTGGCGCATGCCTATAATTCCAGCGGTTCCAGAGGCTGAGGCAGGAGGAGAGTTCAAAGCCAGCCTTGGCAACTTAGCGAGGCCTGGTCTCTAAATAAAATATAAAAAAGGGTTGGGGGGCTGGGGTTGTGGCTCAGCGATAGAGTGCTTGCCTAGCATGTGTGGGGCACTGGGTTTCATCTTCAACACACATAAAAATAAAATAAAAGTAATGTGTCCAACTGTAACTAAAAATATTTTAAAAAGAGTTGGGGATGTGGCTTAGAGGTTAAGTGCCCCTGGGTTCAATCCCTGGTGCAAAAATAAATAAATAAATAACTTATTAATGGTGTGGGTAACTATAGGCCTGCATTTCCACTCACAATGCCCACTAGTTTACATTTTTTCATAGACCTAACTTAAGGCTTGCCTTCTCTTTTGTTTGGCAGGTAAACCTCTCCAGTTGACTCTTCAGGCTTGTGATGTCAAAGGAAAAGAAGACAAGTCAGGACCTGAAAACCTACTTGTGGAACCGTGGACAAGGGATGGTGAGCAGTGGGTGGGACAATTGCTATTGTGCTCAGAAGGCAGCTGTGTGAAGTCATACTCTGGTCTTTGACATTTTCAGGCATGCAGTCTTTACCTCAGCCTGTTGGCAATAGTTGCTGAACTATTTGTGTTAGTAATCTATATCGGTATTAATAACCTATAAGAATTTACAAGTATTTGAAAGTCTGAGAGCTCTTCGAAACTCAACTTTTTTTTTTTAAATAGCTTTTTTTTTTTGAGAGAGAGAGAGAGAATTTTTAATATTTATTTTTTAGTTTTCAGTGGACAGAACATCTTTGTTTGTATGTGGTGCTGAGGATCGAACCCAGGCTGCACGCATGCCAGGCAAGCGTGCTACCACTTGAGCCACATCCCCAGCCCAAAACTCAAGTTTTGAAAAGCAAATTCTCCTCTTACAACAGAAAGTTATTGCTTTTCTCTGTTTTTTAGTTTGGATTGTCCTTCTGTTGTATTATAACAGTGTTAAGAAATTCAGTAGATCAGTAGCACCACACTGCTGAAAACACAGCTAAAAGGGGTATTTCCCCCAATGCAGCTGATTTGGCATTTGATTACCTAGGAGGAAGCGTCACTCATCCCTAGTATCAACTTAATGATTCCTAATGGGCATTTCATTTTGCTGGTGGTTCTTTTGCATATCCAGGGGGTGTTTGTGAGTCTGTTCCTCATCCATCTTGGTGGCCACCAGCTCAGTGCCATATATGTGTCACTTTTCTACTTACGGTACCTTTTTGAATCTCGCTGATTTTTAAAAGAAGGGTATAGAACATAGGAAGGCATGGCTTGTTGCCTTGAATTGGTTTCCCTTTGGCTTTCCTCACGGCACTGCTGTCTTCATTCATACATTCTCAGTGTTGCCTCTTCTCTTTCCTGTTTCCTGTGTTCATTCTTAGCACCAATGAAGTACAGACCCCTGGGAAAACATGCCTTCCCTGTTATACCTCCTCTTCTCAGTACCTCCTCTTAAGCATTATACTTGCACAAGATGGTTTCCCTAGTTTTCCCTTAGCAGTTCAACCTCTGCAGGAAAATTTCCTTCATTGCATCCATGTCCAGCCACTTTCTAGGTCTGTTGAGTCACCTGCCATCTAAAGCCAATGAGGTTGGGAGGAGGTAGAGACAGCTCTTTGCACTTTTCTACTACCTTACACAGGAAATGTAAGACTTCTTTGCCAAAGACCCTTTGCATTTTCCTTCATTCTGAAAAATTGGAATTTTTGCCTCTGGAGCATGTGGAACCAAATTATCTGACACCAGATTGAGGATTTGATGTTGTTGTTTACTGGGGATTGATCCCAGGGGTACTTTACCACTGAGCTACACTCCCAGCCCTCTTATATTCATTTATTTATGTATTTTTCCTTTTATATTTTGAGATATGGTCTCACTAAGTTACCTAGGCTGGCCTCCAACTTGGGATCCTCCTGCCTACTAAGCAGCTAGGATTGATTACAGGCACATGCTACCATTCCCAGCCCAGAGTGTAGATTTTTAACACTTTTAAGTTGGAAAAACCTACACTAGTTTTTCCTACACCTGAAAGTTGCATTTGCTAGCTCTTGGTGGTGTCTGATTTTAATACTTTGTTATTTTTCTCTGTGTCTGACATGGACCTATCTCTCCTTCCTATCTTCCACCCGCTTGGATGAGTGAATTTTAAAATCTTGCTGTAGCTGATAGCTTTGTTACTTTTGTTGTGATTCTGTGTGGATGGGTGAGGGAGAAGCCCTCAGTTCCTCCTGGGCTTCTCATTACAACTCCCTATGTTGTAACTCAGGTTACCTGTGGGTCTCTTGCTCTGCTATAAGAAAAGGATTCTAGAGACAAGAGCAAAGTCCTTACAAACAGAACTGCTGGGTTTGGAAGAACAGATTTTTTTTCCCCCTTACAGGATGAAAGTTCTGTTCACTGGTCTACCTCAGGTTCTACCACTTCAGGGATGTGCCATTTGTGGACAAGTGCCACTGTAGTACCCAAGAAGGCCAGAGAACGAATGCCAACATTCCAGAAAGTTAACACTCCTGAAAGCCACTGCCACTTGGTCTGGTATTTTAAAGAAAAACTAGAGCCTAATATGATGACACACACCAGTTACACCAGGATTTAACCAAGCTTCTTGGGAGCCTGAGGCAGAAGAATCCAAAGTTCCAGGGCAGCCTCAGCAACTTAGTGAGGCCCCTACCTCAAAAAATAAATAAAAACTTTAAAATGTAAACATAAAGGTTTATTTAGAAATGAAAGGAAAACTGGCTAGTAGGAACTGAAGTGGAAGATATTAATCCTTTATTTATTTATTTATTTGGTACTGGGGATTGAACACAGGGGCTCTCAACCACTGACCACACCCCAGCCCTTTTTATGTTCTTTATTTTGAGACAGGGTCTTGCTAAGTTGTTTAGAGCCTTGCTAAGTTGCTGAGACTGACTGAACTTACAATCCTCCTACTTCTGCCTCCCGAGTTGCTGAGATTATAGGCATGCACTCTGCCCAGCTTAAGTCCTTTAAATCCATGGTTGATTAATTTTTTTCCCTGTCATTTGAGAGAGTAAATTTGACAAGTAGGGGTAGGGTGTCAAATGATCATAGATATAAAATATCACAACTAAACTTCCAAGCTGGTTTTTTTACCCAGAAAAGGAAACACAAGGTTTCATTTTTTAAGGTGTGTCTCCCACTTTAAAAATAACTTAAATGTGAGCTGGAGTGTAGTTCAGTGGTAGAGCACTTGCCTAATATGCATGAGGTCAAGAATTCAATCCCCAGCATCGCCAAAAAGACAAAAAAAAAAAAAACAACCCAAACCAAAGTTTAAATGTGTACCTGGTGACAGTGTTATATAAAAAATATTGTCTTTCCAATTCTGTTGCTTTAAATTATTATTGCTTCTACAACTTTGAGACTAACTTAAATGGCTGATTAAGCACTTAACTTCTAGGTAGTATTTTAGTCTTCACAGTAGACTCCTTTTTAAAAATTATCTATTTATTTTCTTTTGCAATAAATACTTTCAAATAGAGTCATCCAGACCTCTGGGAAAGATTTTAATTCAATAATTAGGATAATTTTTGGTATTGCTGTTAGGAGAGTTTATGCAAAAAATTTCTGCCACTATGCCTTCTTAAAATTGTCTACAGAACTACTGTTTGGTAGAACTAAATCATAGCATCTGTCTATGAATTAGTACAGGTTCCTTCAGATTTCATTTTCATTAAATTTGGTGACAAATTTTGCACATTGTTCTATGGAGATTCAGGCTCATAAATTTTTATTTTACTGAATTGAGTATAATGAAATAAGAAGCATGAAATTGGTTTCAGTCTTTTCATCTTGACAGGGAAAATGGTTGAGGACAAGTCAGGGTTCCAGGAAGAATGGTCATTTAATGCTGATGTGACCATATGCTTGCCTTATGTATAAAGATGTTTGAAAGGGAAAGGTAACTGTGAGTCTAGCAGAAGACCTTTTTGTGAGTTGTTAAAGGATAATTAGCGACAAAGGTAAATCATGACTGCTGTGCAAATGGAAACAAACATGACATATTTTTTATTAATGGAGAATTCATAAAATACACACAGACCAGTAAGAATACTGAAATTAATTTACAGTTAGATTCAAAATTGCTTAGTTCCATAAGGAATAATCAGTTTCATTTCCACAGAACACAATTTTTATTTCCAACAGGAATCATTTGCATTGCCATCAATATCCTACAACCCAAAGAATTATAGAATAGCTTAGAGACAATAAAAGATGGATTTAACCAAAGAACGTGTTAGACAGGACACCCAGTGATTCTTTTTTGTCCATTTCAGTGTCTTTTACAATCTTTCCCCCACAGTCTTCTGAAATTAATCCCTCTCTCAACCTCTAAGCCTACTTGCATTGATCAGCCCAGTCAAACATCAGTTATGGTTTTAGGTATGATTTAGGAAGATGATTGAGTGTGCAGTCTTTTGCCTCTGAATTAAACTCACTATCTCTATAAACCTTTTTTTTTTTTTTTTTTAATCGTTACTTCAGAGTAGAGCTGCCTACATGTAAGGTTGAAGAGTTGTGCTCTGAGGAAGAGTAGTACCTGGCTGGTGCTCTGCTTACTTAGGGCTTTGTCAGGGAAGTTGCATCTGTCCAAAGGTGAAACCTTTACTCATTTTTATGATGGTACCAGATAGACTAGTTACCTCCTTGTTTTTGTGATCTTAGTTCTTAGGGTTATAAAAATGCGCAGTCATCCTAACTGTACATTTTTTTTTTCTTTCAGGTTTTCTTACAGAGACTGGAAAAACCAGAGCAAGTACTATTTTTTCTGCAGGAACTGAGTCTGCCTTCCAAGTTACACAAATCAGAATCATGGTAATTGTCCTACTAACTTCTTTAAGCAATGTTACTACTTATTTTTTTTTTTTAAGTAATAGGATTACATTTTAGAAGGCCATATTGTTACTGTTTCATTGGGTATATAGTGATTATTGACCTTTGTCAGGCCTATAGCAGAGAGTAAGGACACAAAGATGGATAGATTAGTGAAATCTGTGAATGGTATGACTTTAAGGATTGAAAAAGAACACTTCTTGAGATGCCGCTTTCTCACTTTTCTATGGCTTAATAAGTCTGAGTATCATTTCATTGGTTTGATTTTGTGTTAGAGGTTTGAATTTAACCATATTAATTGGAAACGAAACGGCCATAGAATTTTTTTTTTTTTTTGTACTGTGTATTGAACCCAGGAGCATTCTACCACTGAGCTTCTTTTTGTCCATTTCAGTGTCTTTTACAGTCTTTCCTCACAGTGTTCTAGAAACTAATCCCTTTCTCAGCCTCTAAACCTGCTTGACTTGATCAAACATCAGTCAAGGTTTTAGGTATGACTCAGAAAGATGGTCAGTTGTGTGATATTTTCTCTCTTCAAATTAAAAATCACAATTTCTATAAACATTTTATTTTATTTATTTTTTATTGTTACCTTAGAGCTAAATTGCTGAGATTGGCCTTGAACTTGAGATCCTCCTACCTCAGTTTCCTGGGTTGAAGAGATTACATGTGTGTGTCGCTGCACCCAGCTAGCTGTAGAACTTTTACCACTTTGATGTTCTCCATTCTGATCTCTGTTTTCAGGTTCGACGTGGCGGCATTGGTGCCCAGTGTGGCCTGGTTTTTGCCTATAACTCACCTTCTGATAAATTTCATGCAGAGGAACACTTTAAGCGGTTTGAAAAATATGACAAATGGAAGCTTCAGGAGCTCAGGCAATTTGTAAAAAGCAGGTAAGGAGCAGATCAAAAATCTGTATACTTGATAAAAATGTACTTATTCTCTAATTGGTGAAATATGCTTTCTTGTTTTTATAGAAAAGTACCACTACTATTTCATGGGTTTTGACAATTTTATACATACATTTATTCACTATCCAGTTAAGACATAGCACATTTCAATCATCCCCCAAAAGTTCACTGTCACTTCCCAATCAAGTACCCTCCACATCTAAGGCAATCATCATTGTGATTCCTATCACTGTAGATTTATTTTGCCTATTCTAGACTGTTATATAAATGGAATCATTGAGTGTATATCCTTTCATGTCTGCCTTCTTTTACTCAATGTGATTTTAATTTTCATCTATGTCATCATTCATCTTTTTTATTGTTAGGTTATATTCGATTATGTGAATATACCACAATTTGTTTATCAGTCTTCCTGTTCATTTAAATTTGGATTACATATAATTTGAAGCATTATTAATAAAGCTGTCAAGTGTTTTTTTATAACCAGTAGAGGGGAAAAAAAAAGAAAAAGTACCACTAACCCACCACAGTGGATAACATTGACTGCATATGTAGAAATGTGTGTTAATTTGTTTGCTGCTTCCTACTCTGTTCTTTTTATGAGCAGGGTCACACATCTTCAGAATGTCTGGAGAATAATACATTCCTGAATTAGGGGAAAGTACCTGGACACTGGGAAATTTACCCTTATGGAGAGGGTGATGGGGAGTAGAGCAGGGAGGAGAGTGAAGCATGTAATGGAGGAGTTTCAAAGAAGAAAAATTAGATAGTATGTTTTAGAAGAACTACTTTGGCTTGTGTTATGTGCAGCATGGATGGAGGAAAGCAATCACAAAGGCAGGTGGGATAGAAGGAGATTGGCACTGTTGCCCAGGAAGTCAGAGCTGGGGTGACCTTGACCAGAGTGGCAGCCACAGCACCTGTAGCAATGGAGTGAGGTGAACTGATAAAGAGACTCCTAGAATTTCAAAATAGCAGTTCCTGGGAACAGACCAATGGAGGAGCAAGAGAGAGAAGATGACTTAAGTGGCATTAGGTCTGGGGGCAGGGGCATTGGGGCTTGGGTAGCTGGGGATCTTGTTAGCATCTTTATCTGGGATAGAAAATAGCCCAGGGAGAAACAGGTTAATATAAGATGATGAGTTCAGTGTTGGCTCTGCAGAATTTGACATTCTAGGAAACCTTTGAAATGTCCAGCAGCCAGTTGAACAAACAAATTAAGAGCACAGAAAAGAAACTTAGGCTGAAGGGATACAAAAGGAAGTCATTGAAACGATAGTTTAAAATGTGGGACTAGAAGAGATCACTTTGGAATTCCAGGGTGTGAGGACTTGGAAAAGAAGAGAACGTAGAACATCATAATAAGCAAGACAAGTGGCACCAGAATATAAGGGGCAACATAGAAAAATTCCTGCAGAGAAGTAGCAGGAAAGCAGGACTGAGGTGTCCACTGTTACCCAGCAATTAATAAGATAAATACTAAAAGCAGATCTATTGATGTAGTCACAGAAGTCATTGGCAACCCTTGGGCAATGTTGCCTCCCTTATTGCTGTGAGTAAGTTAGAACTCATAGAGCAGAACTGTAGTTTCCATTTGTGTACTTGTATTTAACAGGAAATAGAATGGAGTTAATACAAGTCTTTAATTATCAAGTGCAGTGCTGCTTACACTTTAATATGCATTCAAGCCACTGAGAGATGTTGTGATAATGCAGGTTCTGATTCATTAGTTTTGGATAGAGCTTGAGACTCTTTTCTAACAAGCTCCCATGTGACCTTGATGCTAGCCATCCATATACCACACTTTGAGTAGCAAAGATCTAGAATAAATCCTTCTCTTCACTGAAATTCCTTTGTTGCCTCCCTGAAAAATGATCATTCTGCCTCCACAGAGTATTCAGTGATGGAAATCAAGGAACTTCATTGATTAGAATATGAAGCTTTCTTTTTCTTTTTTTCTTCATTACTAGGGGATCCAATCCAGGACCTCACCTAGTGCTCTACTACTGAACTATACCCATTGTCTGAAGTTCACTTTTGTAATTTCTATTAGGTGGTCTTAATTTCAGCCTTCTAAGTGAATTGGAACAATTGTGTCTCATTCCTGAAATCTCCCTTTGCTATGCACACATATTTTTGTTGTTGTTGTTGTTGCTGGGGGCGGGGGGAGTACTGGGAATTGAACCCAGGGCATTCTACTTACTAAGTAAGCACTGTATCACTGAGTCACATCTCAACCCCCACACACCTTATTTTTTGGTACCAGGGATTGAACCCAGGGGTGCTTAACCATAGAGCTGTATCCTCAGTCCTTTTTAAGTTTTAGACAAGATCTTACTAAGTTGCTTAAGGCCTCACTAGGTTGCTAAGGCTGACCTCAAACTTGGTATCCTTTTGCCTCAGCCTCCCAAGTCACTGGGATTACAGGTGTGCACCTCCACATCTGGCTCCACACATGCCTTTTTAAAAAATGCTTTGTTTTTTAATAATAACCAAAAATGACACCTAATTTGAAGCTTCTATATCCCACTCTTGGGACATATTAAAATAGTTATTTCCCCTAAATAAAACTGCTGTCAAACAAGGTCTTTCATATCTTTTTTAAATATATTCTTAGTTGTCAATGGATATTATTTATTTATTTACTTGTTTATTATGTGGTACTGAGGATTGAACTCAGGGCCTCACACATGCCAGGCAAGTGCACTACCGCTGAGCCACAACTCCAGCCCCCCCCCTTTTTTTTTTAACCTAAATACAGGCTTATTCACTATTCCCTAAATGATTTTAGTTCCTGGTTCCAGCCTGAACTACTCTTAAATCCTGATTAGTTGGCCTATATATTAACAGTTTCTTTACAGTGTGGAAATTAAAATGTTAATGTGCCCACATCTATCTTCTTGAACATTTTCTTTTCTTTGTTTGAGCATTGGTAAGGCACCGTGCTCCAGGGTCAGCTGTTTGGCTGCTATGCTTGCTTAAGCACAATAGCATTCAATTCTTGTTTCCCCTTCTTGCCTACTATGCAGTATGGTTTAGTGACTATGGTTGCTTCTCTCTTCTCTGACACTCTGCATATTCTGTATATCACAGACATTTCTTTGATAGTACCCAAAGTAAATTGTAAAATCTTCATATGTATGCTGTGGATGAAATTCATTGATGTGGTTTTGGTCTAAGAGAATTCTACCTGTTTCTTTAAGGGTTAATTGTATCACAAAAGGTTTGTGCCAAGAACCGCTTATGTTACTAGAACATTTTTTTCCCCTCTATTCCAGAATCTACTCTGGATTGTCTTTCTTCTTCTTGTCATAGTTCCCAGAGTTTGTTGCTGGTATCCATGCAGCCTGAACTATTCTGAACATATCTGTCATGTGTTCCTAGCTTGGTAACTGTATCACAGCCAGAATAGTGTAATGTTTTAGGAATGTTATTTGAAAAGACAGCCACCTTCTTCTTCTTAATTGTTTAATTCCTGAAAAGGGAGTATCATTAAAGAATGCAGTTTTTTAAGGGCTGGGGTTGTGACTCAGTGGTAGAGCGCTTGCCTTGCACATGTGAGGCCCTGAGTTGGATCCTCAACACCACATAAAAACAAACAAACAAATAAATAAATAAAGTTCGGTCCACCTGTAATTAAAAATATTTTTAAATGCAGTTTTTTAATAGATATGCATTTTTTAAATATTTATTTATTTATTTGTTTTTGAGATGGGGTCTCACTGTGTTACCCAGGCTGGTCTCAAATTTATATGCTCAAGCAATCTTCCCATCTCAGACTCCTAAGTATCTGGAACTGCAGGCACATACCACCATGTACAACTAGTACCTAGTTTTCAAAAAGAAATGGCTCACAGTTGTGTTTCTATGGCTTAAAGACTGGAATGCTTTCCTGGAAGGATTTCTTAAGGAACAGGAAAGAATTCTGAGGATTATGAAGGCTGGGGTTTTGGGGTGTTTTGTTTTATTTTGTTTTGTCGGAGCTCCAAGGTGTGAAAGTGTTCATCTAGGCTGGTCATACACATATTAACCAGACCTAGGGAAGAAAATAAATCTCTCCTTAGTTCTTTCTAGGACTGCCCTTATTTGTATCTTCCTCCTAAGAATCTCAATTAAGGCTCCTCACTTCATGTTTCATTCTTTAGATGAGCTATTTATTTAGAGAAGCACACTTTCTTCTTAGTTCCCAAATTATATTTGAGTCTGACATAGTTCCCAATTTACAGATAAGAAGTCTGAGAGATGGAGAGGCAATTACCATCACTACCTTTTGTATTCCAACAGTACCAGGTGCCACACCCAGTCCCTAATTGGTCACTGACAGGCTTTCTATACAAGCTAAATGCCACCAGGTGATGCCTCACTTGACAAACACTAGAGAAGTTTAGAAATAGAAAAATGTTTTGTGATTACCCTTGTGTTCACAGGATTGGTTGCTCATCTGATGACCTGGGAGAGGATGATCCTATTGGCTGGTTTGAGCTGGAAGAAGAGTGGGATGAAGCAGATGTCAAATTGCAGCAGTGCAGAGTTGCCAAAGTAAGCATAAGTATGGCCTTCATATGTTTGCCTGCTGCCCTGCTTTTATTTTGTATACATTGTACTGCTTGTTTACCAGCCCTGTGCCAACACTGAACCTCAGAGAAGGATTGACCTCAAGGAGTTTCTAGTCTAGTGAAAGAGAGAGATGTGATATGGGCTGTGATAAAGGGAAATTCAGAGTGCTTTTGCAGCCCAGATGCAGAATATTCTACCCAGCCTGCAATTCACCCAGGAAGGCTTCCCAGGAATTGTGATATGATGCCAAGTTTTAGAAATTGACTAGCCTTCATCTTTAGCCAGGCTAAGATATGTAGAGTAGGCATCTCAGACTGTGAGAGCAGTAAGTCTATGTATAAATGCAGAGATATGTTTTTCCATGGCTGCAAAAGAAGCAATGACCATCTGGCTGCTTAATTTTTTTTTTAACCTCAAGCATAAATCTTACACGTAAGAGAATTCAGAACTATCTTTAGGACTTACACAAATCAGATGCTCAGTAGATATTTATGCAGTTAAGTAGTAGATTATAACTTAAACTCTAAGAAGCAGGTTGATTATACAAAAGTTGGACTTTGAAAATAGCCTAGCTTTGAGCAGATAAGACTGTTTCCTGGGCTTCCAGCACATGAGTTGCATGTATCAGTTGGGGACTTGGACACAGTTCCTCAGGGCATTGAAGGCATGTGTGTTTTCATCACATATCTGATTTTTGTTTTTAAGTGACCATACTAAATGGCAAATATACTTCTCTTATTCTGTTTTTGCCTTGAAGAGGGCTATTTCTCTTAGGATGATCTTTACCAAAACCTGACTTAATTCTGCATTTGTACTATCTGTTTTTCTGTTTGTTATAGATACTGGACGTAGATTTTGTATCCGAACTAGTGGGCATGATGGTATCTAATAAATTATTAAAATCTGGAACCTCCCCACAAAACTCTTTTCCCCACTTTTATTGTATTTAGGGATTCTGAGTCCTCTTGAAATCTCTTTTTCCCCTTCTAGTATTTGATGGTGAAGTTCCTCTGCACCCGTCAGGAGTCGGCAGAGCGCTTGGGAGTGCAAGGCTTGAGCATCAGTGGGTACCTCCGGCCTGCAAGAGCAGAGGCAGAGCAAAACATCCTCTGTGCCCACTGCAGAAAGGACACAGAGAGTGTCTGTGGGGCCACCCTGCTCCTCAGGACTCTTCAGTTCATCCAGCAACTCGCCCATGACCTGGTAGGCTTTCCTTAGTTGTTACACCACATTTCTTTAGGAAAAACAAATGACAGTGTTAAAAGAAATGAACACCAACCAGTAAACCTGGGTCTACTTATACCATGGCAGTATGAATGTGTATAACAGACATCATGCTTCTGTAATGACATTGAAGGGCCAAGGAAAGTGGAATATTGGGCACTTATGGCATTAGCCAGTGAAAGACTAAGTGGCATGTGGCCATTGTTGTGATCTCTCTTCAAATAGACCTGCAAACACTGCTTAAAGTTCTCTAGCCATAGGACTGGGTGTGTAGCTCAGTGATAGAATGTCTGCTTAGTATGCATAAGACCCTAGGATCCACCTCCAGCACTACAAAACAATAAAATTAAAAAATAAAGGGTCCCCAGCAATGGTTGCCCAGGGGAGGAAGGTAAAGTAAATTCATGAGGCTTATGTCTTTTTTAAGTCTTAAGATAATTATTATTGAAGTTTAGGTGAATTTTATTTATTTACTAAAATGTCAGGATTTAAAATCATTTGTGGGTTTGATACCAACTTTTATATCCACTAATAAAACCCAATGACAATTTATTCAATGGAAGATTACTATAAACATTACCATGGAGTACACATCTCATCTCAGGAATCCAGTGGAGCCCTCTCATGGGTGTATACAACAGTGTCTGCTCCTGGCTTTCATTTTCCTCAGGACAGTTAGAGGCTGGTGACTCAGTGTACATATATGACTAGTTTGGTTTCTGTCATCTAAGAGCTCATATTGCAACAGAAAAGAGCAAATTAGAGGGAGAGACCTAGGAATAGCAGGTGGATTTACAACAGAAGTTCAGTCCATGTGCAGGAAAGGGTCAGACAGGTCCTGAACATTAATCACCATCAGGTAAAGACTGTGCTGCGTTATGAAGTTAGGAGACTTTTGCAGATGTGTGTATGGTGTGTGTGTTAAGAGGGTTATGTGTATATATACATTTATATATATGTATGTACATACATATATATAAATATGTGTGAATGTACAATACATATAAATTTATACAATATATATAAATTGTACATACACATACATATTTTAGAAAACTTTATACCAGAAATAGTTCCTGACAAACATTTAGTAGTTAAGAGTGTCAGTTATATGAGAATTTCACTCATGTGAAGCCACCTCACTCCTTAACAATGAGTTAACAAAGGCATTACAATATTGCTGTAAATGCATTTTTTTAATTTTGCTTTTTCTGGTCTTTATGATTTTTTTAGGTACAGCAGAAGGAAAGTGGCCTAAAATATAAATCTTTTCTGGACTTTACGGGTCTTGATTTGCAGATCTTCTGGAATTTTTACAGTAAACTAAAGCAAAAGTAGGTCAGAATTTGTTATGATAATCACAAACAAAAGTGAAAACATTGAGTTTTGCAATTCTGAATGGACAGTTCTTTTTTTTTTAACTTTCTACTCGTATATATTATTCTGATTTGAAAGATTTGGTTATTATTGGAAAAAAAATACCTTAAATTTTGATGAAATACTTTAAGAAGTGCTTTCACAGATGTTTTCTTACTTGATTAACTTCACAACTTTTAGGATAAGCAGGTCGAATATTTTAGTAGTACATGTTGAGCATCCCTAATCTGAGAATCTGAAACATGCTCCAAAAATCTGAAACTTTTTATGTACCACAAGTAGAAAATTCCATACCTGACCTCACGTGATGAACTGCAGTCAAAACACGGGTACACTAAAAATTAACCAACAACTACAGATACACTGAAAATACTGTATGAAGATGTCTTCAGACTATTTGTATAAGGTGTATATGAAACATTAATGTATTTCATGTTTAGACTCGGATCCCACCAACAAATATCTCATGTGTGTACATATATTCCAAGATCAGAAAAAGTTCAAAATCTGAAACATTGTGTTCCCAAGTTACTCATCCTCATTATACAGATGAAATGGCAGGATCAGAAATGAATTTCCTTCTCAGTGGAGGGCAGCGTCAGATGAGGCCTGCGTTTCAGACTCCTAGTACAGTATTCTTGCTGTTCTGCCCTTCCTCTTGCTTGGCATTCTTTTTTGTTAAGCCTATTATCCAGAGGCGAGTCCTCTGTAGACCGCTGTATGGCTTTGGAGGGTGAAGGCAACTTGCTCTTTTGCTCTCTGATGTTTTTTGTCCTTCTGCAGCCCAAGGGAAGAGTGCATATGTGCCCAAACCTTGCTGCTGCGCCTCCTCCAGAGTTGCTTCTCAGTGCTGCAGGGAGAGGCACTGGCTGCCTCTGGGGAAGAAAAGCCTCCAACCCAGCGCCCTGAGGGAGTGGAGGCTGCCAAGGAGCTCTACATACACTTATGTGATGGTAAGGATTTGGGGAATTCCCTGAATACAACCCTGCGCTGGCCTCTTGCTGGCATGGGGAGGTTCCTGTGTTCATGCAAACCAGAAAGGGATTGCTGTGGTGGGTTTCTTTGAATTACCATTTCAAGTTCCAAATTTATTTCTTTATCAACTGACTTCTCTTCCTACCATTTTCTCCTGTATCACAGTGAGCATAATTACTGTTACATTATTCAGTTTTGAGCTCTTTTTTTGGGGGGGGTGGGTACCAGGGGTTGAACCCAGAGGTGCTTAACCACTGAGCCACATCCCCAGCCCATTTTATTTTTTATTTGAAGAGAGTATCTCACTAAGTTGTTCATGGCCTGGCTAAATTGCTGAAGCTGGCTTTGAACTTGTGATCCTCCTGCCTCAGCCTCCCAAGCCACAGGATTACAGGCATACACCACCACACCCAGCCATACTATTCAGTCTTAACCTCAATCAAGGCTGAGGTGAAGAGATTACAGTGACAAATTGAAGATGAAACGAGACAATCTGACAGTATTTTTAAGGTTTTTCCAGGTTATATCTCAAAAGAACAGAGAAATAAGAACTGACATATATCGTCTTTGTTTTAGCTAAATGTTAACAAAAAAATAATATTCTTATACTGCCTAACCTGTACAAAAGCAATTCTTGTTCTGATATTAACTATAAAACGGAGAGTTTTGTTCACCAGTTTTTAGCGGTATGTATTGTAAGTGAATAGATGGAACATATTAAAGTTGATTCCATTGTTCATTTTTATTAGTGGTAGATAGGGTGGATGGAGATTCCATGCCCATGGAGATATTAAAACAAGAGGTCAGGAACACCCTTCTCAATGGAGCTGCCATCTTCTTTCCTGATCGACAGACCCGACGGAACCATCTCTTCACCATGATGGTAATTATTATCTGAAAGGACAGTTCCCATTCCTGAAGTCTATTAGGATGAGATCTATTAATCTTTGTTCTCTCTGAATATATTGTCAGTTTTAATTTCCCAATTGTGGGGGACACACAGATATCAAAGGACAAGGACAGTATTTCATCTGTGTTTCACAAGTGTTATCTCACAAAGTCACAATTTAGTCTCCATCTTTATGACTTGCCTTCAATAAAATTTTGTTTTATTTTTATTTCCCAATTATGGGAAAGTTTAAAATGAATACCAAAGTTGACTAAATAGTACAATAACTCCTATCAGCCCCAAATGTACTAATCATCTAGCTTCAACATTGATGAACTTGGGCTAATTTTATTTCATGTATAAAATGCTTCACCTACTCTTTTCCCCACAATCCAGTATCATTTTGAGGTAAATCCCTGTTGTATTTTATTCAAACTATTTCAATATAGATCTGTAAAGAAAATATGACCAAGTTTTGATCTTCAGCTGGTTTTCTTCTCCCTCCTAGACCCCTTCTCCATGTTTTTCAGACTTCATACCAGGAATGAAAGATGCTTTCAGTATTTATAAGCATTATTTTACCAAATGGAGTATCCTATACAAAAATCTGTTTCACTTCTTTGCTGGAAGCATTCACCAGGTGGCTGAGCAAATGATTTTTTTTTTTTTTTCTCACACGTCTCACATGATAAGTAGAAAGAGAACATATGATCTCTAGAATGACATTGGTGTCTGTTAGCAATGCAGTCTTGTCTCTTTTGCCTTGCCCATCCCTTCAGACAGCAGCAATGAGGATTGTTTTTTTACCTTCTCATGCTGATGAATTGAATAGCACTGCTGACTTTTCACCATTCTAAATAGTTCTTTCTTTAGGTAATTATGTTTATTGTGACCTTATCTTAGCTCCCCACTGTGCTGTGCCAGGCAGGGCCCTGGGCTTAAATTCTCTGGAAATCCCTTGTCAGTGCCTTATATTGAAGAAAGTGTTCAGTACATTTATTTAAGAAAAAATAAAATTCCCCCAAAGTAGCCTGGTAGTCCCACCAGAAGGTCTATCTATTTCCTATTACTGACAGCATAGACTGTAAACGTACAAGACAAAGGAAAAGCTTTGATCCTGATTAAATACAGAAAGCTCATGAGAATTGCACTGTCTTTGCCTTTTGCTCTGGGGATGGCATTCCCAATGATAAAGAGTATATATCCCCTGGAGGTCCATTGTCTGAACATTTGTATCAGGCTTTTCTACAGGAAGGCTTACAGATGTTACCTTTGGCAGGGAACCAAAGTCACCTGCCATCTTTTGTGTGGATGGTTGGTTCTGCTGCTTCTTAGCACTGGACCAGGTTTTAGGTGGTTACTGTAATATGGTCCAGGCCCTGCTCTCCTCATACTATGGACCAGTGGGTGGTGGTATTTCATGCTTTTATAGGTCTTTGGAATGTCATGGGATAGATTTTTTTTGAATGTACACTTTCTGGTTTTGTAGAAGAATGTCACTGAGCAAGAGCACAAGCAGTCCCTGCAGCTCACTTTCCGTTCACTATGCACATATTTTAGGTAAGATCATACTTCAATTGTCAAATATTTCAGATCTCTGCAAAGTCATTTTCTTTAGCTATCCCCTCCTTCCATGTCATTTGGAGTAGTACTTTTCCTGCCCTACTAGAAAGCTCAATTTCTGGAGTGAATTATTACTAGGAACAAGGACGATTAAAATACTGGTTGAATTATAGCCTTGTCAAGAGCTTAGTCCAAGTTCCAATCATTATAAAATGAGTTAGAGTTGAACCTGCTGAAGGCTTCTTTGAGTTCTTCATTTTCTAAATAAGTTTTAAAGACAAAAACTAAAAAAGCCAAAGAAGTTGGGGTTCTGTACTCAAGTGTACAAACCCAATTACATTAAAACCAACTGTAAAAGCACAGAATTGTAGTTCACAGAAGAAAGGTTCCAGGAGGGGAGGCTTGGAGATTTGTAGTGTTTTGATTATCAAAGAAACGCAGCCCACAGGACCATTAGCTTCTTTGTTAATCAAAACACTACAAATATATATCTATAGATATATAAAATTTAGTTGTACATGGACAGGTACCTTTATTATTTATTTATCTTATTGAGGATTGAACTCAGTGCTTCACATGTGCTAGGCAAGCACTCATCCACTGAGCTATAGCCCCAGCCCCCAGGTATAGACTCTTGATGGAGGAAGAAAGCTAATAGCTCAAACACCTGCCTGCAAGTCAGACTGAGCCTGGTACGGATGCCTGACTTACAAGGCTAGCTATATAAAATGTTTCCAGAATCAAATAGCAAGGATGATGGAAGAGCCTGGGGCCATTATCTGAACAACATTTGAAGTAGGGAATCATTAGCCTGGATTGTCCAGTTAGCATTCATGAGGTCAGTATTTCTTTTTGGTGGCCAAGGTGATTTACTCATTAGACATATTCCTTAGGATCTTTTCTAAGGCCTGGAGGATTTCTGAGTCTGTGCTTACAGAAGGGTATGTGGACAGATAGTGGCACAGTCTTAGCTGGAATCATGGTTTATCTTCCTGATGCAGACTCTTTCCGTCCCATAGAACTGATACTGAAATCTTTCTGGGATTTTTTAAGACAGAAAACATGAAAATCCCCTTCTTGAAACCAGATATGGTGACTAATTTGTGTATTTTCAGTGATAAGGATCCAGGCGGCCTTCTACTTTTACCTGAGAAAAGTGACCTGGCTGACATGAACATCAGTGAAGTCCTGGCAGTCATGAACACCCTCCTCTCTGTTGCTGCTCGAGAGGTATCTCATGGCTTCCTCTCTCTCTTCTTTGCCTTGTGCTTTTAGGAACACATGATATGGTAGTCGCTATGCCTGTCCTTTAGCCCTTATCTACAGTATGACTTGATGATTACACATGAACACAGAGGTTTCCCAGCTAACCCCTATGAACAAGTAAGGGGACCTTTCCTTTCCTGTCCCCTGGTAGTCAGCAAGGAGTAAAAGCACAGATGTGCTTATTAAGACTTCTGTGAGGGGCTGGGGATGTGGCTCAAGCGGTAGCGTGCTTGCCTAGCATGTGTGTGGCTCAGGTTCAGTCCTCAGCACCACATACAACAAAGATGTTGTGTCCGCCGAAAACCAAAAATAAATAAATAAATATTAAAATTCTCTCTCTCTTAAAAAAAAAAAAAAAAAAAAAAGAAGGGCAAAATTCATTGATGAGTTTATTTAAAAAAAAAAAAAGACTTCTGTGAAAAAAGAGGAATGGATTTGTAATCAAGGACCCTGATACTATCAGTGGTCAGCCCAACACGTAGTTATATATTTGTGATGTGAATTTTGTGGAAAACTGTTTTGACATTTAAAAAAAAACTGATTACTTAGTAAATTTGAAGACTAATCAAATCTGAAAATGTAGTCTCTTTTTCCCATATTAATGATATTTTTTAAACTTTGTACTTCTTTTTTTCATATGAAAGGTTTTGCTTCTCAAAATGTAGTTCATGCTCTTAATGATGGGAAGCACCAGGAATAGTGAAAAAAATAATAATTTCCAGGTCCTACCCCAAGCTACTGATTTGGAATGTCTAAAGATAGGTTTAAGAATGTGCATTTTTACCAAGCACTCCCAAGAGATTTGGAAAAGAGAGAAATGCTTTCCTAGGAGCCAAGAACTACCTCATAGGGCTAAATATAGGAACCAGAGAGAAGAGGTGTTATGGTAGGACAGTCCACACCATACCCTTGAGATATTTAATGATATGGATGTCAAGGCAACTTATCTGTTTCTTGTAACTGAACTTAGTGTCTTTAAATCTTTTATATTTTTGATAGTGCTTTACTGTTCTCAAGTTGCTGTTAGAGCCATGATTTTATTCATTCCTCACAGGCTGGAGCAATAGGCCAGTGAATAGTTATCTCCCTCCCACCACCACCAGTTCACTTATGGTGTCCTTAGAGAGCTTATAATCTGACTAGATTATCTGCCACAGTCACACTGATGCTGACTGTTATTTAGGCCTATTATTGCTTTAAATCCAGGGTTGGGATTTCACTATGGTGCCTATTTTCTTTAAGCTAACATTAATTCTTTATACCTGATTGGTTCTCTGTTTTCCACTGTCACATTAATTTTCTCTTATTTTCATTGTGCTTTCTGTCTTATTTCCAGACTCTTCTGCCTACCTCTTGTTTTCCTTCAAATTCTCATTCCAGCCTATTGCTCATCCTTACTTGTTCTCTGCTCTGATTTGCCATTCTCATCTCTATCTTTATTTTTACCATTTCCCACACCTTCTCTTTCTCTTGGAAGCTCACCTAAATTATACCTGTTACACAAACCCTTGAAACTTTATCTTAGCTCTTACCCTAACCAGTTCTTCCACTAAAGTCATATCATCAGTTCCATTGGGCAAAAAACCTCAGGGTTCCCACCTGGTATTCATAGATGCTGCTGAAACTTAGGCCATTGGACTCTAAGTCTTATCCTCTTTCCACTAAGCCACACTTGCTTTAAGATATATGTGGGGAAGCAAGGTGGCATTTGTCCAAGAGAATTTCCTCTAACTATTACCATATGGAGATCAAATACTTGTCCTTTTTTCTCCTCCACTCATCTGTGATACAGAGGTTACAGATATTATTGGACCTCATAGGCCAGAGATCACTGTAGCCATTAACAGAATTCCTTGAATTATCATTCATGGAGGCATTTATGGTTATGTTAAAGAGGTAGAATTAGTTTAGAGGAAAAATGTAAAGGTGATCCAAAGTATACCTAGCATGAAATTTTTCTGCTAAGTCTGTTAACTCAACGGTATCGCTGAATACCTGCTATGTATGAGACCCTGTTCTAGGCACAGCAGATACAGTGATGGCAGAGCCCAGTCTTGAGATCAGACAAATGTGTGATTAGACAATTCTGACCACATGGCAAGAACTGTCAGAAGGTGGGTATGGGGTCCTTGGGGGAGTCAGGGATTCATACCTCACCATGTCTGGTAGAGCTGAGAAAAGGCATTTTCGAGAAGATGGTGCTAAAGCTCTGCACAAGACCATGAATAAGGCTTAAGCAAGCAAAGAAGAACAGAATGGCACTGTAGATGGAGGGACTGGCACACACAGAAGCTTGTGACAAGGTGGGGAGGAGCAGGTGTTCAAAGAGCAGGAGTGATAATGGGTGGACGCTAAGCATGCTTAGTTCATAGTTCTGCCAGTGTTCAGATGTTGATACTGGTTGCACTCAGGGTAGTAGTCAGTGCTGGAGATTGTAATCAGTAAAAAACAAATGATAGTTGAAGTCTTAAATAGAGATAGTATCATGTCATCCATGTGTTTCTTGAGGCAATCTTACAGAGAAGGGGTAGAGTCTCAGGAAGAAATTCAGGAGAAACAGAAGCTTGGGGAGGAGACAGAGCTTCATAGGGGATAGAGGTCAAAGAGTCTCTGAGGTTCAGTGGGAAGGATTTGCTCGCGAGGTGGTAAATGGTGTCTGAGGGGAGTGGTATCCACAGAAGCAGCAGAGTGGGAGGGAAGGGGAAAGCAAAGCCTCAGAAGATAGAGGCAACTTCTAAAAATGAGGTAGATATATATGAGTATATATGACAAGGTGCCGTGGCCCACACCTATAATCCCAGCTATGTGGAGGCTGAGGTAGGAGGATCACAAGTTCAAGGCAAGCCTTAGCTTAACAAGACCCTTTCTCATAATAAGAAATAAAGATGAGTTAGGGTGAAGCTCAGTGATAGAGCACCCCTGGGTTCAATCTCCAGGACCCTCACATGCACATACACACACTCATGAAAGAGTGTGTGTGTGTGTGTGTACAGATGGCTTACAGAAACAACTCTCATTTAAGTATTAGAACATTACTAGTATCTTTGAAATCCCGTCCCCCCATCCCCATGTCTTTTCATGGCTCACCTTCCACTTTCCTCAACAGCTACAGCCACCATTCTGAAGTTTGTGTTCATCATTCCTTATTTTTCTTTTTCTTTGTAGTTATCCATACCCAATGTGTTTATTTTTCCTGATTTTGTCCTTTAACAGAATCATATGTGTACAATCTTTTTGTGGCATGTTTTGAGATTCATTCATGTTGATATATGTGTTGTCATATACTTTCCCTGGTGTGCAGTATTCCCTCCATAAACATGTCACACTTTTTTTTATCCATTTTTACTTTGGAGGGATTGTTGGGTTAGTTCCAGCTTGAGCCCGTGACAGTGCCAATACAAGCATACCTCATGATATTTATGTGTAAGAGTTTATCTCTAAAGGTCGGGTGATACTTCAAAGAAACTCCCAATAACAAAGATGGTGGTTAGAGAGCCATGGAAATATGAAGATTTATTTTAAGGTGAGAAAAATTTAACTGAAAGCTCACGAGAAGGAGCCAAAGAGAAAAGAAATTTCAAGATGTAAAACAGGGAAGAAATAAGCAGTGGGGTGGGTTCCTGAGCTGTGGAAGGAAATATCCCGTGGAGCAGAAAACATTGCTGTAAAGTTTCTGAAAATTGCAGGGCAAGAGAGGAGTTTTCATAATGCCATCTTTCTTGTTCACTTCTGGGTTGAAAACTCTTCTGAGACTATTCCCCATACAGGTAGTATTTTTTTTTTTTTTTTTTTTGCTAGTAATAGCTGCTCCCATAGAGGGCCCTTGGCTGTATTCTTTGAGTAGCCTGCTTGGGACATTTTGTATTTGTCTGCTTCCTTGTAGTGTGAGCTGTTGATGCTCAGTGGGACCCAAGGGGAGGCTGGCTCTGTGCTCCTCTCCCTCTTCTGGTCTGTCCAAGGCAGCCTGCTCTCCTGGTGCTATCTGCAGCTAAAGGCAACTGACACAGCAGCCAAAGGCCTGGCCGTGGACCTTATCGAAAAATGTGAGTGTTGATATTAAATACACAAGAGCAGGTGTCTGGATTTAACTCTGCACAAAAACTTTCTCTTTTGTAACTCACACAGAGATGTACACTGGTTCTTTTTTTTTTTTTCACTAGGTTCTTTATTAGAGTTCAGATCTATGCTGGGTGCAGTGATGCACACCTATAATCCCAGCTACTTGGGAAGCTAAGCCAGGAGAATTACAAGTTTGAAGCCAGCTTCAGAAATTTGGCAAGACCCTCAGCACCTTAGTGAGACCCTGTCTCAAGATTAGAAATAAAAGGGGCTGGGGATGTTGCTCGGTGGTAGAACTCTACTGGATTCAATCCCCAGTGCCACAAGAACAAAAAACACAAAATAAAACCAAAAAACTGAATAGGGTAACTTTTGCCCTCTTAAAATAGAATTCTATAGTATGTCTTTTTGCTCAGAATTTCCTATTTGAATGTGGTATATGTCTTAGTATTTTTTTTTGAGGAATTGGGTCATTCCATAACCTGACATTCTCTCTTCAGTCACACAGCACTCTTAGATGATGTCTCACTTGTCAGGATAGTCTGTCATCCATGGCTTAATCAAGTCATCTAAAAAAGAGTTTTGAGCTTTTAGCATCCAAGGTGTATGAATACTGCTGTGACCTCTGCCAGTCCTGAAGTATTCAAATTCATGTCCTGTAAACCCACAGAAAATTATATGAAACTAACAAGTTCTGAGAAATTGGGTGGGAAAAATTTGGTTTCATCAAACTTGCCCTGAGTTATGGGGAGTTCCACATCCTGGGGCTTTGGAGGAAAAGCTGTAGGATGTTCAACCCCCACATTGGGCTCTGGAGTTATGGGGAGTTGCACTTCCACAGGTTTAAATGCGAGGCTGGGTACTGTTGAATAATGAACTTGATTCTCAGTTAGGACCTGTGGCTGAGTTGAAGTTTCTTGTGTTGGAATCATTCCTTCTTGATACTTTGGAAGCAAAGTTGAGGTTTTCTGCATGGTTGGAAAAACAAATACGGGGACCGTTGGAAGAGATATAGAGAACGTTCCAATAGCTATAGGGAACGATGAAAGAGCTACAGGCTTCTTCTTCGCCCTAGAACGTTTAGTGGGTTTTGGAGTCGAGGTGAGTTCCAGGTCCAAAGGTTGAAATGTAACACTGGGTGATGTTAAATCCTGAGCTTGATTCTGACTTAGGACCTCAGTTGAAGTTTCCATCTGAGTTGTGGTTGCTTGTTGGGCTGAAGAAAATCCAAAGTTTTCAGGGAATCCTGGAGACTGGGAAGGGGCATTCGACTGGGTTGGATAAAATGTAACTTGCTGGGTGGAAACTGGCTCAACTTCTTTAGTGGCTTCTGAAGGTACAGTAACTATCAGAGCCACATGTTGAACTGTGGTTTTAGGCAAATGTGAAGACCCACTTCTGAACATTACTTCCGGATCTTGAGGTGAAAATGACATGGAATCACTGAAGGAAGCAATAGTCGGGACAAATGTGGATTCTGGAGGTTTAGTTGGGAGTGTTTCCTGGACTGGTGGAAGTTCAACACTCACGGGGGGCGTTGAGGGCAGAGATGAGCTCTCCTGCTGACTTGATAAAGATTCCTCAGGCAGCTCTTCAAGCTGACTGGGGACCTCTTGATCAATTGGAGGTTGTTCCTCCTCTAGAGGGGGGCTTGGCTGAGGTTCCAACTGCTCAGGGGACACTGAGGACTCATCTAGGGTCTCCTGTTGCGCTGAAGTTTCAACCTCACTATTCAATTCTGGAGTAGGAGACTCAGCTTGATCAGAACCTAGAGAAGAACCTGTCACATCCTCACCTTCTGGAGATTGACCTACATCGTTAGGGAGCTCTGGAGGCACAGTTGGGGCTTCAGGCTGGGATGCAGAAGGTCCTGACTCATTAGTTGGAATTGAGGGAGGAACTATAGCCTCACCATTGATCATAGAAGTTCCCACCTCTGTAGTGGGTTCAGGTGTTATAGTCATTAGTACATCTGCAGGTTCACCGGTCACACTGGGCAAGTCTAGAGATTGCACCGGTACTTCCAGCTGGCTTTCAGAAGACTGGTCCTCCCCAGGAGACTCAGAAGGCTCAGTTGGGGTCTCTTGCTCACTGAGAGAAGGTTCAGTCTCCACAGGAGGGCCCGGAGGCTGAGCTGGGGTCTCTTGCTGGGTCAGAGAAGGTTCTACCTCCTCCACATACTCTGGAGGCTGAACTGGGGCCTCCTGAACTGGAGCCTCCTGAACTGGAGCCTCTGGCTGAACTGGGGCCTCCTGAACTGGAGCCTCTGGCTGAACTGGGGCCTCCTGAACTGGAGCCTCCTGAACTGGGGCCTCTGGCTGAACTGGGGCCTCTGGCTGAACTGGGGCCTCCTGCTGGGCTAGAGAAGATTCGGCCTCCTTGGTAGGTTCCGAAGTTATGGTAATTTCCACGTCTGCAGGCCTACCTGTAACACTGGGCAAGTTATAATAATGAACTTGATCCTGACCTAGAGATGGAACTACAGGTAGAGTTGGTAGAGTTTCAGCTATATTCTCCATAGGGGACTTGGGAGCTTGAACTGGAGTCTCTTGCTCAGCTAAAGAGGGTTCAGAGAGCTCTGAAGTCTGAGCTGGAGCCTCTTTTTGGGTTGATGAAGGTTCTACTACTTCAAGACCCTCTGAAGGCTGGGTTGGGGCCTGCTCCTGGCCTGAAGGAAGGTGAATCTCTTTATCTGCCTGCGGAGTTACGGTAACCAGATCTGCAGGTTTACTTGTGACAACCGGCTGAGTGTCACTTCTTAGAGATGAAAGCTTATGATGCATTGATGCTTCACCTCCTAGAGCCTCCTGGTCCTCAGGAACTTCTTGCTGGGACGAAGAGGACTGGAGCTCCTCAGGAGTCTCTTGGGCCTCCACAGAAGGTTCAACCTGGTCAGGAGTTTCTGGAGACTCCTCTGAGTTCTCCTGGGATTCCGGAGGTAGGTTGCCAGAAGAAGCTACATCTGTACTTGGATACACATAATCATCCTGCAAGTTGTTCTGAAGCTGAAGTTTTGCAAATTGCTTTGGAGTTCCACCAACAACTTTAGCAAATCTCGGATGCTGAGCTACATCCTTCTTCAGATTCAGTGGTGAAACAATAAACTTTGCTGCTTTTGCACTCTGACTATCTAGAGGTGGAACAAGTACTTCAAATGACTGGTGATCTGTAGACTGATGCAGATTGACAGTATGAATCTTACTTTTGAGTCGAGCATTGGAACCAATTCTGGGAGCCTCTCTTTCGGAATTAGTTTGTCTTGATGCAGCAAACTGATCTTGAACAGCAAACTGATCCATCTCTGGGGCCGGCTCTCCAGGTGAAACCCTGCCCAAGAATGGAAGCAAACTGTCAGTTAACTTCCGTGGTGAGTCCAACATCTGGGAGCGAGCAGAGGACCCCAGGTCATCAAAGACTCCCAGGTCTGCCGGGGGTGTAAGCGCATGGGGCGATAAGGGTGGGAGTTCAGAGGAGAGCAGAGACCAGGGCTTGATAGGCCCTGGGTGCTCAGCGGTCAGCTGGAGAGGGTCCTGGGGCGACTCCAGAGGCTGAGCTGCCTGGACCAGCAGCCACAATGGTTGCCACGTGAGGAGAAGCCCTGGTGCCCAGAGGCGCAGCAGGGACATGACGTGCGGAGGCTTCGGGGCACAGCGACCTAGGCCAATGGGGCGCGGGGCGCGCCTGTGGGAGCCTAACCGTTATGGCAGCCCCTTGAGGCGCGCGCCTGGGAAACCTCAGTGGCCCCGCCCCACCCTTTATTCATGACACCTTGATTATGACACCTTTATTAGGCTCAACCTTTATTAGGCTCGCTCAGACCGGGAGCCTTTTCCCACAATCAACCAACCCAAGCTTCCCTTCCCCAAGCAGGGGCCACAATCGACCCCCACAGGCCCCCTCCCCTACATCGAAGCAGGATCTGGGCCCTAGATGTGGGTGGCACCAGGACTCTAGCAGCCCATTGGGTGGGGGGCGGCAGAGATTCCCAAGGAAGTCACAGGACTGAGCCTCTGGGGATATTCAGTAGTGCTAGTCCAGTTCTGGCGGCCTGAATTCTTCCTCTTCCAGGCTGAAATCCCAGAGATATTCTTCCTCCCCTTGGCTATACTGCTTCCAAGAGAAGCAAGTGACCTGTAAAACGAGGGCCAGTTAGGTTAACAGGCAGACTACACATTAAGGTTATTTATTCCAAAATGTTGCCATTTGCTCTAAACTCTCTATCCTATTTCATGTTTGATAATTAATTCATCACTCTGTTAGGCTGGGGCTACCATTGAAATCAGTGATGACTCCGAAATTTCTGTAGGAGGGGTTTTAGGCAGTGGGCAATTCAGTCTGAGAAAGGGGTGTGAATCCGTGTGGACAGCCCTTTACACTGGCATGGGAAAACATCTCCTTCCCACCTTGGCTCAGGTAGGCGTGACAACACCACTTTTTTAAAGGTGACTTTTTTTTTTTTTTTTTTTTAAGAGAGAGGAGAGAGGAGAGAGAGAGTGAGTGAGGAGAGAATTTTTTATTTAATATTTATTTTTTAGTTTTTGGCGGACACAACATCTTTGTTTGTATGTGGTGCTGAGGATCGAACCCGGGCCGCACGCATACCAGGCGAGCGCGCTACCGCTTGAGCCACATCCCCAGCCCCTAAAGGTGACTCTTGTGCACATATCTAGAGAAGGCAGGATGTTAAAGCCTGCAACTTAAATAGTTTTCTTGAAACACTACTAAGACTAGAACCCAAATGACTTTTTTTTCAGAGCCCTTATAGTAATCTGTTTTATTACTTATTACCTGACACAACCCTAGTGCATAAAGATGTGTCATCTTCTTATTCCCAGTGCCTTGCATATGGCTGAGCACATAGTAATGGTTTTCAAAGTCACCTCCTTAAGGGGTGGATCTGCTCTTATAATGGGATTTCTACAGTCAGTGTGGATTTACTTCCTTTCACATTTCACAGGAAGTGAGACTTCTTAAACTTAAGTTTCCTTAACTGGTTTTATTTAAATTGAACTAAAACTTTTACATGGAAATAACTTAAAATACTGTTTCAGAATGCAACCCACTTCCTCTGCCTTTTCAAAATAAAACACCCCACATTTTTGAAGAGAATCATATAATTGAAAATCTCCAAATTAATCCCCCCGCCCCCCGCATAAAACATATTTTTGTGCCTCCCCCAAATATCTTATACATAGTAAATAATGCCTAATCTAGAAATTACTTTGGCAACTTACTCCCTAGTTAAGGGCTTTCATATAATTGATTTACAGAAAGGTTCTTCAGCAAAATATTCTACTTGAGTATAGGGAGATGTTGAGATTTAGGTAACACACCACATTTTGGAGGCATAATAGTTCTCAAAGCTACAACACAATCAAACCTAAGGCTGTAGTTACTCTGTTGCCAAATCTCTGTGATCCTACTTGAGGGAAAATCTAAAAAGACAAGCAGCCCACTTTCTCTAACTCTGGAAAGGGAGCCTAGCTCCTCTTTTGAGTCTGTAACTACAGTAGTCCCTTGAGAGGTCTCAATTCTACTCTCTAAACTTCAAACAATGGGTCAGGAAGTCCATAAATCCCCTATAATCAAAAGCAGTTTTAGAGTTTCATTTTTCTAAGAATGATACATGATGAAATGCTGAAGTCTTTCAATAACACTGGTTTCTTTTCTTTTCTTTATGGTACCAGGGCGCTCAACCACTGAGCCATATTCCCAGCCCTTTTTTTAAAAAAAATATTTTTAGCTGTCAGTGAATCTTTATTTACTTATATGTGGTGCTGAGAAACAAACCCAGTGCCTCACACATGCTAGGAAAGTGGTCTACCACTGAGCTATAACACCAGGCCACCTAGCCCTTTTTTTAAAAAAAATTCTTTTCTTTTGAGACAGCGTCTTGCTGAGTTGCTTAAGGCCTTGCTAAGTTGCTGAGGCTGGTTTTGAAATCGTGATCCTCCTGCCTCAGCCTCCCAAGCTGCTGGGATTACACGCATGAACCCCGCACCCAGCCCACTGGTTGTTTTCAATCATGGCTACACTGACTATGGAACCCCTGAGCTTTCATCTTCACAAGGAAATAGCTAACACTTAGGAGGTATTTACATTCTCGGAGAAGGTTGTTAATGCAGCTGAACCATTATTAATCATTTTAGTGGCCTGTAACATTCATAGAGGTATGTGTAGTCTCACCTCTAATATGGGTTTGTAACTTGGTGAGTGCAGTTCATCTAAACTGCTTTTTAAGTCATATTCTCAAGCAGGAGCTACATGATGGGTAGACAAATAATTTATTTTTCCATATTTTTATTGGTGCAAAATAAAATTTCTTTGCTCTCGGGCTGGGGATGTGGCTCAAGCGGTAGCGCACTCGCCTGGCATGCGTGCGGCCCGGGTTCGATCCTCAGCACCACATACAACCAAAGATGTTGTGCCCGCCGATAACTAAAAAATAAATATTAAAAAAAATTCTCTCTTTACTGTCTGTCTCTCACTCTCTCTTTAAAAAAAAAAAATTCTTTGGGATAATAAGCATCCCATCACCTCTGGTTCAGTTCTCCCTTTGGTCCTCAGCTTCCTCATTTCTAAAGTGGGAATCACAAACAGTTTTGAATGGAAAACTGGCATGGAAATTTGGATAGAATGAGGTAAGCATGTAAAGTACAACCAACTTTGGCGCTTCAGGATCTGTAGAATCCTTTGACTGGATGGGTAACAGGGCCAGTAAACCAAGCCTCTGCTCAGTAAAGGGATTCCCTGACTCTTAGAACTCTCTAAGGACGTGCCCAGGCTGTGGGTAGGAAGAGAAGTCCTTTGAGTACAGCCTGGTCTCCTCTCTCGTCCCTCCCACCCTGGGACCCAGGCCAAACCTTCACAGTCCACGTGGCAATAGTTTTCTGAGTGACTCTGATAATTGTTGCACCAGTAGTGGCTGTTGATCTGGAAGATGCCATAGTCAGTGCTGCCATCTGCATTTTCATTTATCTTTGAGACGTTGAACTTGCTTTCCACAAAAGCCAGGCAAATCCCTTAGGATGGGGAGAAGAGAATCAGGATTTAGGGAGGACCTAGCTGAGTGCGAGAGAGATGGCATAGAAAGGAGGATAAGGATTCAGAGGAAAGGAACAAGATCTGGGAGGCTAGATGGAACTGGAGGGCTGGAAATGATCATGGGCATCTCATCTTATTCTTTGGTCCCTCCAGCCACCAATCAATATAACCAGCCATTCATTACCCTACCATCCACCCATGCTTTCTGATTTCTTGAGTATCTACTGTGTGTCAGGAAATATGCAAAGCCTAACAAGGGAAATTAACTGGGTCAACTATAGATGTTGCTTTCAAGGAAATTTTAGTATAAGAATGATAATATGTACCTTAAAAACCACAAAGCAATGTAAAAGAGAAAGTGTTGCAAGACAGTTGCACAAATTCCAGACCAAAAGGGAGATGTCCCTGCCACACAGAGACATGAAACCTTTGCACCAGCCATTTCCTGTGTCTGGAATTGTCTTCCTCTGGCATTTGGTTGATCAGATTTTCCATTTCATTAAGCACTGCTCAATGTCACTTCCTCAGAGAGTCTTTCCTTAAGTTCTCCATCCAGAACAGTCAGTGTCACCTGTCACACACCCTACTACTTTATTCTTCTTCATGCATTTATCGCTACCAGATGTAATACTGTGTGGTGTGTGTGTGTGTGTGTGTGTGTGTGTGTGTAGGGAAGCGGATTTGTTTGTATCCCTAGACTCTGAAACAGTTCTTGATATATAATAAGTGTTCAATTAATAATTTTTGCAGGAGTGTGAAATGCTGGGAAAAGCTTCCTGGCTTTGAAAAGAAGAACAGGAGACAAAGAAAGATGGCTAAAAAGCATGGCACTTACAGTCATTCAAGGAGTAACCCTCATATACTGATGTGGATGTTAAATACCCCCTTTACTCTTAGTAGAGCTGGAATTTGAACCATCGTCTCTTTGGTCCTGATTCCAACACATATTGATCCCTCAGCACCAGGAGACCTCCCTGTGCTCCAGTGGGGTAGCCGACATACCCCAGGGTCTGTTACCCACTGGGCCGGCAGGGAGCAGTTGGAGATGGCACTAGGGGGTTGTGATTCTCCAGGTGCCTTTGGCAAGACTCCTCAGTTGACCTGAAACCGACGATTGTGAAGCAGGGCAATTTCCAGGGTCAGATGCTGTTGAGAGCCACAGCCAAAGGGGCCCCAGCAAACTTCCAGCTGCCAGCAAACTTCCAGCTGCTGGCTGATGATTGGCTCACAGCGGCCCCAGCAACATCTAGCCGATTGGCTCCTCTGCGGTGATGCTCATTGGGCTGTTCCCCTGCCCTTTCAGACCACGGAGCTGCTCATTGGGGGACTTTTTTGGCTCCGCCCACGTGACCCAGCCAATCGGCCTCAAGAGCAGGAGGATTGTGGGAGGTGGAGAGAAGCTTGTGTGGGAGAGGGAGGCTTGTGGAAAGCCGGTGGTGGCAGTTGAGGCTCTGAGGGTTTTTCCTGAGAGGCTGTTTTGTTTGGCATGTGTGGTTCTAAAAATAAAGTTAGTTTCTTTTGACAAGTGGCTCCTGATTGTGCCCAGCCAGACTGCAGCATTTGGTGCCTCGCACGGGGAGCGACTGAGGGTAAGTGAAACTGCTCGCCCCTGAGGGCAGGGCGAGAGGATGGGTAGCCATTTTAAGATTCCTCTTTTATTTTGCTTCACTTTTGTTTTAAGTTGCCTGTCCCTGGAGATGAGTGAGACGGAAGAAAAACCGCTCACATCTGAGGAAAAACTATTTACGTCTGAGGAACAGATAAGGAGAAAGGACGGATGCACATGTCAGGAGGATAGAAAGGCTATAATGACTTTTTGTTGTTCCCTTTTTATTTCATTCTGTCTCGGTTTTGTTTGGCGTTATCTTGTTGGGTTGTATTATAGTAGAAATACGGGATCAGAAATTAGTAAAAAACAAACTGAAAGAGTGTTAAGTAAATTGTTAGAGGAAGGAGGCATCTCAGTAAAATCAAGAACAATCAGGGCATACGTTGATACAATACAAAAATGTAGCCCATGGCTTTTTAAGGAGGAGTTGTTAAATATATCACAATGGAACCATCATGGTGAAGATTTAAAAAGAGTAGAAAAGAAAAGCCCAGGGACTCTGCCAGTTGGCACATTGCCATTGTGGACATTCGTATCTTGTTTGCTTAGTCCAAAGCCTTCAGTTCAGACAATGGTAGAGGAAGGAGAAGACATAATGATTCAAGTAAAGGGAAGGTCTCTCAAGTTAGTCAGACAGAGGAAAAGATTCAAGTAAAAGAGAAGGCCTCTCAAGCTAGTCAGACAGAGGAAAAGATTCAAGTAAAAGAGAAGGCCTCTCAAGCTAGTCAGACAGAGAAAGAAAGTGTAAAACAGAAAAAGCCATCAGGGGGAAAGTTACAACAGGAGACTGCTACTAACACCTTTCTATCACCAGAGGGTGTAAGTGTCCAATCAACAGCACCACCTCTACAGGAGACTGCTACTAACACCTTTCTATCACCAGAGGACGTAAGTGTCCAACTAACAAGGCCACCTCCATATGCTGGGAGGTCCCCAACCCCCGCAGTTGATAGTTGGGATCCTGAGACAAGATCTCAAATATTAACGTGCCCTGTATTTGAGGCAGGAGGGCAGCGAGTTTACCAAGTTTTAAATTTCAAAACAGTGAAGCAGCTAAAAGAGGCTGTAACAACCTATGGTCCTCAAGCACCCTTCACTGTAAGCATGGTCGAATCCATTAACAACTTGAACATGACGCCAGCAGATTGGGCTAATATGTGTAAAGCTGTGCTAAATGGAGGACAATACCTGTTATGGAAGGTTGCCAATGAGGAATTTTGCAAGGAGACGGCTGGGCGAAATGCAGCAGCCGGTTATCCTCAGAGAAATCTAGATATGTTGTTAGGAAAGGGACCTTATGAGGATCAGCAGCAACAAATTGCATATGGTCCGTCCACCAAAAATTCAAATACGAGTAGATCAACTCAAATCACTTAATGACTTTCAAAAGTTATTAGGAGACATAAATTGGATAAGGCCTTATTTAGGTATACCAACAGGAGAGTTGGGACCTTTATTTGATATCCTAAAAGGTCCATCAGATCCAAATTCACCCCGAATGTTAATGCCTGAAGCAAGAAAGGCATTAAAAATCATTGAAACATATATGGAAAATATGCATTTGGATAGAATTGATATAAGTTTGCCTTTATTATTTATTGTACTACCAACAAAAAATATTCCTACAGGAGTATTTTGGCAAGAAGGTCCATTATTATGGATACATTTATCTTATTCTCCTAACACTATTCTTACTAGGTATCCTGAGGCTGTAGGACAATTAATACTCAAAGGAATAAAAGCAGCAAAGGGAGTGTTTGGAATTTCTCCCAATAAAATTATTACTCCATATACTATGAATCAAATTGATGAGTTAGCTAATGAGTTAAATACTTGGGCAATAATCATGTGCAAATCTAATGTTTCATTTGATAACCACTTACCATCTAATCCTTTATTGTCTTTTTGGTCATTGCATCCTGTAATTTTTCCAAAAATGACAAGAAAAACACCTATCATGAATGCTCCAAATATATTCACTGATGGGTCAAATAATGGTACAGCAGCAGTAGTTACCCCTGATCAAACTTTTACATTTTTAGTACCCAAACAATCAGCTCAAAAGGTAGAGCTTAATGCAGTTTTACAAGCTTTTGTGATGTTTAAAGATTCTGTATTTAATTTATTTTCTGATAGTCAGTATGTAGTTAATGCTATAGTATCTCTTGAAGATGCTGGTAGGATTTCCCCTTCTTCTACTGTTTTCTCTTTGCTTTCCACTATACAAAGTCTAATCTGGGACAGAAAAGATCCATTCTTTATAGGACATATCAGGGCACATACAGGATTGCCTGGAGCCCTTAGTTTGGGCAATGATTTAGCAGATAAAACTACACATGACATACATATTTTCTCTACACTAGAAGAAGCTATAAATTTTCATAAAAAGTTCCATGTCAATGCTAATACTTTACAAAAGCGTTTTAAAATAACTAAGGAACAAGCTAGACAAATAATAAAACAATGTCAAAATTGTGTGACCTTTTTACCACAAGTTAATCTTGGAGTCAATCCTAGAGGATTGATACCTAACCATATTTGGCAGATGGACGTCACACACTTGCCAGAATTTGGATTCCAGAGAGATTAACCAAGGTCCTGACCCAGTAATTGTCTGGAGTCGGGGGTCTGTTTGTGTGTTTCCACAGGGAGAACAGCAGCCGATTTGGATTCCAGAGAGATTAACCAAGGTCCTGACCCAGTGATTGTCTGGAGTCGGGGGTCTGTTTATGTGTTTCCACAGGGAGAACAGCAGCCGATTTGGATTCCAGAAAGATTAACTAAAGCGATTTCTACAGACCAAAAAGAAGATGATTTGGCTCAAATCCATAACAGCTGATATCCAAAACTCCAGTTTGGCTGTTCTTACATCTGCAACAGAACCAGGATGCTTTTTTCAATATCTATTTTATTATTGCCCTTTGCCATATCATGAAGTTCTATTTTGTTTTTTGAGCTCATACAGACCTAGGTTAATGTTTTGCTGATCAGTTCTATTTTTTGACTATAGAGTTTTTAAACATTGCAATGGAGATTTCACCTGTAAAAAGTTATAAGGCCTTTACTATAATGTTATGTGTTGTATGTATTATATTATGTGTGCACACTTGTGTTTTGTGTTATATGTTTGAATGTACGTATGTCCATATATCATATAAGATGAGCGCTCATGATAAAATGGATCCAAATATTTTTTTTCACGTGATTTATATGGTTTAATTTAAATTGGGTAAACAACTGTTGAGGATTGTTTTAATATGTGAACACAAAAGAAGGTTAACAGATCTGTTTGTTTACTTTAACCTTTCCTTTTCATTATATTTAATAATTCTCTTAAAGACAATGTAAATTGTTAAGAAAATTGTTTTCTTTTAGTGCCTTCTGTAATGTTACATAATTTTTTCTTTAGCCATTATTGCCAGAATTCCTATCTTCATCCCAGTGCCGGTGAAGACAATGTAAATTGTTAAGAAAATTGTTTTCTTTTAGTGCCTTCTGGAATGTTACATAATTTTTTCTTTAGCCATTATTGCCAGAATTCCTATCTTCATCCCAGTGCTGGTGAAGTCAAAGATAAAACCAATCTACAGCTTCTACAATAGCCATCACTGAACTGCTTGCAGAACTTGCCTGGACACATTGTGAGCTCACCTGTATGCATTGTGAACTATCTGTTGGTACAGCGAATTGTGGTAGTGCTGGAGTATTTCTGCTGATGGTGTCACCGGTGGTACAGTTTTTCAAAGGAGCCCTCAATTGGCTTAATGTCATGGCATTTTGCATCCTCCTCTACTAGTGATGGTCTAAAATTTGGGGGCCAACAGAGGTGAGGCAAAGAACCTCACCCCCCCACAGGTGCAAAGGCCTATCCACAAGTATGGCTGTATGCTGGACCGGTAGTCAGTGACGGGTATGATCCGATTGCAGTGGTACCAACCTAAGACAGGAGGCTGACGCCTAGAGGTCAGTTCATCCCATGACGGGTAAGGACCATATGTTGAATTGGACTACCTAACAGGCACGGTCCCTAAGCCACATGCTTGTTGTTTAAACAGAGAGGGGGAGATGTTGAGAGCCACAGCCAAAGGGGCCCCAGCAAACTTCCAGCTGCCAGCAAACTTCCAGCTGCTGGCTGATGATTGGCTCACAGCGGCCCCAGCAACATCTAGCTGATTGGCTCCTCGGCCCCAGCAACATCTAGCCGATTGGCTCCTCTGCGGTGATGCTCATTGGGCTGTTTCCCTGCCCTTTCAGACCACGGAGCTGCTCATTGGGGGACTTTTTTGGCTCTGCCCACGTGACCCAGCCAATCGGCCTCAAGAGCAGGAGGATTGTGGGAGGTGGAGAGAAGCTTGTGTGGGAGAGGGAGGCTTGTGGAAAGCCGGTGGTGGCAGTTGAGGCTCTGAGGGTTTTTCCTGAGAGGCTGTTTTGTTTGGCGTGTGTGGTTCTAAAAATAAAGTTAGTTTCTTTTGACAAGTGGCTCCTGATTGTGCCCTGATTGTGCTGATGCAATGAGTTTGTTGGGATGAACCCAACTACCATGTGTAACAATAAAGCTCTAACAAAATAATTTTATTAAAAAAGATTAAAAAGAGAAAGAATAAATCGAATACATGGCATGGAACTAAAAACTTGAAGAACAAGCATTCATAAGCATAAATATTAACTATTTTGAAAATCATTTTTCTTAAAATCTCTCTCCTACACAAAGAGATAGAATCACTTAAAAGACTTTTACACTTTGGGGGACAGTGAAGACATTTTAAATGATGGGGAAAGCACTTTCAGAGACCTAGTACCTTGACCTTCCTCCTGCATGAATCACTGCACTTGGTGCATGGAAATATAGATATCAAGGATTAAACAAGCAACCAGAGTGTCCATAATTCCCTTCTTGATACCAAAAAGGAGGGAGTAAGGGAAATATTAAATAAAAGTAAGCTTTACATGAAATGCTAAAGGAAATTGTAAATAAGGAAACGGTCTGATGGTGGGTATCTTACTTAAACTTCTTGCAAGTCCAGTGAGATTGTGGATCCCAGTCTGAATGAATGCTCAGCACCCCCTAGTGTCTGTGCAATTCATCAAATGATTTTCATCAAAAGCAAGTATTAAGCCTTGTTTCAGAACTGAATGTAGGTAGAATTTACCTCCACCCATGGAAAATTATTTGAGGGTACACCCCCTTGTTACCATACCACTAGAAGACTTCAGCAGAAGTAATGGTGAATAGTGAAGGCAACAAATGTAAGGTCAATGAGATTTAAAGGAGCTTCCTTCAACTCAGAACTTCTGCCAAAGTCCTCTGCTTCTATAAAGATTAATAAAGAATTCTCTGGCCTCATCCTCCAAAGCCCCAGAGGTTGTTATTTCACCTCTGTGACAATCATTCCTCTTCCTCTGTAAGGTCTGGAGCTTGCTACTCTTCCTGCTCTGTTTTCCAAGGCTGATTTCTAACCGATTACCTCAAATTTTATCTCTTCAGAAGGCTTTTTCTGCCCAAGGCAGTCTTCTTTGCAGGCTCCTTATAGCCTCTGGATGGTTAAAGTGGAAGATCTGTGAGTGCAGGGACCTTTTTCATTCACTACTACATACTTAGTTCTGTTTGGCAATTAAGCTCAACAAATATTTAATAAGTGAAGGATTCAAAGATTTCTTCCCCAAAGGAGTTTATTTTCCTGTTCCTACTACAATGTAAACAAAGAAATCAATCAGACATTGTGATAAATGCCATGAATAAAAAAAAAAAAACAAAACACAGGGGCTGGGGTTGTGGCTCAGTGGTAGAGCACTCGCTTCACATGTGCGAGGCCCTGGGTTCGATCCTCAGCACCCCATTAAAAATAAATCAATAAAAAATAAAGGTATTGTGTCCAACTACAACTAAAAATAAATATAAAAAACAAACAAACAAAAAAAAACCCAAAACAAAACAACAACAATAAAACCAAAACACAAAAACCAAAAAAACCTGACAACTACAAACCCTTAAATTAAGGCTGGCCCAGGGCGGTAAGTCCAGTCTCCTGTGGTTTCTGAGTCCCTTCTGTGACCTTGCCACCAGTTCTACCACTGAATACTCTTCAGAGTCAAGGGACTACAAACTCCAAGTGAGCTGAAATGCATCCTTGAAAGATCCTCTTCTCCACCAGCACCCCCAGGGCAAGAAGACCACACTAGTCAATAGTTTACCAAATATCACCCAACTCATTAACTTGTCTACTTCCTTCTACCCCAATGACGAACCCTGTTGCTTAAAGATCCAATGGGATGCTAACACCCTTTATTTTTCCTCCCAGCTCCTACAATGAACCAGAGGAGCTGCCATTCGGAAGTCTTTTGTTCTCACTTGCCAAGGTCATGTCCTCATGAAGTCATAATACCCTAGCTCATGAAACAGTACAAAAAACATAGAAAAATCTATTGGGAAAATTTTATTTATCTTTGTGTAAGGCCCCAACCATTTCTAAAAATAATCAGGATCCTATGATTAACCATTCACTGAAATCAGATGGAATTTCTCCCTTGTTAATCTCCTGCAGATGTCAAATCACAGCCAGAATTATTATGAAATGGAAGAGGCTCACCATTACCTTTAGTGTTTTGTATAAACCTTTGAGGGCCAGGGATAGGATCCAAGTTGCTTCTACAGCCTCGGAACAATAGCTATCCATGCTGGTTTGCAGAAGGTGACTGGCGATAAAGGCAAAGTGCTGGGAATATTGGCTCAATTGGGCTTGAGAGTCACTGCATTCTTGTCCTCCTCCCTTCTGGACCAGCTGGTAGTCTTTCACTGGAGAGAGAGAGAGCGGACAGGAAGAAAAAGGCAGAAAAAGTATAGTTAATGCTTCCTGTAGCCAAATCTCTTCTAGAGTATATGCCTTATTAAAAGAAGAAATGCAGAAACAATCTCCTGGGCTCAATTGTAGTCACTATATTTAAGGCCATCTTGAAGGTGAGCACAAAAATGGTACTGGGTCACCCATCTACTGAGCAAATAAGAGGGATAATTCACAATGCCAAGTGGGTCATCTTCAAAAAACAGTATGTGAGATTGTCACTTCCAAACAAGGTGGATGGAGTAAGATAATTGATTCACTCTTCCACTTAGGCAGCTAGAACAATGAGGAAAACATATGAAACAATGTTTTTCAAACATTGGGCAATAGGTAGTGCAGGATTAAGATCCCTGAGAAAAAGGATGTAAACTAGATTAGCTCCTCAGTGCACCAGAAATCTGGAGACAATTTCAAGGCTGCAGGGCAGGAAGCAGATGTCCCAGAAGAGTGGAGAAATCTCAAGGAACTGAGGAGATGGAGACTGAAGTTTAGGGAAGTCAAGGCAGCTAGAATTTATGGGGCAGAATATTAAAAAATATATATATAAAGAGAGAGAGAGAGGTGGGTAGGAGAAAGCTTTAGAGATTCAAGAGGGTTCCTCATAAGTCTTAGGCTAATATTGACCTGCATATATGTGAAAGGAAACTATCTAGGGCAAGAGAAATAAATACCAAAAAGCAGTAAGCATAACAATTTCTGAAGTTCAAACAAAGCTGGAACTATTCTGTCTTTTCACCACATAGAGTGAAGATGTCCTGGGAGAAGATAGAAAAAAACATTTGAAGGAAGGGAGGGGGTATGCTGAGGAGTGACACAGACCAAATTATATTGTTACATTTTATGCATGAATATGTAACAGATCCCATCATATGTGCAACTATATGCACTAAGAAAAAACTGTGGAGGAAAAAAAAGAATGACAGAAGACTTCATGCCAAAATTCTATGCTTGTTAGAAGACAATGAGCAACTCCTCTTTAAAGTATTCAAAGAAAACTCTCAGATGAGAAATTTTTACCCAGAAAAAATCTTTCAAAGATAAGGTAAAAATGAACATCTCTAGACAAACTAAGAGATTCTGTAGCAGCAAATCTCCACTTTAAGAAACGCTATGTGAAATTTCTCAGGCCAAAGAAAAATGATACTACATGAAAAATGGAATCTATATAAAGGAATGAAGAACACTAGAAATACTAAATATGTAACTAAACATAAGATATAATTTATATACATTTTTTGGTACCAGGGATTGAACCCAGGGGTACTTAACCATTGAACTACATCCCAGTCCCTTTTTAAAATTTTGAGACAGAGTCTTGATAAATTGCTTAGGGCCTCACTAAGTTGCTGAGGCTGGCTTTGGACTTTCGATCTTCCTGAACTACTAGGATTACAGGCATGCACCACTGCATCCACCTATTTTTTAAGTTTCTAATGTTTTTAAAGGAAAAAAATGTGACATTTATATCATGTAGAATAAAATGTGTGGCAACAATAACACAAAGAATGAGTGCAAGAAATGGAAATAAATGTTATAATATTTTTACTTTATTGGGAAATGGTATAATATTTGAAGGTAGACTATGGATGAGTTAAAATTGTACAATATAAACCTTAGAACAATCGCAACCACTAAAAATAAAAGAGAAAGAAAGAAAGAAGTAGGGCTAGAGATAGGGCTGTAGCTCAAGGGTAGGGTGCTTATGTAGTATGCACCGAAAAAAGAAAAATTGAAAAGAATATAAAGAAACAGAGTTAAAAAGCCAGTAGTGAAGATAAAATGGAATCATTAAAGAAGAATAAAGCAAGTAGGGGGTGATGGCCCATGCCTGTAATCTCAGTCTCTCGGGAGGATGAGGCAGGAGGATCACAAGTTCAAGACGAGCTTCAGGAACTTAGCAAAGCCCTAAGCAACTTAACAAGGCTGTGTCTCAAAAAATAAAAAGGGTTGGAGATGTAGCTCAGTGGTAATGTGCCCCTGGGTTCAATACCCAGTACCAAAAAATAAAAAATAAAAACTCCAAAAGGCGGCAGAAGGAAAAAAGGGAACCAAGAATAGATGAGACAAATAGAAAATAAGTAAGAAGATAGTAGATTTAAACTCAACCAACCCGATAACTTCATTAAATGTAAAATTTAAACAATTCAATTGAAAGATAGGGATCAGCCAGATGTGGTGGCACACACCTGTAAACCCAACTACTACAGAGGATGAAGTGGGAAGACTGCAAATTCGAGGCCAGCTTCAGCAACTAATTGAGACCCTGTTTCAAAAAATAAACAAATAGGGCTGGAGATGTAGCTAAGTAGTAAAGCATATTTGGGTTTAATTCCTTGGACTGGGGGGCGGGATAGGTGGAGAGACAGAGAGGGGGAGAGAGGGAGAGAAAGGCAGGCATTATCAGATTGGATTAAAAAAGAAGACCCCTTCACAATGCACTATCTATAAGAAATTCATATTATTTATTTATTTATTTTGGGGGGGCGTAGATTCTACATAAAAGTAACCATATTAAAGAGTCTGGCAATCACTGGCAGGCTGCTTAAACAAATCTCTCTTTCACTCATTGTGTTGCAAGGGCCTAGTGGAAAGGGAAAAAAACAAAAAACAAGAAACACCAAATGCTGACATTCTCCAACAGACTGAGCTGGAGAAATGAAGACCCCTTAAGATCCAGATGGCACTTGATAGTCATTTGATAAATGGCCTTCCTTCAAGTGAAACTATTATATTGCCTCCCAATTTCTCTTCACGTGTTGACTGGTCCTTAATATCATCCAAGTAATTTACCTGCCACTTGTGTTTAATACCTGTACATTTCTTTTAATGGCATCTTTAGAGCTACCATAAGTAATCCTATTTTTTAAGTGTGCACTTTTAGGAACCCAGAATATAAATACTAGATCTTCTTTTTTAGAATCATTTTGTACGTGGCATCATACAAAGCACATTGGTAGTCATTCAGAGGTAACTTCACAAAAGATGTGCAGGGGTCCTCCACAGTATTACCAATGTCACTCACCAAGATCTGCTTTCCTTCTCTACAATTATTTTTCATTTGTCATTGTTTGAACAGAAGAGAACTGCTTTCTTTTTTTTGATCTTCCCTTATGTATTAGATTTCCTTAATTTCTATCATGAAAAACTTTGATAACTTCATCATTCTCTGTAACTTCAGATGCCATTGTGCCTGTGGCTGTGACTGTGGCAGTGGCTCCACTTCTATGGCTCTGGGAGGAGAAGAAGGAGAGGCAGGCAGAGGGCTAAAAGAGTGTGGGGCATGCCAAGAGCTGTAGCCCCAAGGAGGCAGTGGGCCTGGTGGACCAAGAGATTGATTTTAAATGTCAAATCATGCATGTTTAAAGTAAAAGGACATGTCATGCAAGTGCTATTTTTTTTTTTCAAAAAAGCAGGATACCTTATACAAATATTAATGTAGATTTCGGAACAAGAACTATTATTGCCAGGAGCAGTAGCCCACGCCTGTGATCTCAGTGGCTCAGGAGGCTGAGGCAGGAGGATCGTGAGTTCAAAACCAGCCTCAGCAAAAGTGAGGCACTAAGCAACTCAGTGAGATCTTGTCTCTAAATAAAATATAAAATAGGGCTGGGGATGGGCTGAGTGGTCACATGCCCCTGAGATCAATCTCTGTACCAAACAAACAAACAACAACAAAAAAACTATCATCAAGGATAAAAAGGAACACCTCATAATGAAACGAGAATGAACAATACTTTCAACAGTCTTTTTCAGTAATTGTTAGAAAAAGTAGAAGATCAGAAAGGGTATGGAAGACTTTCATAACACTGTTATTTGACTTGATCTAAATAACATCTGTGAGACACTCCACCAACAACAAAGTACACTCATTTTCTTCAAGTGCTCATGAAGCCTTCACAAAAAAGTCAAATTTTAAACCCAAAACTAAGCTGCAATAGTCTCAGTATGCTCTCTGACTATAAAGGAATTAAACTTGAAATCAATAACAGAAAGAACTTTAAAATAATCCACAGAGCAAATAATAAATTACAAAATAGAAAATATTCTGACCTTAATGAAAATGACAGTATAACATATCAAAAATTGTGAGATATGGTTAAAACCACAAATAGAGAGAAATTCATAGCAGTAAGATGCTAGGGCAAAGAAGAAAGTTCTTTAATCAGTGATGATTTCCAATTTAAGAAGTCAGAAAAAGCAAAAAAAGATATTAAGCCCACAACAAGCATAAACAGAGAAATGAATAATGATCAGAGCAGAAATTAATAAAACAGAAAACAAGAGGGCCAGGCTCAGTGGTGCATGCCTGTAATCCCAGTGACTTGGGAGGCTGAGGCAGGAAGAACATGTGCTCAAAGCCAGCTTCAGCAACTTAGCAAGGCTCTAAGAAACTCAGTGAGATCCTGTCTCAAAATAAAAAGTAAAAAGGACTGGGGATGTGGTTCAGTTATTAAGTGCTCCTGGCAAAGAGAGGGAGGGAGGGAGGGAAGGAAGAAAGGAAAAAAAGAATGAAAGAAGGGAGGAAGGAAGGAAAAAAAGAGGAAAAAAAATCCTTTGAAAAAAAAATCAAATAATAAATGTCTGTCTAGGAAAAGATACAAATTACCAATTCAGGAATGAGAGAAGGTTTATTCCCTAGATAAATGGAGAGATATATATCATGCTTATGAATCAAAAAAACTCAGAGTTTGAAGTCAATTTTCCCAAAGCAGATCTATAGATTCTATGCAATGCCAGTCAATTACCAGCAATTTCTTTAATACAAAATGACAAGCTGATTCTAAAATTTATGTAGAAAGGCAAAAATCTAGAAGAGCCAAAGAAATTTTCCAAAAGAAGAAAAAGTTAAAGAATCAGATTTCAAGTCTTAGTAGAATAAAATAGTCAAGAGAGTGTTGTACTGATGTAAAAGACAGACATAGAGAAAAATGAAACATAATAGAATCTTATATGAATAGATATATGCATATAAGCCAATTAATTTCTAACAAAGGTACCAAGATAACTCAATAGAGAAAGGACAGTTTGCTCAACAAATGGTTGGGGAACTACTGAACATTCATTCATATGCGAAAAAAACCCTCAGATTGTGCTGGGAATGTAGCTCAGTGGTAGAGTGCTTACCTAGGATGTGTAAGGAACTGGGTTCAATCCTCAGCACCACATAAAAATAAATAAATAAATAAAATAAAGGTCCATCAACAACTACAACTAAAAAATATTCTAACAACACTGGCACTGCTTAGTGCTAAAGCTGAGGAGAAAGCTGATTACTTCAGAAGGTGAACGGAGAACATAATGGTTAGATACTCCATACTGTTTGGGGTTTGAAAATTAAGTCAAAAGAACTTAAGTTGTAATATTTTAAGTAAAACAAAATGAAAAGTCATACTGATACCAACATAATCTTCAGTGTGCAGTCACCTGGCTTTATGTTAAAATTACCCATAAGAAAACAAATGATACCTGCAAATGGTAAAATGAAATGTTCAAAACCTAAATATTTGTCCAATTGAAAAAATAGAGCTATATTCACAAAATTATAGCATGGAAAAGGGCCTTCAAAATTATGTTCTATCACATTATTTCAGAGATCAAGAAAAAGTAGCTTGGGAACTTGCTTTCTAAAGAAGTCATATGCAGGGGAAAGAACCATAATATCTTCATTGATTTTAGGGCATGCAAGGATTAGACAATTTATTCCATTCTTAGAAAAAGTAAATATGTTGAAAACCTGTTTTCCTTTTCCGAGTTTTGACATCCACAATCACAGCCCTGTTCTTCTCAGTAAAGTGCTTCAAGATGATCACATTATGGGGCTCATTGGCATTATCCATATAAACACAGCGGGTCCCCACACAAAGAACCTAAAACATGAGAGAGAGACAGAAAAGGCAACTCAACAGCACACTGAGACAGGAAAGAGTATTCACGGACAAATTCGGGCCTTTTTCTTGTGCCTCAGACTTCAACAAGCACTTAAGGATAGGGCTCTTTTCATCTCTAAGTCCAAAGGATGTCGCACACACCTAGCACAGAATTGATTTGCCCCTGCAGACATGCCATATTTTTATAGCCCTCTTTGTCTCAGTCAGTTGAGAGACATGAAGATTAGAAATGAGATCAAGATAAATGCCAGAGGGAAAGACAATTTTTGACGTTCTTTGTAATTTAATACATTACAGTTATTCATTACTCAAAGCCAATTACCAGTTAGTAAAATGAATCGAATGGGTAAACTTAAAAATGCAAGCTGAAAGTGTGAGGCCCTGGGGTCAATCCCTTGCACCACCAGAAAACACACACACACACACACACACACACACACACACAAAGAAAAAAAGCAAGTTGAACAAACCACCCCACCCCACAATCTTGAAAAAGTATACCAGTATGTATATATGTCACAAAGTCTTTGATAAGCATGATGAGGACTGGAGGGGGTGAGCAGACCTTTGATTGCTGTACCTGAGGGAAGCCAACCAGCACCAGCAGGGTGAAGATATTGGTGTGCTTCAGCTGGAAAGGCAGCTGCTTGATGCAGTGGTCTGTGAAGGTGGCAATGACGTCTCGCCACAGAGGGGCACTGTTGAGTGACCGCAGGATCTCGGCCATGGAGCATGCCCAGTCTAGGCCCACCCGGCTGGAAGGCAAGAGCTCCATTAGGTGGCAGAGCACAAGGCTCCAAACTCAACTGGTTACAGCTCACTATACTCCAAGGCAGACCCAGAGGCAAAGGGCTACTCATTAATTAGTTTTAAAACTACAGAATGATGCTGGTTGGTAGCCTACAAGCATGGTTTCAAAAATCTCTATAAAAAGTCACCTGTGCATATGCACACATGCACACTCACATTTACACACAGAAAAATGGCTCAGGAGTAAATACACTAAAATAGCTGATGTATTAATATGGTGCAAATTAGGCTGACTTTTTTTCTTCATTTCTGTTTTCCAAATTTGGTATTGTGGTTATGTTCCTTTCATAGGAAATAGATTTTTAACCCCAAGACCTACATTTAATGCTCTCAGGGAAAAATACACCAGAATATGAATCATCAGAGTGTTAAATCAGCAGGCAGTGCTGAGGCTCAGCCGTTTAATGTGGAATGACAGCATTTCCATTAAACCAATTCTATGGCCAAAGGAAATTCTCAGACAACAGCACTGTAGCACCTAAAATGTATCACCAGTCAGTCCTCTGACCTAAATGGACACCACAGTGAGTGGTGTGGGGGTGGCGGGTGAGTGAGAACCAAGGTTACCTGTCTAGACATACAGCTCCCAGGCTAAAGAGTAGGTGGGTGGTCTTCCAGCCATCTGGCACAATGGCACTGTCCCCTGCAGCAAACAGGTTGTGTTTGGCTGAGAGAACCTTGATCACTGCGGCATCTACCTCTGCTGGTAAAAGACGGACGATTAACTGGCCAAGAAGACCCAGGGTGAGGTGGTAGGTTTCATTCAGGTGGCCTGCATTGGAGATGACAACCTGAAACATGAGTGGGAGGACATGCTCCAGGTCTATCAGGGGAACTGTGGGACCCTGCCAAGAGAGGGGAGAGCTCTTCAGTAGAGGATCCACGCAACCAGACCAGCTAAACTCTTCATCCCCTTTGAGTATTATTTACAACTGGCCTAGTGCCAAAAGAATTATGCAGTGGCTTTCATAAATGGCACGTGTATGATCAATTGCAAAATAAATATTCTTGAGTATCATCTTATGGTCCTACTTTCCAATTCCTTTACCCTAAAAAGTAAACTTAAATGTTTGGATGTTTTCCCCTCCTGATATGTCCATTGTAAAATAATTAAATAACTCAGAAATACACAAAAATTAATGCTTTCCATAATCTGCCCCTTCACCAATGTCCAGGAGATAACAGCTATTAACGGATTAATGAATAGCCTTTCAACCTTTTTCTAAGTACATTAACATGTAACACATGTAAAACAAATTAGCAATTTTAAAGTTATTTTTCTTTCTTTAAATACTGCCCATTAACTTACTTTGTTTCCAATTCTTCATTATAAATACCATTTAGATAAAGAGCCTGTGGTTTACAATGATAATTACAGGGATTGGAATGAATTTATGATTCATTCTCTCTCTCGCTAGGTTTATATACCAAGAGGGAGCACGGTGTGAGTTGTTATCTACAGTGTGATTCAAGAGGGCACTATGTGTATAATATGAAAACAAAGCACCGAAGAACAACAACAAAAAATGTTCTCAGAAATAAAAAATGATTCTCAAGAAGGCATGCCCTTGAAGGGGCAGCCTGTGGGGTTACTGGTGTCCAAGAATGAAGAAGGCATCTAGATAAGGACTGGGCTGGTGTGGGCTGCAGTCAGAGCCCAAGCATGGGGCAAAGAGTTTCCATATCAGGAACAGCAGAGTACAAATGGGTTGAGGAAGGCATTCCCAGGAATCACGCTCAAGAGTCAAGAGTTGAGCTCTGAATGGGGGCATCAGTGTGGCAGTGCAGCCTGAAGTGAGTGTCTGAGCACATGTGGAGGGGTGAGGGCGTCCATGTGGGGAGTTTAGCCTGGCATGCATTTTCATGAAGCCTAAGGAGAATGTTGTGCTGAGTAACAGCCTGCTGTGGGTGAGGGTGGCCTCAATGCAAGGGGGTACCCTGACATCAGGATAGCCCCAGGCACGGAAAGGAAGTATTCACCAGTAGAGGCACAGGGCAGAGTGTCAAGAGTCTAGAGGGAGACAAGGACACCTCTGAAAGAAGAAGAATGGCAGCTGGGAGGTTGATCAAATAAGTAATCATATAAATGATAATGGGATCTCGGATCTCACTGTTAAAGACAGGAGTTATAAAGACAAAAAAGGAAAAAACTAGAATGAACCTGTGGTTTATGATGATAATTGCAGGGATCAGTATGAATTTATGACTCATTCTTTATCCCTGTACATTTATATACCAAAAGGAACACATGGCTTTTCATGTCAGACACATGCCCCTGTGAACTGTGACTGATTCGTTAATCATTTTCAACTCTCAAGCAAAAATTATTGCTAAGTCTGAGCATCTCCCAGCAAACACTAAAAAAGGCCCTTGGATCAAAAGATCTGAGGACCAAATCTTTGGTACTGGGGACACCTCCTTTCCCCAAAACTCTGCAGACTTGAGAAATTCTGTTTCATCAATGTTCTGTCCAATTCCTCTCTGTTCAACCCCCCTCCCACCAAAAAAAGGAGACTCTTATAAAGATGTCAGTAATTCCTAAATTAATATGTAAATTCAATGAAAGTGCTAGCTGAATCCTTGGTAAAAAATTATTCTGAAGTTCAAAAAGAACTTCATTATGGGGCTGGGGCTGTAGCTTAGTGGCAGAATGCTTGCCTAGCACATGGAGGCACTGGGTTCGATCCTTAGCACTGCATAAAAAAATAAACAAATAAAATAAATGCATGCTGTCCATCTACAACTACAATTTTTTTTTTAAAAAGAAAAATATGCAGAGTCCAGAAAATTATAAAAAATAATGAAGACATATCTGAACTGTCTAGACTCTTTGAAGACTTTGGGATTAAGTTATCAAAACAAACAACAAACAAAAAGGAGAGAAAAATCGATTAAAAGAGACTAATAAGTATGCCATGTAAATGCAATGCAATTCTTCAGTGGATTCTGATTTTTTAAAAAAATTGCTTGAAGGAATATTTTAGAAAAATCTGTATATAGCCTCTATATAAGATAAAACTACTCTATCAATGTTAAAATTTTAAAATATGATGATGACACTGTAGTTATATAGAAGATTGTCTTTTTAGGAGACACATGCTGAAGTGTCAGTGATCATTTCAAGTTATTTTCAAAACTTGGAAAAAAATATAAGCAATATGTAAATATGCAGAGATAAATTCACAACTAGTAAATCTATATAGATTTTCATTCATTCTTTCAAATTTTTCTTAGCTTAAAATTTTTCAAAATAAAATAATAGAAAAATGATTATAATAAAGCCAGTAAACTGTAATATATACTACACACACACACACACGTATAAACATACATACATACAAAATGTAGTGGGGACTCAATGAAGAAAATAATTTTAATTGAAAATTCCTCCCTCAGGGGTACACAGATGACTATTATTAACAGTCTGCTTCAGCATCTAGTATAACAACATTTTTTTTTTTTTCTGAGTATGACATTACCCCCTTTACAAAGAAATGCTGCCTGTCTCTTACCGACTTTAGGGGAGGTAACATGGCTGCTAGTAATCCCAAAATCCTCTTCTGGGAACACTCAGCGAACACCTGCTCAGGGTTGGGAGTAACTGCCTTTTCCTCTATTGGCTCCTGAGGTGACACTTCTGAATTTTCAGCATCTGTGTTGTAAAATGCCAACTTTCAGATTTTGCCACATTCTATACATGCCAAGTAAATCACTGTGCTATCCTGTTCCAGAGTAATGCTGGAACTTTAAAAAACTATTGCTGAGCACATTTTTAAGATGTCCTCTTCTCAAGGAAGCCTGCCTGCTCCCTATGGAATGGGCAGTTACCCTCTCACACCTCCCCATTCTTCTGACTCTGCTCTTAAATTAGATGCTAACATTTTATCATTTAACATTTCATATTTATTGTCTGCCCTACTGATTTTTATCTCTTTCAGTATTGTACCCGGGCACCTAGAAATGTCTCTGGAGCATGGTAGGTAGTTGACAATACTTGCTGCCTATGAACCAGCATGCTGGTCCTCAGGGGAATCCAACTCCAGAGGACTTTGATGGCCTGGATGGATGTGGAGTGTCAGCCCCTTCTGAGAGCTGGTTCCATATATGAGGCAGAATGCCAGGTGCTCAGTCCCACCTCCACACAGAGGGCTGAAGGAACAGATCTTCCACCAGGGGCTGCAGTAAGAAGGAGGCTGAGGCTTGCTTCTGATCTCTTCAGCCACAGCATCATGCATGAATTCTCTAACAACCTGGCTCTCGCCTTGCCATTGCATTCCTTAGGCAGGCTGAGAAGCCTGGAATCCCTAGGCAAGCAGCTAAAGCCTTTGCAGAGGAACCCCACTGAAGAGGTCTCATTTTATCTTGTATCCCATATCTACACACCTGCCAAGAGGGACTTCTCCTCTATATTGTTCCGGGATTTTCCTACTTCAGGGTCTTTGCTCATGGTGTACTTTCTGCCCTGAATGTTGATCCCTACCACAGATCCTCATATATCAAGGTCCCTTATGACACTTACCTACACCTCTGTCTTAAGTTCTCCTAGGCTATGAGCTTCAGCAGGGAAGTGGGGGTGGAATGGGGAGGTGGGAGGGAGGGAGGCTCTGTGTGTCTCTCTGAGTCAGTCTCTGTTCTCCCCAGGGTCTAGCATAGTGCTTGGCACATGGGAGACACTCAATAAATACAGGAAATAAATAAGGTGGGAAAGCAGTCAAAGTGAATGAAAGGTGACTTCAAAAATTGTGTAAAACCAACAAGCTCAGGCTAGAGTACATTTGAAGATGAAAGAGATAAGGTACTGGCCAGATATTCTTTACCTGGAAGTCCTGGAGGTATGTGAGCATCTGCAGGTACATTTGGAGTGTGGGTCTGGCCTGAATGATCCTTCATGAACAAGATACCTGCATTTGCCTTACTTCTCTGCTTGTAATCCAAAGGTCTGATTTCCTTGTCTGCAGCTCTCCTTCCCTAAAAACATGATGGTGTGTGTATAAGAACTAAGGTTTTTAATAACAAAAATTTATCCTATTTATAGTACAATTTTATCATTAGTTTTAATAAATTAAAAAACTTCTGAATTCATTATTAAAAATGCCACTCATTTTTTAAATACATCTATGATTCATTAAGATAGTAATCATTGTGTCACATTCCTCCAAACATCTTCCAAATGCCCCTGTTAGACCTTGTAGTCACATAAGCAATGGCTCTATTCCAGATCTTTAATACATTCTGTTTAGCCAGGTATGGAAAGTTCTTCCCTTGGGAAAAAGAAAAAGTTATCCATTTCCTTCTAGTATACCATGGTGACTATGTTTGATGTATGCGATGTATGTTCTTTTTCAATAGAAAAGCAAATTTTTATCATTAGGAAAAAAGTTTAGATTTCATATTATTATGAAAATATGACTATACCAAATCTAAAGCCTAGAAGCATGATACTGTTTCCATTCCACTGATGTAGACATTTTATTGATATAGAAATTGGTATTTGGAATGGTGGGGGGATGTAGCTCAGTACCACAGGGCAGTGGTGTTGGGGGGAGAGTTACTTCTGGGCATGTTGATGCACCTTTATAATTTCAGCAATTTGAGAGGTTCAGGCAGGAGGATAGCAAGTTTAAGGCCAGCCTCAGTAACTTAGCAAGACCCTAAGCAACTTAGTGAGACCCTGTCTCAAAAATTTTTTTTAAAAAAGGGCTGGGGATGCATTTTAGTGGAAAAGTGCCCCTGGGTTGAATCCCCAGTACAAAACAAAACAAAAATTTAGAAATTAGCATTCTTAGGCTGTGGGACAGAGTTGTGGGCTATGTATCTATCAGTTTTCTATAAAATCTACTTTGTGTTAATACGGTAGGTGTTGATAAATCTATTGCATATACCACTTGGTCAGGGCTGGGAATATAGCTCATTTGGTAGAATGCTTGCCTTGCATGCACAAGGGCCTGGGTTTGATACCCAGCATTAAAAAAAAAAAAAAAAAAAATCACAACAGATATAATTTGAACAAACAAACCAGACACCATTTCTAAACCACATACTTGCACCCTCTTTAACACATTCTGGTATTAGTTGTTCTCTATTTTAACAAATGAACAAGCATACCTCTGTTGCCCTTTTGAGAATCTCATCTGGCAATGAGACTTGTTAAGGGGGCTCTTGCTGAAGCTGGGAAACTTCTGGGATTAGGAATCTGAGGGTGAGCTGCCCAACATGCAAGATGACAGCCCTCAGTCTGCATTTTCTGAGCAGGGGTCAGAAAATGAATGCGTGTGCATCAGGACCTTAGGGTCTTTCCCCCATTGTCACGCAGACTTATATGAGGTATCTAAGTGATGTGGGAAGACTTCAGTGTGTGGTAGAGGCAGCTCAGCTCTTAGTTTGGGAAATCCAAATTTGATTGCCTCTCTGCAGCCAAAAGTGAAGTGTCATGTAACACCAAACATACAGGGGAAGGTATGTCCTCTCCCAGTGGGAGCTAACTTATGCTTCCCCCTTTCTGGATACTGTTAGCTGACATCAGTCCTAACCTCCTGAGAATGGATACAGACCATTTTAAGAGACAACTGTGACTCTGAGAGGTACTTGCCTTACTGAAAGATCTCAATGTGCTCCCTGTACCACGTGCCACTGTGTGAAGACAATGTAATTCCAAAGTTCTGGTGAATGATTTTAATGTTTATCTTAAACATAATCTTTGTCTTAAAGGTCCTTACCTTAAATATTAAATAAAAATTATTTTATATTCATCAGACAGTCCTTTTAAGTGTCACTATCACAGGTAATACCTGGACCCAGAAAGGCTTTTCTGTCTATGCAACTACATATAAACTTATGGTGTCTACTTGCTAAATAGTAAGATTTTGGTATCAACTATTTGTTGATTGAACATAAAAATACCTACACATATACAATGCTTACCAAGGACTAAGAACTTCTTTAGTTGCATATCTTGTTCAGTCATTAGGAAAACCACCAGGAGGCAGATAATAGGAATAGTTAACAATGACATGGAACTTACCATGCACACGTTCTAATCACTTACATATTATTTCAAAGTGTATAAGATAACTCCTCACAACAACCATATGTCATAGGTATTGCTATTATCATCCCCATTTTACAAATGAGAAAATGGAGGCAGAGATTGTAGTAATATGACCAAGATCTGACAGAGCAGGGATGTGAACCCAGCAGCCCGATCTAGCGAGGATCTGTACTTTTAACATTTTAGCTCTGCTTCATCATGTGAATGGCTCTCAGAGCTCAACTATGACTCTGCATAGAGAAGTGCTATTTACATTGCAGTGCACAAAAGAGCCTGCCTCTGCCGGCTCCTCAGCAGGCTGGACCACTTTCTTCTCTAGCTGTTCCTCTGATGTGCGGGTAGGTACGCTAAGTGGGAGGGATTGGTTTTCTGGCGTAGAGTCACCATCTGGCAATATACCAAGAAGAGCGAGAGCTTTAAGACCTATAAGGGAAGAAAGAGAATAGTTAAAAGTTTATAACAAAGATTATTTCATGCAAAAGACTCAAATCACTTATCACTGCATAGAAACAGATGGCTGAGGTCTACACAAACCAAAATCAGGAGAACTTAATAAAAACATCCCTGGCTATCTACATCTATTTAGTTCCTGACTTCAGAAGGTGAAAGTCTGGACATTTTATTATCAAGAAAACACAGAAGATACAACAGGATTGTCTGTTTCAAAAATTAAAAATATTATACTTTCATAGATGTGCCACTAACTAGATTTCTAAATTCCAATTGGCAGATAAAAACTTGCTCTGATGTAGGCTTGGGTTACAGCTCAGTGGTGGAGTGCTTGCCTCACATGTGTGAGGCACTGGGATTGATACTTAGCACCACATAAAAATAAATAAAATAAAGGTACTGTGTTCATCTACAACTGAAAAAAAAAAAAAACTTGTTCTGATGCACTGATATTACCCATTGCTATCTAATGTAGGTCTGATTCTCTAAAATAACCAGAATGGGGAGTTCATTATCAGAGAGAAATGTGAATTTCTCAGAAGTTAAACATTTTTCTTTTTTCTTTTTCTTTTTGGTGGGCATACCAAGGATTGAACTTAGGGGCATTCAACCACTGAGTCACATCCCCAGCCCTATTTTGTATTTATTTAGAGACAGGGTCTCACTGAGTTACTTAGTGCCTCACCTGTTGCTGAGGCTGGCTTTGAACTCGCAATCCTCCTGTCTCAGTCTCCCAAGCTGCTGAGATTACAGGCGTGCGCCACCGTGCCCAGCTAAATATTTACTTTATTCCTAACATCCTTGGTGAAGTCAGATCAACTATTTTACTTATAAATATCTCTCATCTAGAATAGTTACATGGAAATAGATTTGTACTTCATGTTAAAAATAATCTAGACTTCCTCATGAAATTTAGTAGATCAAAATACTAAATAATCCAATTACAGTTTAATAATTAGAGTTTTAATTATTAATACTTTCTTATATCTTCATGTAAATATTTTAGAGAAACTAAATGCCACTTGAATGCTATCATTTCTCTCAACTGAATCTGTGGACTTGAGTACCACACCAGGTGAGCCCCTCGTGTGGAATACTGGACTCTTCTACCTCTGGGTCGAGCAGTCTGAGGGTTGGTCCTGGTTTCTGGGCATGATGAATAGTCACCTTTCCCCTGGTGAGCCTTCATCAGACAGTCGCCGACAAGCTGCATGCACTGGCTCCGCAGGATGATGGCATTGCTGTGGGCCTGGGGGTCCAGTCTCTCCCCATCTACAACCTCTGTGCTGGCCAGGTGTGCACTATAGAGAGCCAGGGCGGCAAAGAGCAGCCAGGAGTAGTTGTGGATGTAAGGCTGGATGAGCCTCTGCCGGTCACTGATCCGAATGGTCACCATGGGGTGGGCTGTGATGCTGTGGGTAGGCAAATGGCTGCAAAGGCAAGATATATGTAAGGCCTATAGAGTTTATGAAGCTCCAAAGAGAGGCCCAGGGCATGTGTTTAGTTGCTTCTGGGATTAGTCACCTCTAGGCTGTAGTTATTCAAAGGTTAAAGACAAGAAAAATGAACAAACACAAACATAGAACATAACATTACATTACAGAATTTTGTAATTTTTTGGGTGGGATATCAGGGATTAAACCCAGTGGCACTTAAGCACTGAGCCACATCCCTAGCCCATTTTTTTTTTTTTTTTTTTAGAGAGAGAAATTTTTTTTTAATATTTATTTTCGGCGGACACAACATCTTTGTTTGTGTGTGGTGCTGAGGATTGAACCCAGGCCACCCGCATGCCAGGCGAGCGCACTACTGCTTGAGCCACATCCCCAGCCCCCTATTTTTTTTTTTTTTGAGACAGGATTTTAGTAAATTGCAAAGGGCCTCTCTAAAATTGCTTCAAACCATGATCTTCCTGCCTCAGCTTCCTGAGCTGCTGGGATTACAGGCATGTGCCACCATACCTGGCTCAGGATTTCATAATCTTTAGAGAACTGCCTGTGGAAAACAGGCTAAGAAGTCCCTTTTGTGAATTTTGCAAGGCATGGTGTTTTGGTAATGTGAGAAAACACTTATAATCTTTAGACAAAGTACATGGGAAAGAAGTTATTTAAGGTCTCAAATTTGCTTCAAGATGTTTTTATAAAGAAAAAAAAAGAAATAAACTAAACACATATAACAAAATCTTCCTAATTGCTGAATCTGGGCAATGGGTATAGGAAAACTCACTGCACTATTTTAGGGTATGTTTGAAATTTTCTGTAATAAAAACCTTATTTAGCCTGGTGTGGTGGCACACTCCTGTAATCCCAGTAACTTGGGAGGCTGAGGCAGAGGATCATAAGTTCAAGGCCAGCTTCAGCAACTTGATGAGGCCCTCAGCAACCTGGCGGGGCCCTAAGCAATTTTCTAAGACTCTGTCTCAAACTGAAAAATAAAAAGGGTTGAGGATGTAGCTCATTGGTTCAGTGCCCCTGGAATTCAATCCCTAGTACCACAAAATAAAAGGAGGGCTGTGGGGTATAGTTCCATGGTAGAGCACTTGCCTAGCATGTGTGAGGCCCTGGGTTTGATCCCTAGTACCACTGAAAAAAAAAAAAAAAAAGAAAAAGAAAACAATAAGAAGCCCTCTCTTTAAGTGAAGAAATAAATAAAGAAAAGGTTACATGGCTCTAAGTCACCTGAGACCTACCCATAGGAATATTTCTTTGCGGCATAGCATCCATAGCAAAGATCAAAGTCATCACACACATTGCAATTCATTCTCCGGCCTATAATCAAACCCTGGCAGTTGTCACAGGTAAATTCCATGTTGACCATTTCATGGTCATCTCCATGGCCCTCAGGCTTCACTCCACCTGGAGAAAAACAGGAGTATTAGGTGGATAGGGCACAGGGCTCCCAGAAGTTCTAACAAACCAATCTCAGTACTAGAATTGCTCCCAATTTACTGTTCAGGAAGGTAGGAGCTGCAGGCATCCTTTGGAGACCAGGACACTCTGCCCCAGTGGCTCTGAGCATGTGAATGACAATACCAGTACAGAATTGCTCAGCAATGTTGACCCTGCTTCTCCAGTGCCACAGTCTGATTAAATAAATTACCAATTCCCATCATGAATGTTGTTTGGCAGAATCAAATCTATGCCAATTTGTGAGCTGTCTCCCATGACTCTCCTCTGACAAATATGAAGAATCTGTAGGTATGTTCCTCAGAAAACACTAAGGAATGATCAAGTATTTGCTCTTACTTTTTCATTCAAGAACCACAGATGTAAACAGACTTCATAACCTCAGATCTAGAGAGTAGAGATTTAGATGATAGACGTGGAAAGTACTGGCTAGTCAGGTGTGGTGGTGCACGTCTGCAATCTCAGCTACCTGGGAGGCCTCAGCCTCTGAGGCAGAGGATAACAAGTTCCAGGCCAGCCTAAACAACTTAGCAAAACCCTGTGCCAAAAACCAAACACATTTTTAAAAGGGCTAGGGATATAGTTCAGCGGTAGAGTGCCCTAGGGTTCAATCCCCAGAACTTCAAAAACAGGGAGATTGGTTGCTCTGCTCTCTTCCTATTCCAATTCCAGCAGGACTCTAAGTCCTGATGTAGATTCTGCTTAATACTCCTCATATTTGACCACTTCTGTTCTCGCTGCCACCAACCAGGTTCAGGCTCTAATACTCTTATAACCACTGACTTCTAAAGGATACTCTCACACAGACAGAACTGTTTTCTCTATATATCTCTGATCATGTTAATATTATGCTTAGTAAACCTTCCCTATTATCTGTAAACTATTCAAATTTCTTAGCCTGGTATCTTGGGGTCCCACCTGTCCTAATCTATCACTTGGTTGGACAGACACTCAAGTGTGTCCATCTAAACTCACTGCAGGCATTCACTCCTCTCCTCCTGGGCTTATTCTATCCTTGATGGTGACCCCATCTTTAGAATTTTCTTTGACTCATCTAGTTCTTTTCTTCAAAGACCAAGTCTCATTCTACTTCTTCCACAAGCCTTTCCTACAGCAACACCATGGCTACTTCTTAACTTTTCCAGAAGAAATCTATACTACTCAATGATAACTCAGCATATACACCCTTGTATTGGAATAGACATCTGTGGATACAGTCAGTCTCCTGGCTAGATTATAAATGTTTCCAGAACAGGAGCTGTATCTAACCATGTATACACAGAGCAGTCCAATGTTCACTTCTGTTGATACGCTTTGCCTCACTCAGTACCTATGAGTTAAAGATTTTTTGAAGGTTTTCTTTGTGTGTGTGATTTGCTATTTGTAAATACTGCATGATTCAGAAGCAAAAACTATTTCCTGAGGTCTGGGGATGTAGCTCAGTGGTAGAGCACTTGCCTAGCATCGATGTGCCCTGAATTCAATCCCTAGTACCACAAAGAAAAAAAAAAATTCCTGGAAACCCAACTAAACATATATCCATTGGTCCTGAGTATTTATTAAGTGCCCACCCAGCACAGTGGGAGATGAAAGGCTGTCATATAAGAGCAGTGGACCTGATCACTGAGCAGGGGAGATAGAGCCAGAGTCAGAGGATACCAATGGGCAGTATATCTATTTAGTAAAAGGAGGGTTTTAAAAGACGGCCAGATCACAGAAAATAGGAATAATTATGACTGTTGAATATGACATACTTAGTCTTTGAAATTTACCTAGGAAGTAAGTTTTGCACAGATCCATGTCACTGCACTGTAGACACCGGTAGAGATGCCAGGGAGCAATCTCATCACACCCATCACAAGAGATGTCCACATTTAGCAGATCACAGTAGCGAGCAATAAACATGTGCATCTGTAAAGTGAAATAAACACAATTAACCATGAGACTTTCTAATGTGGCCACTATTCATTAACCAACTCATTCATTCAATAGGTACTCAAGATGACCCAGGCATTATACTAGGTGCTAGGATTTGAAGCTGAATAAACTAAGTGTCTAGTTGGGAAATCCTTTAAGCAAGCAGATGATGACCATCTGCGTGTGATATGTGCTTTCACATACAAATTTGGGAGGCTTACAGAACATAGAGAATGGCTATCAATGGGTATTAGGAGGGTCAAGGAAGGTTTTCCAAAGGAGATTAATTCCTCAGTTGAGACCTGAGGGAGAAAGAGGTACTAGCTGGGAGCGGGTAAATGTGGTTAGACATATCAGATAAAAGTAAAAGATATAGAAAGTTCTACAGGAAGCAAAAGACGGCAAGACAAGGGTTTATGAAATTGGCAATAACCCTTTATGTAGAATATAGAGAAGGCGGGGGAATAACCAGATGAAGTTGAAAAGGTTAAACCACAAGGAACTTGAATGCTAGCCTAAGGAGCTATTGACTGTTTTTAAGTAGGAGAGTAATGGAATTAGATTTGAATGTTCTGAAAGTTCCCCTGATCACTGAGTAAAACAAGGGATTGAAGAGGGCAAGACGAAAGCCAGGGAAAATGATGACAACAGAAGCTGTTCAAATGGACAGGTAACATGGCCTGGAACTGAGCAAGAAGTTGGGTAGGGGAAGGTGAGCAGACTTGAGAGGTATTCAAGAGGCAGAAGTGAGAAACCTTGGTGACTAACTTGATGTGGGGTTCAGTAAAAGGGAACGGCCAAGAATAGCATCCAAATATTTAGTTTGGGTTTTTGGCTGGATATTGGTAGTGTTCACAGACACAGGAAACACTGCAAAAGGTGCATTTTCTTTTAAGTGCTAAGAAACAAACTTTTGGCCAAATTATATTGTTATATTGTGTGCCTACACCAATATGTAACAACAAATCCCATCAATATGTACAACTACAATGCACCAACAACAAAAAAATGAGGAAATTAAAAAAAAAAAACTTTAGGGAGATAGTAAAGGCACTGTTTCATAAGCAAGCAGATTGTTTACTGGAAATATTTGGAGGCTATAGTACAGTTTATCTTTAGGGCCTAGAAATGAAGGAACTAAATATGTAAGTCACATATAGTAGTAGATATGTAGTAGCAGAGGAAATATGCCCATCATTTGAGAAATACAGAATGGCTCCAAATAAGGTATTAACATAAAAGAGAGAAAAAGTCACAAGGCTCAATTGTGGGCCCAGAGAAAAATTCCAAGCACCGCAGAAGTGCCACATGAGCAAAGTGGTCAGTACAAGTAGGCACTCAAGCATAAAATACGAATGACTCTGAGGCAGCAGAAGCCTGGCACCTGTGGTAGCAACAAAGTTAACACCTAATGTGGAGGTGGATGGATAGGCCACCTGAGCCAGGTGCCTTACTCATCTGCATCATGCAGTTCTGACTGCAGTATACAGATGGCTGCTTCCTCACTCATCAGACAACCCTCCCTGGTGCTTGCCTCCATGAAGAAAATGTGCTACCCAAGGCCACAAGAACCCAGGTCCTGTAACAATTCTATTTCTCACTGTAAATTAACGAATTGATACCTAACACAGTACATCAGCCTTGTAAGACACTCTTTTTTGAGTCTAGTTCTGTGGGAGGGGGCCACTGACAGTCACATCAGCATGCAGAGCCTCTCAGGTTAATACCAGATGTGAAGGTCCAGAATGCCCTCTCAGGAGAAATCCTGCCAGCAGGCCCAAAGCACACCCTCCTCTCCAAACTCCAGATCACTCTAATTGGGAGGTCTTACTTTCCTCTGCTTCTCTGGATCCTCCTGGGCTATTTTTTCATACCAGGCCTCAAACATGCCATCCTGACACTCATCCATCCACTCTGAGTTCTGCTTGGCATCAGCAAGCTCATCTTCTTCACTCCACTGGCTAAAAGGAGGGCAAAAAGAGAAAAAAAAGCATAAAAAAAACAAACAACAACAACAAAAAACCGAGATGGGGGGAGGGAGAGGAAGGGAGGAGAGAAGAAGAAGAGGGAGCATGCATCTCTGGATATCCAAGGAAAGCGCTAGTTAGCAGACTCCATGACTTATGGGTCTAATAGAGTGGGCAATTTTAAACATTTTAAGAGAAAAGTCAATTACTTTTAAAAACTGCAGGGTTTGTCTACTATTTGCTAGATATATGCTAATAAAAATGGAGAAGCCCCTTTCAGAGTAGATTACCCTGGGTGAGGTGAACCAATCATGTGCCAGGCTCTTGGGCCAAAACAGTGATTAAAAAAAAAAAAAGTTCTATACGGACATGCTTAGAACATCCTAGTGGAATCAGCACAAAAAGGGAGTCAGGACATATGACTTCGGCTCCACCACTAGCTGCTACAAAGCCTTGATTCATTAGAGTAGGCCCTCTGTATCTGTGGGTTCTATAGCCCAGAGTTCCATGTCCCTAGATTCAACCATCATTGAATCAAAAATTAGAAAAAAAAAATTGTGTCTGTTCTGAATCAGTTTTTTCTTGTCATCATTCCCTAAACAATGTGTAACATCGTGTAACAATGTATAAATAGCTATAGCAATGTAATAGCTATTTAACTTAATAGCTATTTAGGTATCATTTATATTATATTGGATATTATAAGTAATTTAGAAATAATTCGAAGTATATGGGAGGATGTGGGTAGTTTATATTTTATATAAGGGACTTGGGTATCTGCAGATTTTGTTATTGGTGAGGGGTCCTGGAACCAATCTCTTAAGGATACTGAGGAAGACTGTATTTTGCCCTTGTCCTGTCTCCTCATTTTAAATAAAGGATTTCAGGTAGATAATCTCATGGGCAGGTTCCTTTTAGATTCAAAACTATAAATTTCCATCATTTCAGTTTTTTTTTTTTTTTTTTTTTAGAATTTTTTAATATTTATTTTTTCAGTTCTTGGCTGACACAACATCTTTGTTCTTTGTTTGTATGTGGTGCTGAGGATCGAACCCGGGCCGCACGCATGCCAGGCGAGCGCGCTACCGCTTGAGCCACATCCCCAGCCCCTTCAGTTTGTTTTAGCAACAAGTATTTTAAACACAAAATGATTTGCTTGATAGCAAATGCAAAATGTTCCAACCAACAAATAAATATACATTCATTCACGTATCCCACCAAAATGATTTTAGGTCTATTCTTCATAGCTTTGGGCTAGTGCCAGGAAGGATTGGTGTGAGGGGTGTGACCTACCCCCAAAGACTGTATCATGTAGATGCAGACAAAGCTTGAAATAATGGCAGACTGACAGAAGATGAAACCGCATGTTGATGCCCACCCAGCATTGTGTTCCCTCTCTCTGCCCTCATTGCTCTCTGGCAGCAGATCAAGGCTGTGTCTTCTTTTCTCAGAATATCTCTCCTGAGAGTAAAAATTGCCTCACTGATTTATTTCTTCCTCATTCTCCCCTCTTGAAGCCTGCTCCCTCCAACTCTATTTTCTTCTTTCTTTTCACACACACAAGTAGATAATGGTAAGTGTACCTGGACTTTGAAGAGACATTCGTCAAAAATGGAATGAAAAAAAAAAAACAAACTTGCAAATTATTTTTTCTTATAAGGTAAGTCCTTATATAAGTCCCTATATTTATTAGAACATAGTGGCTAATATAGAGGCTGATTGTGTTATCATCTTATCTCTAAAGATGAGGAAACTGAGGCACAGAGGGATTAAATAACTTGCCCACAGTCACCCAGCCAGTGTGTGGCAAAGCCCAGGATCTATATTACACAGACTCTTGCTTTGGAGCCCATGCCCTTCACCCTTATGCTATGATCCCTGTATCTTATCATCTACTTTAGGAATTGCGGAATACAGGACCGTGTTCTTACCTGATCACACTGTCATGGACACTTATATTTTCCTGTGACATTTTCATGAGGAGATCTGGTAACTGAATGTCAACGAAGAAGGCAAGGTCACTGGGTTCCCAGCCCATATCCAACAGATGAAGCAGGGCTGTCTGAACACAGGATAAGGCAGGCAGCAGGGATCTAAGGGGGAGGCCACAAAAGTGACAGTTAACAGAGCTGTCCATAACCAACATAACGACAACAGGGGCAATGCAAGTCAGTATCTTATCTGTAATAGGAAAGCAGAAACACTCATATTCCATACAAACGTCTTCCAAAGATTAAGCAAAAGAAGACTGAAAGGTGTAAGGTAAGTTCTCCATTCTGCCAGGACTACTACAGGGCCTTCTTTACAGTAGAGGCTGAGCAGTAAAGGTCAGCAAATTGGGCCACCCCAAACTAGCTAAAGTTATGCAATTTAGATTTACAGAAGAGACATATGACTTAAGGTTTATATCTAAACCACTTAGTAAGGAGGATACTGAAAAATAGTTTTATACTCAAGTTTTAAAACTACAAATAATACATCAAAAACTAAAAATAATAGGTTATAAAACTCCTAGATAAAACAAAACTCATACTTAATGTACATATCAAACAGAAAAAAGACTAGCAAAAAATATACTAATAAATTAACATTAATGAATAGTTCTAAATGATAAGATTAGAGGCTATTTTTATCTTATCCTTTCTTTTCAACTTTGCAGAAAAAAATACATTTTTTTCCTCTAGAAGTTAAAAAGTCATCCAGTACCTGTCATTTATGCTATTAAATCCTTTAATTGCTTTGACCAAAAACATAACAAGTTGATAGTAAGTGTCTCGAATTTCTTTGTGTAGATCAGCACCACAGCCTTCCAAGTGTCCAAAGTAACTAGAAAGAAAGGAAACCATGGACTTAATTGCCAAGACAGCTTTTATTTAATAATCCTATTCCTTACATGAAAGAGCCCAGAAGCAGCACGCTGAACAAAGTGGTGCTGAAACTTAAATGATAACAGGAGTAATAATTTTAGAAAGTAATGGAGAAAACAGCAAGTGAGTCAAATTGACCAGGTCAAGAGCTACCTCACAGAAGTTTGGAGATGATTAACTATTCATCTTTCTTTTATTTTATTAATAAAAAAACCATGCCTCCCCCCCACTCCTTGAGTGCCAGATACTTTGTTAAGTATTTTTCACAAATTATCTCATTTAATAATCTCCACATAATCATGCCCACCCTTCTGCCTCCCTTGATGACTTTAGTACTAAGGTCACTGGCTTTTCTACCTTCATCCTTTTTATCTTAGTGACTTCAACATCCCTAGGAGTGATACCACTATTCCTTTTTCTCTCAAACCCTCTGCCACCTTCATTGCCAAGGATCTTCTCTTCCATGCCCTTAGCCATCCCAAGTTGATGGTCATTTCCTTGACACTGTCATCAAATGATGGCTGACTTCAGAGCATGCAACTCTGCCTACAACCTCTCATCCTGCTGTCTTACTGTGGACTCTCACACAATCTCTTCTTCAATTCCAAATGAGCCCTGGCCCATGCCAACTCTCTGGCTTCCTTCTACTTCCATCTGCTTGCTGAGAAATTTTATACTTGTATCAAAACTGCTGTATGTAGCTAGGTCACATAAACAAGTGGACCAGTGTCACTTTAAATTCATGACTGTAATTCTCAAATAAGCACTTAGAAATATTATAAGGCAGTCTCATAGACTGATTTTCTCAATTTTCATATCATCTAGAACCTTCTTGCTTCTCCTTAAACAGCCTTCTCAACCCTCCATTTTTTGATGACTATCCTCACATTTTACTTTAAAAAAACATAAGTGATCAAAGGAAATCCCTCATCTTTGTACCACCAATTTAGCAACCAACTTGCATCTGCACTGAACTGTCTGTCTATCCTGTTTCTTTCTGCTATCACAAAGCTACCCTGATTCTGTGCAAAGCCAAAATCAACTCCACAGCTGCTACTGCAGACTATCCCCACTTCCCCTACATTGGCTTCCCCTCCTGCTGATTCATTCCCATCAATATTCAAAAGCATTCTAACACCTCAGTGGCAATGCTGGGAGTGTAGCTCATGGTAGAGCATGTGCTCAATCCCCAGCACCACAAAAAATCAAAACAAAATAAAATCCTTAGTTGTCCCACATCCCCCCTTCTCTGCTCCCTTCTAAGTTCAAAATTTTTGAACTAATTGTCTTTAGTCTGTTTTTGCCTCATATCACCCCCATTCTCTTTCAATCCAGTCCAACTGGGCTTTCAGCCCCCTGGGTCCACTAGGATTTTTGCCAAATACAGTGTGTTTTTATCTCACTTCTTGCACCAGCATTTGACACAGCTGACCATTCTTTCTTTTCTTTCTTTTTTTTTAAATGTCAATGGACCTTTATTTTTAAAATTTATTTATTTATATGCAATGCTGAGAATCAAACCCAGTGCCTCAACACATGCTAGGCAAGAGCTCTACCACTAAGCTACAACCCCAGCCCTACAGTTGACCATTCTTGTCTTTGGAGAAACATTCTTCTCTTGGCATCTATGGCACCACCATCCCTAAGTTTCTAATATATCTCAAGGGCCCTTTTGATAACATTAGCTGCCTCCTCTTCCTCTGTTTGATTTCTAAATAAAGATTCCTATATAAAGGCTCAATCCTGGGCTCCTTATTGTCTTTCTCTGCCCTCTTTCTAGGTCTCATCTGGTCTCTTGGTTTTAAAAACCATCTATAGCGGATGACAATTGAATTCTATCCCTCATCCTGACTTTTTTCCAGGACTTCTAACTCTAATCCCGGTCTTCCCGATATCATCTGGATATCAAAGAAGTGGTTCAAACAACATGGTCAAAACAAAACTTTTTATTCTTGCCCTATCCATTTCTTTCATATTCTCTTCCTCTGTAAAATACATCACCATGCACCTGGTTGCTCCGGGAGAAATCCTAAGAGTTTCTTTTCCCGTGATTCCTACCTTTCATTCACCCTTTCTGTCTAACCTACAGATAAGTCTGACAATTCCACCTCCAAAATCTATCCTGAAGGTCGTCCTTTTTCTCTATTTCTAGCAGCACTCCACAGTTCAAACCATCACCATTCCTTGTCTGCTTAGGACACAATAGTGTCCTATAATAACTACTATTATCCTAACTGCTTTTCTTATTTCCACTCTTTTCACACAGTGGCTAGAGGTATCTTTTATAAATCAAAGTGTGCTTCTCCTGGGCTTCAAAATCTTCAATGGTTTTTTCCATCTATAACTCAGTATAAAATTCACACATCTTGGTGTGATCAGAGTCCTGCCTAACTTTCTGACCTTGCCTTACGCCATTTCCCCTTTCACTCAGCCATGCTGTTATGTGAATTAATTCCTAGAACCTTTGTACTGTTCCTTCTACATCTTTCTCCTGACCTCAGCTGGTGAATCATCTTTTGGTTTACATGTCGTCTCCTCAGTCTGCTTTAACCTGACTACCCAAAGTGCGTAACTCTGTATTAAATCACCACATAGCAATATCACTATCTGATTCTTTATTTTTTTTTTCAATCCTCCTGGTCCTGGGGATTGAACTCAGGGCCTCACACATGCTAAGCAAATGCTCCACCACTGAACTATATTCCCAGATCATTCTATTATTATTATTAGTATTATTTTGGTACCAGGGATTGAACCCAGGGGTGCTTAACCATTGAGCTACACCTCCAGCCTTTTTTTAATATATTTTTTAAAAAAAGTTTTTAAAGATTTTTTAAATATGGACACAATATCTTTATTTATTTTTATGTGGTGCTGAGGATTGAACCCAGCACCTTGCATGCGCTAGGCGGCTGAGCCCTCTACCGCTGAGCCACAATCCCAGCCCCCTTTTTTTTAAAAAAAATTTTAATATTTATTTTTTAGTTGTAGTTGAACACAATACCTTTATTTTATTTATTTATTTTTATGTGGTGCTGAGGATTGAATCCAGGGCCTCGCACATGCTAGGTGAGCATTCTACCGCTGAGCCACAACCCCAGTCCTCTTTTTTTATATTTTATTTAGAAACAGAGTTTTATTGAATTGCTTAGGGCCTCGCTAAGTTGCTTAGGCTGGCTAGAACTTGCTGCCTCAGCCTCCCATACTGCTGGGATTACAGGCGTGCGCCACTGCACCTGGCTCTTTTATTTTATTTTGAGAAAGAGACTCTTGTGAAGTTGCTCAAGCTGGCATCAAACTTATAATCCTTCTGCATCAGACTCTTGAGTAGCTGGGATTACAGGTGAGTGCCACTGTACCTGGCATTTATATATATACATATATATTTGGTTATAATTGGAAACAATACCTTAATTTTATTTATTGTTTTTATGTGGTGCTAAGGATTGAACCCAGTGCCTTGCACATGCTAGGTGAGCACTCTATTGCTGAACCACAACCCCAGCGCCCCTGGCATGATATTTATTTATGTATTTATTTTAAAATGCTCTCTCTTGCTCTTTAGTAGAGAATAAGCTCCATTAGAACCTTGTCTGCCTTGCCCATTATTATATACAATGCTTAGAGGGGTAGACACTCAAAAAATTATTTATCAAGCAAAGGCTAGAACCACCTTGAGAGATAGGTTAATATCATTACTGTAAATGAGCATTACATTTAGCTCAAAGCTGCCAGGGGCTGAATGACAGTATGGATACACAAGGAATACAATTCTGACTCTAATAAAATAAAGGTGGTAAGTCATCAGGAAGATTGAACATGTTCCTGGTACTTTCTAAAATGATATAACCCATTTTTCCTTAGAATGAGAAAATAAATTCAGCAAAAATATAACTTAAGACTCCCAAATAGAAATGACAGTTATTCATTAGAGAAGACAATTAGGACTTCTTTACAATGACCGCTGCTTGGTCTCCTTGCAGATTCAGCATTTGTACTTACTTGGTAAAATCTTTCTGACAGGTCAGGAGTTCCAACAGGAAAAGTATATATGGTGGATGGAAGCAGTGAGGCTGCCCAAGAGACTCTGTACAGTACTGAATTATCCTCAGGACTTCCAGGATGCTCTGGGCTTGGGCTTTCCTCAAGGAAAGAACCTTTACAACACTAGAGAAAGAATTCAAGTCAGGAATGCCCAGAAAACTCCTGAACTGGGGTGGAAAGAAAATGTATCCCCCACCCAAGTTCTGAAGCCATTTGAATGAAAAGGAGAGACTATTGTGAGGATTAGAAATAACATGCATGAACAGTATCAATATCTGTTTGCTATGTTAGGTCATCACTCAGCATTACAAATTAGTACACATTAACTGCAGAAACCCAACAACTCTATTTTTTTAGTACCAAGGATTAAATTCCGGGGCACTCAACCACTGAGTCATATCTCCAGCCCTATTTTGTACTTTATTTAGAGACAGGGTCTCATTGAGTTGCTTAGAGTGTCACCACTGCTGAGGCTGGCTTTTGAACTTGTGATCCTCCTGCCTCAGCCTTCCGAATAGCTGGAATTACAGGTGAGCGCCACCATGCTCAGCCCAACAACTTACTTTTAAAATTAAATAATTCAAAAGGAACTCTAACGTCTTTACTTCCCTGAAGAGACAAAGCTTTCATTCTTAGCATAAGAAATTCCTCAGTAACTTCAAACCCATCATACTTTCAAAGAGGTAGGTCTATGGCAAGTAATTTTGTCAGAAAACATTAAATTCTAAATTTCCCCCAGGGTTAAAATAAGACAAAATTTTAAGTGGCAGCTACCAAAAGAAATGCTTCGTCTTTTTTTTTTTTTTAAATCCTAATGATACATTGCTGGGCTACATTTTACAAATAGTATAATGTCCAAGTTTTAAGTGAAAAAAAAAATACTCATAAAGAAAAAAATTAAAAATTTTTCTTGAATATTCAAAATAAGACTTGGTTTATCCTAAATATTATCTGTTCTTTTTAACATGAACTTTAAGCCTTTGACTATACTGGGTACCTGTGTCTTGAAAAGACAGAATACTAGGAAGGAATGATTGGCTCACCTCTCATGAGAGATTGACTGATCTTTAATGAAGTCCATGACATCCTTTAAAACTGGGTATTTCTCTTTCACTGTGGGCACTGGTCTGGCCTCCTCCATGGATCTGAAGGAGAGCAGCCGGAGTCGCCCTCGAGTGAAGGGGGGCCGCCGGGTAGGTGTGGAAGGTGATGAGGGCTCTTCAGCTGTAGAAGGTTCTGCAGTGGGAGGGCCACTGCTGGGTGGCAACTTTGGTGGGATCTCCAAGCCAGGACTCTTGTCTCCTACAGTTGGGGCTGCTGTTTCAGTGGGTGACGCTGAGGCTTGGAAATGCTCTTCGACCACAGAGCTTGTCCTCTGGCGCCTGTCAAGTGGCTGGAGATGATCAGTTTCATCAGCAGTCACCACCTTGTCACTGCTTTCTTTTGAACTTTTAGCCATGGGCAAAAATTTTAGTAATAGAAGACTTTTCTGAATACACTCTTTTGCTAAATGAAACAAATAAAACAAGAATGGTAATGAACAAAAAATTAAAATTAAATATATTGCCTACTTTCAGAGAGAAAATAATCTATTTAAACTTTCTGATGTAGGGCAAGAAATACCTTCGTTAATACTGTGATATACACATGTACTGATGGAATAGAAACAAATTTTATCTCCTTATATAAAACCAAGATCTTTCCAGGACTATATTGGAATAGTTTCATGGTGAACATTTCAAACATATAGAGAACAGTGTAAGAACCTCTCAATATATCTATTATCCAGCTTTAGTAATTATTAACTCATAGCCAATCTTGTTTCCCCCACCCCCACTGGCTCCCATTCCCTGAATTATTTCCATGTACATCCTAGGGATCAGACTTTTTCACCTGTAAAAACTTCAGCATATTTGTTTTGTGCATATACAGTACTAGGGGTGGAACTCAGGGCCCTGCATGCTAGGCAATGTTTCATTTTCATACAGGGTCTCACAAAGTTGCTGAGGCTGACAAGGCAAGTAATCAGAAACATGTTCCACTTTAGAGCATGTCAATAAATACTTATTCCTCTCTGGCATTTTCTCCATTAGTGACAAGTATTAGGAAACAACATTTAGTAACTTTATTACTTTTGGTCTACGTGGCCTCAACTAGCGTAACCCGAAGGTAGGGTGCTGGTTCTCAAAGTTCTGAAAAGAAAACTGAAGGTCGGATGACCACAGCTGGCAGTGGCACACTCACCCAGGCTCTCTGGATTTGCCTCAGTCGCTTCCAAACTGTGTTTTTCTTCTGCCTCGCTCCCCAGGCTCATCAGGGACTTCTGTTTCATCTCTAACTGGGGAGAGGATTTGAGCCACAAAATTAAGCTGTCCAGATAGGGTGTCAAGGGCAGTTACACTGAAGTACTTCAAAGGCACACAGCATTGAAGAGCACAGAGGACTTTACAGCTGTTATTCAGCTGCTGAGGACACAGGGCTGAGCTGTTTTTGTATGTTCTGAAAGTCTTCCAGGCTTTGAAATTGTCTAAAGGTATATCTGCAAAACTACCTTCTTTTCAAGTACGTGTTATTTAGGAGGATTTTATATACATGACTTTATTAGTTAAAAAAATCTAAAACATTAGTATAGGAGATGCCTATAGTTAAAGCTTACTAGTACAAAGAAGCTGAGGTCTAGAGAAATTAAGGGTCAAGCTTGGACCAAAAAAATTTCATTTTTGAGATGGGCTCTCACTATATTGCCCAGGCTAACCTCAAATCCTTGGACTCAACTGATCCTCCTGCCCCAGCCTCCTGAGTAGCTGGGATTACAAGTGTATGCCACCACATCTGACTTAGACAAAATTTGATCCATTCTATCTTGAATGAGAAGAAACCCCTAAGTGCTGCTGAGACTTCTAGGTAGAGAATGGTGATTTTAGTTATAGTCCAGGCAATGGTCACACCATGAGCCACAATGCTGAAAGCTAAGGTAGAAGGCCATGTGTGATGTATGAGGTGTCAAGGTACCAAAGAGAAGGTTGATATGTTGTTCAACTATGGACAGTCTGTTCTAGGCTAACCCAGGAGCATAACCTACAATGTGCCTTGTCAATTGCCAAATCCTTTTTACATAAATTGTCCATGGTGTCTGACTTTCCTAAATACTTCTTTCTTTAAACTTTACTATATTGCCTTGGTTTCTCTGTCAGCATACTCTTCTGAATCTCTTCCCACCATTCTGAAAACAATGCCTTTTAGTTTCTTATGTCAGATTCTGTTCACTTTGGTTTCTATCTATTCAGGATATATTGGGCACTAACCAATGTTCTAGTCACTGTGTATTCTGTCCAAGGCTGTCTGTTCCTAGATAAATTCATATTTAAAAACAAAACAAAATAAAGAACTTATTACAAATTATTTAAAGTTTTCTTTATCTCTGCCTTGACATTTCTGTGAAGCATCATCCATTTAGGTTCTTTAATGAACTCTCCAGGTAGATGTCTTAGATAACCTAGATGTTTTTACACTCAACAGGTTCTAAACTGAACTTACCTCCTCACTCTCAGATCTAAGACTAATGCTTGGTCAACACTTCTATCATCCACCAAATCACCACCAGAAACCTGGGACTACTCTAAATTCCTTCTTCCTGTTCACCACTCACATCAATCACAAAGCCCTGTGGATTTTATCTCCTCAGTTGCAAAAGCCATCCTCATCTAATTACTGCAATTAAGTCTTCTGCTTTCAATTTCATTATCTATCCTCTACTCAAAGATTTTTTTTTCTCAATTACAACATAATATTTAAGATGCATGCAAATATGTAAGGAATAATAACACTAATATATAGGTACTCATCTCCATGCCTAAGAAATAAAAACAATTTAGTGTTTATCTTTTTTATGAATTTATAAAAAGTTTTAACTACATACTTATAGGTGTAACACACAGATTTGGTTTGAATTAGGATCTTACAAGGATTTCCACACTTCTGCATCCTTTTGCAATTTGCTTTTTTGTTCATCAAGTCTGTGAGAGTTATCCATGGTGATACATGTGGCTCTTTTCATTCACTTTCATTGTAATATAATATTACATCATTATATATTATTATAATGTAGTATTTTGTAATAATATAATATTCAGTATATCTTGTCACTTTTTCCTACTGATGGACAGCTGGTTCTTCCATGTTACTGCTGTTACACAATGCTACAGAACCATTTTTCTAAGATGCAGACCCGAGGCCTCTCCCCTGCCTAAAACTGTCAATGGATGCTGAGTATATAAAGCAATCCTTTTCCTTCTGGTCTAAGATCTATGGAGTAGCCTCTAGGGTTACTAAAAGATGTAAAGAGGGCTCAACTAAACCCCATTTACTCAATATTTTCAACAATCACCAAATTACGATTTCTTTTTTTTCCTCCACATTTTTTATTGGTGCATTATTGTTGTACGTAGTGGTGGGATTTGTTGTTAAATATTGGCATATGTATACAATATAACAATATAATTTGGCCAATATCCTGCCCCATAAATTATGATTTCAAGGGTTCTAAATTATTTTATTTATATTCATATAGCCGAACTTTAGTTTAAAAATATTCCTCAAATTATATTCTTGAGAAAAGGCCTACTTACTTATTGCCATGATATCATGGTAGGAAAACCTAAAATATATCAAAATCTCATGGGAAGGAAAATCTTACCATCCATATTCGAATCCCATCCGCCAAAGAATACACCTGTGCAAACTCTTCACTCAGGGCTACCTTGCCCCGGCTGTTTACTAGGGAAGGAAGAGAGACAAAGTGATTACATTCAGTTTACTCAATTCACTACTGTAGCTTTAAACACAAAATATTTTCTGAACCTTTTAAAATACAGAAGAAATCCTCCTGACACTCATGCATTAGGGGTGGTAAGAGAGACTTGAGGGGAAAAATCATCGATTAAGCCACAAATACTTGGATGGGTTCTCTGTGTTATTTCAAACTAACTTCGTACAAACTAATAATTTTTGAAATAGAAATACTACTCAAAGTGAATAAAATATAAAAAAATACCTAAAGTAAAATCTTTAAAATATCAGGTCAGGGGAGTAACTCGGTGGTGGAATGCTTGCTTATCATGTGCAAAGTACTGGGTTCAATCTCACTCCAGTAAGATTGGCAGCCATTATGAAGTCAAACAACAACAAGTGCTGGCGAGGATGTGGGGAAAAGGGTACACTTGTACATTGCTGGTGGGACTGCAGATTGGTGCAGCCAATTTGGAAAGCAGTATGGAGATTTCTTGGAAAGCTGGGAATGGAGCCACCATTTGACCCAGCTATTCCCCTTCTTGGTCTATTCCCTAAAGACCTAAAAAGAGCATGCTACAGGGACACTGCTACATCGATGTTCATAGCAGCACAATTCACAATAGCAAGACTGTGGAACCAACCTAGATGCCCTTCAATAGACGAATGGATTAAAAAAATGTGGCATTTATACACAATGGAGTATTACTCTGCATTAAAAAATGACAAAATCATAGAATTTGCAGGGAAATGGATGGCATTAGAGCAGATTATGCTAAGTGAAGCTAGCCAATCCCTAAAAAACAAATGCCAAATGTCTTCTTTGATATAAGGAGAGTAACTAAGATCAGAGTAGGGATGAAGAGCAGGAGAAGAAGATTAACATTTAACAGGGATGAGAGGTGGGAGGGAAAGGGAGAGAGAAGGGAAATTGCACGGTAATGGAAGGAGACCCTCAGGGTTATACAGTGGAGGGGGTAGAGAGAGAGGAGGGGAGGGGAGGGGAGAGGTGGGGAGGGGGGATGGTGGAGGATGGGAAAGGCAGCGGAGCACAACAGACACTAGTATGGCAATATGTAAATCAATGGATGTGTAACTGATGTGATTCTGCAATCAGTGTATGGGGTGAAGGTGGGAGTTCATAACCCACTTGAATCAAAGTGTGGAATATGATATGTCAAGAAATTTGTAATGTTTTGAACAACCAACAATAAAAAATTAAAAAAAAAAATTAAAAAAAAATAAAATATGGCAGAACTAAAAAAAAAAAAAAAAAGTACTGGGTTCAATCCTAAAACATTAAAAATTAAAACTGAGGAAAGCCAGTCATAATAGTGTAAACCTGTAGTCCCAGCTATTCATGAGGAAGATCACTTGAGCCAGTGAGTTCCAAACTAGGCCAGGCAACAGTGAGACACTGTCTCAAAAATAAAAACAAAACAAAAACTGAGTAAAAAAATAATTACTGGGCTGGGGTTGTGGTTCAGTGATAGAACACTTGCCTAGCATGTGTGAGGCACTGGGTTTGCTCCTGATCACCACATAAAAATAAGTGAGTAAATATATAAAGGTATTGTATCCATCTACAACTAAAAATAATAATAATAATAATAATAATAATAATAATAATAATAAAATAATTTAATTTTTAAAATTATTATTGAGATATCAATCAATCAATAACATGGATGGACATATACAAACATAAAACACCTAGATAAAAGGTCAGTTTCAGTTTAATATATAGAAAAAAGTTAATAGAGGTGTTTTCTAAATAGTGAGATTGTAGTTCATAATTTTTTTTTTTTTTTCAGAAGTAGAAATTGAACCTGGAGATTGAACCCAGGGGTACTCTAACAAGGAGATTCATCCCTAGTCCTCTTATGGTTTATTTTCAGATCGAGTCTCACTAAGTTGCTGAAGCTGGCTTTGAATTTGCGATCCTTTTGCCGTACCCTCCTAAGTCACTAGGATTACAGGTGTGTGGCACTGTGTACAACAAGTTCATAATTATTTTAAACGTTTCTAGACTTTTTCAGTCTCTACATGAGTATTTTTTTTATAATTTGAAAAAAAAATTTTTTTCAAGACCTAAGAGGCCTGTCCCTCTCATAAAGCAAAATACAATACAATAAAACAGTATGAAGCTTTCTGTTGCATCCATGTTCAATACAATAAACATTTTATGAAGCCCTAGCATGTGCTGGGTTCTACATTAGGCACTGTGAATACAATGCTGAGAAAAAGACATGGTCACTGACCTCATGCAGTGTATGTTCAAGTTGAAAAACTCCTCTCTTACATTTCTAACCCAATTTTTAGACAAAAAGCATTCTCAATGTAGCTCAGTTTTAAAGAACTCACGAATAGTCTTTATTATGATATCTATAGCATAAAGGCAGATGCACAAAGAACTGAATGGGCCACATTCAACAAGGACAGATTAGAAACAAGCCACATACAGCCAGCTATTTCTAGTTCCCACATTTGATTGTGTGTTTCTCTCCTACAAACACATATGTGGAATGGAACATGGTTTGACTTCCCCCTAGTAGGAAACATTCTGTTTCTCAGCTTTTAACCCACAGGCCTTTATACATTTATTGAAAAGTCCCTCAAGTAACAAGGAGTGTCCAGCTTTCTTACTGTCATTTGATCACAAAAATATATATTGTTTTCTTTTTTCCTTCAAAACCATGCAGGTTCCCTTGTCCCTCTCCCCATTCCTTAGTGAAGATACACTCTCCCATATGATATTTGTTTCCATACATTACTCACATTTCAATGTAGTTTTATTTAGGTGGTGGGCTTTTTTAAAGGAGATGTTAAGATTTGAGAAGTAATTGAGATAGTTTCTCAATCAGGAAATAAAGTGCAATGTGAGAGCTAAAGAACTAAGCAATACATGTTGCAGGGATAATATCAATTATAGTAACATGAGCAATAATCAATCACCTACTCTAAAGGAAGGAAGCATCTATTCTCACTTATTTCATCTGCATCAGAAAGAACACATACCTTGCCAAGCACCTTGGAAAAGCCTAAGCCTTATCTTTTTTTTTTTTTTTAATATTTAATTTTTAGTTGTAGTTGGACACAATACCTTTTATTTATTTATTTATTTCTATGTGGTGCTGGGGATCAAACCCAGGGCATTGCACATGCTAGGCAAGTGCTCTACCGCTGAGCCACAACCCCAGCCGTAAGCCTTATCTTTACATAGGATTTGCAATGCTTTTCCCTGAAAAAGTGTGAATGTAGAGAGAGTAGAGATCTTCTGTGTGGATCCTGTTAGGATGTAAGCTGCACATATGAACAACACACAGAGATGGTGCCCTGAGGGAAGTGAGGAAGAGAAATGGTGAAGGGAAGGCTGTCCACAGAGATCCCACCAGAGGCAGCCTGGTGGGATCATGCCACAGAGAAGCTGCAAGTCTAGAGAAAGAGTTAGTACCTTCATTTGCCTCCTTCTACAAGCATGTTATTAGCACAGTCAATAACTTAAATACCTGTGGCTTTAATTGGAATTTCTAGAATGTTGGAGCTAAGGAATTCTAAACCAATTTTACAGATGAGGAAACAGAGGTGCAGGAAGGTTGTCTAATTAACCTGAGCAGTGCAGCTTCTGAGTTTCAGAACCGACACCATTAAGGTTTCTTTCTATTAAATTTCTTGGAAGTTTTCCATGAGAATTCTGGAAAAAGACAAAGTATCTGCTAATTCAGAAACTCAAGGCTACTTGCCACACATAACTATCTGCTAACTATAAATTGGCCATGAATCTTTTGATTGACAAAGTAGAACAAGATGAAGTTTACAGTTGTAGATATGTGTTAACATTTTAGAATTTCTAAATTTTCCCTTAAGATAGGCTTCTTATAACTTAGCAATTAGCCTTCAGATCAAACATATTCCCTGTAATATAAGTTACCATATTTTTGCAGCTTCTCATATAAGTCTGGAGTGCGATACACCAGAGCAGCAAAGGTGGCGTTCACAGCTTGATCAATAGTGGAACCAGCAACTATATCTGTCTTTGGGGCCTGTTTTCTACATGCCTGTATGAATCCTTTGAAAAGTTCTGAATATGGCCCACAGAAGTTCTGAGCAGGCTCTGACTGGGCAAAATCAAGGAGAAAATGGCGGCAGGGATCATCAGGAATGCTCTTAACCTAGGAACAAGAAAAAAAAAATCACATTTGAAATATTCATCAAAAAGTAAAATTTACTGAGCACCTACTAAGATAAAGCAGAAGTATAAACAAATGGTGCATACTCTCAGGAAGTTTAAATCTATTTTAGGGAGACCAGACAGATGTATATGGGTTAATAAAGGCAAATAAAAATAAAACTTAAATGCATTAAAACTAACACTACCATAAAGCAAAAGATTATCCAGTGCCAAATGCCTAAAGGGGACACCCAGTGCTGAGAACTCAAAGGAAGGAGTTCCTGGCAGGTTAAAGTAATTAAGAAAGCCTCTGAAGGACTTGGGATTAGGGCTGAACCCTGAAGGATGGGAAGGCTTGGCCTTGAGGGATATAACCACTAGCAGAGGTTAAGAGTCAGTGGGGAGACTGACCTGGCCTGAAGTCTCAGCTGGGGAGTGGTGGGAACTAGAGTCAGATAGTTAAGGTGAAAGGAGACTGTAGAGAGCCTTGACTGTCACACTGAGGAGTTTAGACTTCACCCTGTGGGCAACGGGGAGCCATTAATGGTGCTTGGCAGTGGAATGACAAGATAATGCAGTGATTTAAAAAAAAAAAAAAAAAAAAAAAAAAACTTGGCAGGTACCAATGTAATAATGCAGGTGTGATGAGGGCCTGGATAAAAATGGAGACAGAGGAAAGGACAGAGATGAACACCATAAGGAAGAATCTACAGGGCTTGCAACTGACTGATAGGAAAGGCAAGAGCAGGGCAGGGATGAAGGGGATGTGAGGGAGCAGTGGCTCTGGGCCTGGGCAAACAATGACTACAACAGAAGTGAGCAGTTAGTAAAGGAGACATTCTGTTTTTTTACTTCAGAGTTAATGGGAGTCAGGACATTAAAATGAAAACGCCTAACAGGAAGATGAAGATATGGAGAAGATACTGGAGTCTGGGAGAAAAAAGAGGGCTGGAAACTGATATTAAGGAATTATTCCCACAGATGGGACAGTTAAAGAGAAAAGAGAGAATAAAGTTTTGGTGGATGGTAGAAAAGGGGAGGAAGCCTGAATATAGCCTACCTTATAGAGAAGAAGGAATGAGAAAGGCCAACGGAGGAGGCACACAGAGAGTTGGATGTAGAGAAGACAGTGGACTATCATGGAATCAAAAAAAGAGAGGGTCTGAAGGAGTTTGATTTAACAGGGAGATAAAGGAGAGTAGAAATGGAGAAAGAGCTACTGACTTTGGCAATTGACCATGGAATAACTTGCAGGGGAAAGAAAGGGAGGGAAAGAAGGAAGGAAGGAGAAATAATAGAAAAAGGGAAGGAGAGATGGAAAGTAGAAACAGAGGGCAAATTTTTTAGTTTTTAAAATATTATGAACAGTTAAATAAAGTGCTACAGCTGTATGGAGAACAAAAGGAATAGCAAAAACCATTTACTCTTAAGTGTGACTCAGTAGGCACTAGAAACAGACTCCACTTGTTTGATTGATAATGCCATCAAGAAAGATTTACTGAATACCTACTATATTTCACTGGAGTCATTCCTTATTTTTGAACACCCATTGCTGACTGGTCCCTGGGGTACACAGTGGGATAACAAATAACAAGGAACAGTTTCTGCCTCAAGGCACTAACAGTTTAATGGGGTGATAAGACATTAGTAAACAGTTTCCACCCAGATGTAAAGATGACAGAAGAGTAAATACCTCCTTCCTATCCTGGTGTGGGTGAGTGGGCCAGCTTGCTTCTAATTCCAACTCTGGACAAATCTGATGCCTGAAGACAGGTTTCCACAAAGGAGAGTTCAGGACTGAAGCCATTTTTGCCTGTGGTATTACCATATTACTTCCTAACTCTGGAAAAAGAAGGTGACTTGTGAGAGTTCTATTTTTTCCTTAATACACTGAGATTCTTTGAACTAACAAAGAAAAGGGTTAAACAAAGAGAGAAAAAAAACAAAAAAACCTAAGAGGAAATTCACTCACATTTCCGAGAAACACATTATAGATTAACCTAAACCACAAGTCCTGAAATGCTGCTGTTCTGTGGGATAACTTCAGTTACAAGGTGTCTTTGAAGTGATTAACCTGTTTACTAAACTGAAAGCCAAATGTAAACTACTTCTAGCACACAATAGGAGGTCATTTAAGAATATTAATTATGGGAAAACATTCACAATTTATAAACTTAATTTTATTAAAAAAATAATTAAATACCCACCATAGATCTAAATAGACACAGAAATAAAGATTAGGTGGAATTTTAAAAATGTTGATAATAGTTATCTCTGGGTGTTAGGAGTAAGGGTGATTCTACTTTTCTTCAATTTTTCTCCAGTATGTAATTTTTCTATGAGCTTTTACTTTTATAATTGGAAAAACTCAAGAGATCATACAGAAATAAATTTACTAGAAAGGTTTATTCTATAAGTTTTATTACTTATAAGAATTTAATAACAAGTTCTATAAATTGAATTTAATAACAAGTTGACCAAATCCATACTCACATATCTATATCTATACATAAATATTTACTCAAACAATATACAATTAATTTATTCTATTTTTCTGCCTTCTGGTTGGAGTATACCTAAATCTACCTCCAAAAATACATTATTATGATGTTGCTAAAAAAATCCATCTCCCTCTTTCTCTTGTTCTCTTTCAATAGGGGGAATCCACAAAACCCGTTGTGATGTGGGCCAAAGACTGAGTCAAAAAACTTCATGTCAGCCGGGAGTGATGGTGCACACCTATAATCCCAGCAGCTCAGGAGGCTGTGGCAGGAGGATCACAAGTTCAGCAACTTAGCAAGGCCCTAAACTACTTAGCAAAACCCTGTCTCTAAATAATATACCTATTATTTAGGGGATGTGGCTCAGTGGTTAAGCACCCCTGGGTTCAATGCCCAGTACCAAAAAAAAAAAAGAAATTTCATGTCAATGATGTCAAGTGGACAATTTATTCTGGCTTGGTTTAAAGGAAACTGAACGGAATATTATCAATACCTTGCCCTGATCTTATGTGAAGATGCCACAAGGGAGAGTACATGTTTTGCTCTTAAACACAGTTGTAAGGAGAAGGAAGGGACAGGGCTGTGAACTTACGATACGTAGACTTGAGTGCCATGCACTGGGAGGCGAGGCGTCCCATCAGTCGGGAGACAAGGAGTTGTAAATCTAACCCCCAAGACACAGCAACATCAGGCAGGCCATAGGCAGTGACAGTGAATTTGTAGCCCCACTCATTGTTGCTGCTGTCAGAGTGAAAGAGGAACTGTAGCCGAGGACCATCCTTAAAGGTCACTTTCTAGAGACAGACAAATGTCATGTGGTCAAATAGAGTGAGGAGGAAGCATTTCAGTAGTAAACATGTTCTTTGTGACTCAAAAACTGGTCTCTATTTCCACAAGTGCACAACTACTGAAGGAGAAATGTACAAAGGTGTGACTGAAACACAAAATTTACTGCAACACTCATGAAAAAGCATAATTGGCAGAAAACTACTGCTTAGCTTTCTAAATTCAGATGCCCATCTGCCTACTACCTACTCAGCCAGTGATCACACCTGCTTAGTCCTTTGCTGCCAGCCAAGACCCCTGAGAGCAGAGAGAAGGTCAACAGCCTGGGGCAGCTCTTAATCTCCAACCCAGAGAGAGCAGATCCAATTGTGAACTGGACTCCTGGCTTTCACCATGGTCTGGGCCTTCATTCAGATCCACCAGTCCGTCCTTGACAAGAGTGACAGATCCTCATTTATTCTGGACAATGCTGAAAGAGTCTGGGGGTTGGTAAACTTTTCCTATAAAGAACGCAGGTGGCCAATATTTTAGATTTTTCAGGTCACACAATCCGTGTTGTGATCATTCAACCCTGCCAAAGCAGTACCAAAGTGGCTATAAGAGATAAAAGGGAATGGTTGTGTTTCAAATCTTTTTTATTTATAAAACAGGCAACAGATAGTAGTTTGTCAACTTTGATACAAATCTTACTTTTATTAAAGTGTAATATAAATGCTTCCCTTCAAAGATTACACCTCTTGCTCTAAGGGTTGACAGAATTGCTACAGAAGTGTTTCATTTATTTCTAAGAATATCACTCACCTTAGGCCATTTGTAAGTGCCGACTTTTGTGTCATAGCGTGTTTTCCCACCTCTAGCATCAGTAAATTCCAGGTAATCATATCTGTGAAAGCATAATCTTTATTACTTTTCTTCTCTTGTTTTTGACCCATTATTGCTAGGGAGAAAAGAACATGTAAGTCTTACCTTTTTTCAGTTTCACACCTTTCGTCAAATTCCACCTCAAAATAGGTTGCCCCTGGGCTAACAAAGACAGACACCTCGTGGCAGTTATTTTCATAGTTGTGGGCAGACTCTTTGGTCCATGTATGCAGAACCACAGGCTGTTCTTGCTGCCAGGTCTCTACATCCAGCTAAGCAAACAAGTGAGTCAAGAAAAGACAGTATTTGGGCTGGGGTTGTGGCTCAGTGGTGGAGTGCTTGCCTAGCATGTGTGAAGCACTAGGTTCGATTCTCAGCACCACATAAAAATAAATAAATAAAAGGTCCATTGACAATTAAAAAAATATTTTTTAAAAAAGATAGTATTCATCACTCCACACCCAGCCATACGCAATAGGCTTTCTCTATCAGTGCTGTAGGCACATGAGCTTTGACAGCCCCACGCTGTCATGCAAGCTAAAAGACACCTGACCTTCCCATCTGAACAGAGATCAACAGATATCTATCATTCAGCAAGGTAGACATGTGCTTTTAGTCTACTGTAGGAACTTTGGGATCAGTCTTTATCTTTTTTGCACTTGCCCTGGATCAAACCCAAGGCCTCACATATGTAGCCAAGTGTTCTACCACTGAGCTACATCCCCAGCCCAGAACTATTTCTTTTTTGGTACTGGTGATTGAACCCAGGGGGACTTAACCACTAAGCCAAATACCTAGCCAGTGTGGTCAAATAGATGTGAGGAGGAAGCATTTCAGTCGTAAACACGTTCTTTGTGACTCAAAAACTGGTCTCTATTTTTTGAGACAGAGTCTCTCTGATTGCTTAGTGCTTTGCTGGCTTTGAACTTGTGATCCTCCTGTCTCAGCCTCCTAAGCTGCTGGGATTACAGGCATGCACCACCACACTTAGCCAGAACTATTTCTTACAAATCATTGACAATATGTATTTCCAGTGGGGTGGGGGAAGAACACTGAATTAAGAGTTTAAAGGCCTCATATTCCTACTTGGGACCTCAGCAAATCTAAGACCACTATCTCTCTTTGAATCTTTGCTTTTTAAAAAACCTATTAAGTATATGCCCTTTCTACTGCTAAGGGTTTTTGTGATACTTAAATAAGACTGTGAAAAAACTTCGTGTACTATAAGATTAAGTAAGAGAGAGAATTCTTTTAAATGTCAGACTTTCTAACCTGCCTTTTTTTGGGGAGGCAGCGGGTACCGGGGATTGAACCGGAGGGTGCTTAATCATTGAGCCACATCCCCTGCCCTTTTTATTTTTGAGACAGGGTCTTGCTATGTTGCTTAGGGTCTCCGTAAATCACCAAGGCATGCTTTAAACTTGTGCTCCTCCTGCTTCAGCCTTCTAAATTGCTAGGAAAACAGTCATGTGCCACTAGGCCTAGTTCTAATTTGCCTTTCAACATACATTTTCTCTTCTAGACTTCAATGATTATTCACATATATGGATCTTATGTAACTTTTGTGTTATAATTGCATAATTTACTCTTTGTATCTCCTTTCTAATGCTGACTATGACAAATAAACTTGGATCACCATTTATTCTCTTTGTTGAAAAAAACCACCAATAAAATTGCCTTCTAGAGGCAACTTATTTGTGAAGATCTATAGTCAGTGGTATGTTCCATTCAGTACGGTCACATCTCTTTTGAGAGGAAGCAACACAGGGTCAAACACCCACTCAAGTTACCTTATTTGGCCCTCCTTCAGGGTCACTGCAGAGCTTCTTCAATAGCTCTGTTAGGGTACTGAACTCTCTCAAGAGTGTGCAGTGTGAAATGTCTAAAGTGCAGAAGTCCAACAGGAAGATGACCTAAAGAAAGATGAACAAAGGCACCCAGTGTCCACCTCAGGCCCTGCCTGGGGTACTGATCACCAACCCCTACTCTGCTTGTTACATTTTCTTACCAGTTGACGAGCTGCCATCGAAAACACTGAATTACATAATTTTTCTACTATGGTTTTCCCACTATACTGTGACAAAAGGGATTCCAAAATCACTCTCATGCTTGCCAGAAACTGTGCCACATCTATCAAAACATAAAGAAAGCGGTTAATATTTTATACGGAGGGAATATCACTTGCTTAGTTGTTACCAAGAACAAAGCCAGAGAGGACCACAGAAGCTGTGTGTGTGTGTAAGACTCAACAATAGAAGACCAGGGGACCACCAAGCACCATCCAAATGCTTTCCTCTGGAAGGGAAAGCAATGCAAATTTCAGTAAAAGGTTACTTTTAAAGAGATGTTTTCTGTCTTTGTTAGTTTTTGATGAAGTGGAGATATCACTTTTATAAGTGAAGTTACATTGTCAGTGGGCCCAGCTCTCAGCATCCTTTTTTCCTTTAGTATACAATGGGCCCAGGCATTAGGGGCACCAATCTGAAGGAACAGGTTCCAATTATAGGACTCAGTACCCTAAGCATTTATGCCATGGCTGCTCAGGGCAAGTTTGATGAAACCAAATTTTTCCCACCCAATTTCTCAGAACTTGTTAGTTTCATATAATTTTCTGTGGGTTTACAGGACATGAATTTGAATACTTCAGGACTGGCAGAGGTCACAGCAGTATTCATACACCTTGGATGCTAAAAGCTCAAAACTCTTTTTTAGATGACTTGATTAAGCCATGGATGACAGACTATCCTGACAAGTGAGACATCATCTAAGAGTGCTGTGTGACTGAAGAGAGAATGTCAGGTTATGGAATGACCCAATTCCTCAAAAAAAAAATACTAAGACATATACCACATTCAAATAGGAAATTCTGAGCAAAAAGACATACTATAGAATTCTATTTTAAGAGGGCAAAAGTTACCCTATTCAGTTTTTTGGTTTTATTTTGTGTTTTTTGTTCTTGTGGCACTGGGGATTGAATCCAGTAGAGTTCTACCACCGAGCAACATCCCCAGCCCCTTTTATTTCTAATCTTGAGACAGGGTCTCACTAAGGTGCTGAGGGTCTTGCCAAATTTCTGAAGCTGGCTTCAAACTTGTAATTCTCCTGGCTTAGCTTCCCAAGTAGCTGGGATTATAGGTGTGCATCACTGCACCCAGCATAGATCTGAACTCTAATAAAGAACCTAGTGAAAAAAAAAAAAAGAACCAGTGTACATCTCTGTGTGAGTTACAAAAGAGAAAGTTTTTGTGCAGAGTTAAATCCAGACACCTGCTCTTGTGTATTTAATATCAACACTCACATTTTTCGATAAGGTCCACGGCCAGGCCTTTGGCTGCTGTGTCAGTTGCCTTTAGCTGCAGATAGCACCAGGAGAGCAGGCTGCCTTGGACAGACCAGAAGAGGGAGAGGAGCACAGAGCCAGCCTCCCCTTGGGTCCCACTGAGCATCAACAGCTCACACTACAAGGAAGCAGACAAATACAAAATGTCCCAAGCAGGCTACTCAAAGAATACAGCCAAGGGCCCTCTATGGGAGCAGCTATTACTAGCAAAAAAAAAAAAAAAAAAATACTACCTGTATGGGGAATAGTCTCAGAAGAGTTTTCAACCCAGAAGTGAACAAGAAAGATGGCATTATGAAAACTCCTCTCTTGCCCTGCAATTTTCAGAAACTTTACAGCAATGTTTTCTGCTCCACGGGATATTTCCTTCCACAGCTCAGGAACCCACCCCACTGCTTATTTCTTCCCTGTTTTACATCTTGAAATTTCTTTTCTCTTTGGCTCCTTCTCGTGAGCTTTCAGTTAAATTTTTCTCACCTTAAAATAAATCTTCATATTTCCATGGCTCTCTAACCACCATCTTTGTTATTGGGAGTTTCTTTGAAGTATCACCCGACCTTTAGAGATAAACTCTTACACATAAATATCATGAGGTATGCTTGTATTGGCACTGTCACGGGCTCAAGCTGGAACTAACCCAACAATCCCTCCAAAGTAAAAATGGATAAAAAAAAGTGTGACATGTTTATGGAGGGAATACTGCACACCAGGGAAAGTATATGACAACACATATATCAACATGAATGAATCTCAAAACATGCCACAAAAAGATTGTACACATATGATTCTGTTAAAGGACAAAATCAGGAAAAATAAACACATTGGGTATGGATAACTACAAAGAAAAAGAAAAATAAGGAATGATGAACACAAACTTCAGAATGGTGGCTGTAGCTGTTGAGGAAAGTGGAAGGTGAGCCATGAAAAGACATGGGGATGGGGGGACGGGATTTCAAAGATACTAGTAATGTTCTAATACTTAAATGAGAGTTGTTTCTGTAAGCCATCTGTACACACACACACACACACTCTTTCATGAGTGTGTGTATGTGCATGTGAGGGTCCTGGAGATTGAACCCAGGGGTGCTCTATCACTGAGCTTCACCCTAACTCATCTTTATTTCTTATTATGAGAAAGGGTCTTGTTAAGCTAAGGCTTGCCTTGAACTTGTGATCCTCCTACCTCAGCCTCCACATAGCTGGGATTATAGGTGTGGGCCACGGCACCTTGTCATATATACTCATATATATCTACCTCATTTTTAGAAGTTGCCTCTATCTTCTGAGGCTTTGCTTTCCCCTTCCCTCCCACTCTGCTGCTTCTGTGGATACCACTCCCCTCAGACACCATTTACCACCTCGCGAGCAAATCCTTCCCACTGAACCTCAGAGACTCTTTGACCTCTATCCCCTATGAAGCTCTGTCTCCTCCCCAAGCTTCTGTTTCTCCTGAATTTCTTCCTGAGACTCTACCCCTTCTCTGTAAGATTGCCTCAAGAAACACATGGATGACATGATACTATCTCTATTTAAGACTTCAACTATCATTTGTTTTTTACTGATTACAATCTCCAGCACTGACTACTACCCTGAGTGCAACCAGTATCAACATCTGAACACTGGCAGAACTATGAACTAAGCATGCTTAGCGTCCACCCATTATCACTCCTGCTCTTTGAACACCTGCTCCTCCCCACCTTGTCACAAGCTTCTGTGTGTGCCAGTCCCTCCATCTACAGTGCCATTCTGTTCTTCTTTGCTTGCTTAAGCCTTATTCATGGTCTTGTGCAGAGCTTTAGCACCATCTTCTCGAAAATGCCTTTTCTCAGCTCTACCAGACATGGTGAGGTATGAATCCCTGACTCCCCCAAGGACCCCATACCCACCTTCTGACAGTTCTTGCCATGTGGTCAGAATTGTCTAATCACACATTTGTCTGATCTCAAGACTGGGCTCTGCCATCACTGTATCTGCTGTGCCTAGAACAGGGTCTCATACATAGCAGGTATTCAGCGATACCGTTGAGTTAACAGACTTAGCAGAAAAATTTCATGCTAGGTATACTTTGGATCACCTTTACATTTTTCCTCTAAACTAATTCTACCTCTTTAACATAACCATAAATGCCTCCATGAATGATAATTCAAGGAATTCTGTTAATGGCTACAGTGATCTCTGGCCTATGAGGTCCAATAATATCTGTAACCTCTGTATCACAGATGAGTGGAGGAGAAAAAAGGACAAGTATTTGATCTCCATATGGTAATAGTTAGAGGAAATTCTCTTGGACAAATGCCACCTTGCTTCCCCACATATATCTTAAAGCAAGTGTGGCTTAGTGGAAAGAGGATAAGACTTAGAGTCCAATGGCCTAAGTTTCAGCAGCATCTATGAATACCAGGTGGGAACCCTGAGGTTTTTTGCCCAATGGAACTGATGATATGACTTTAGTGGAAGAACTGGTTAGGGTAAGAGCTAAGATAAAGTTTCAAGGGTTTGTGTAACAGGTATAATTTAGGTGAGCTTCCAAGAGAAAGAGAAGGTGTGGGAAATGGTAAAAATAAAGATAGAGATGAGAATGGCAAATCAGAGCAGAGAACAAGTAAGGATGAGCAATAGGCTGGAATGAGAATTTGAAGGAAAACAAGAGGTAGGCAGAAGAGTCTGGAAATAAGACAGAAAGCACAATGAAAATAAGAGAAAATTAATGTGACAGTGGAAAACAGAGAACCAATCAGGTATAAAGAATTAATGTTAGCTTAAAGAAAATAGGCACCATAGTGAAATCCCAACCCTGGATTTAAAGCAATAATAGGCCTAAATAACAGTCAGCATCAGTGTGACTGTGGCAGATAATCTAGTCAGATTATAAGCTCTCTAAGGACACCATAAGTGAACTGGTGGTGGTGGGAGGGAGATAACTATTCACTGGCCTATTGCTCCAGCCTGTGAGGAATGAATAAAATCATGGCTCTAACAGCAACTTGAGAACAGTAAAGCACTATCAAAAATATAAAAGATTTAAAGACACTAAGTTCAGTTACAAGAAACAGATAAGTTGCCTTGACATCCATATCATTAAATATCTCAAGGGTATGGTGTGGACTGTCCTACCATAACACCTCTTCTCTCTGGTTCCTATATTTAGCCCTATGAGGTAGTTCTTGGCTCCTAGGAAAGCATTTCTCTCTTTTCCAAATCTCTTGGGAGTGCTTGGTAAAAATGCACATTCTTAAACCTATCTTTAGACATTCCAAATCAGTAGCTTGGGGTAGGACCTGGAAATTATTATTTTTTTCACTATTCCTGGTGCTTCCCATCATTAAGAGCATGAACTACATTTTGAGAAGCAAAACCTTTCATATGAAAAAAAGAAGTACAAAGTTTAAAAAATATCATTAATATGGGAAAAAGAGACTACATTTTCAGATTTGATTAGTCTTCAAATTTACTAAGTAATCAGTTTTTTTTTAAATGTCAAAACAGTTTTCCACAAAATTCACATCACAAATATATAACTACGTGTTGGGCTGACCACTGATAGTATCAGGGTCCTTGATTACAAATCCATTCCTCTTTTTTCACAGAAGTCTTTTTTTTTTTTTTTAAATAAACTCATCAATGAATTTTGCCCTTCTTTTTTTTTTTTTTTTTAAGAGAGAGAGAATTTTAATATTTATTTATTTATTTTTAGTTTTCGGCGGACACAACATCTTTGTTGTATGTGGTGCTGAGGACTGAACCTGAGCCACACACATGCTAGGCAAGCACGCTACCGCTTGAGCCACATCCCCAGCCCCTCACAGAAGTCTTAATAAGCACATCTGTGCTTTTACTCCTTGCTGACTACCAGGGGACAGGAAAGGAAAGGTCCCCTTACTTGTTCATAGGGGTTAGCTGGGAAACCTCTGTGTTCATGTGTAATCATCAAGTCATACTGTAGATAAGGGCTAAAGGACAGGCATAGCGACTACCATATCATGTGTTCCTAAAAGCACAAGGCAAAGAAGAGAGAGAGGAAGCCATGAGATACCTCTCGAGCAGCAACAGAGAGGAGGGTGTTCATGACTGCCAGGACTTCACTGATGTTCATGTCAGCCAGGTCACTTTTCTCAGGTAAAAGTAGAAGGCCGCCTGGATCCTTATCACTGAAAATACACAAATTAGTCACCATATCTGGTTTCAAGAAGGGGATTTTCATGTTTTCTGTCTTAAAAAATCCCAGAAAGATTTCAGTATCAGTTCTATGGGACGGAAAGAGTCTGCATCAGGAAGATAAACCATGATTCCAGCTAAGACTGTGCCACTATCTGTCCACATACCCTTCTGTAAGCACAGACTCAGAAATCCTCCAGGCCTTAGAAAAGATCCTAAGGAATATGTCTAATGAGTAAATCACCTTGGCCACCAAAAAGAAATACTGACCTCATGAATGCTAACTGGACAATCCAGGCTAATGATTCCCTACTTCAAATGTTGTTCAGATAATGGCCCCAGGCTCTTCCATCATCCTTGCTATTTGATTCTGGAAACATTTTATATAGCTAGCCTTGTAAGTCAGGCATCCGTACCAGGCTCAGTCTGACTTGCAGGCAGGTGTTTGAGCTATTAGCTTTCTTCCTCCATCAAGAGTCTATACCTGGGGGCTGGGGCTATAGCTCAGTGGATGAGTGCTTGCCTAGCACATGTGAAGCACTGAGTTCAATCCTCAATAAGATAAATAAATAATAAAGGTACCTGTCCATGTACAACTAAATTTTATATATCTATAGATATATATTTGTAGTGTTTTGATTAACAAAGAAGCTAATGGTCCTGTGGGCTGCGTTTCTTTGATAATCAAAACACTACAAATCTCCAAGCCTCCCCTCCTGGAACCTTTCTTCTGTGAACTACAATTCTGTGCTTTTACAGTTGGTTTTAATGTAATTGGGTTTGTACACTTGAGTACAGAACCCCAACTTCTTTGGCTTTTTTAGTTTTTGTCTTTAAAACTTATTTAGAAAATGAAGAACTCAAAGAAGCCTTCAGCAGGTTCAACTCTAACTCATTTTATAATGATTGGAACTTGGACTAAGCTCTTGACAAGGCTATAATTCAACCAGTATTTTAATCGTCCTTGTTCCTAGTAATAATTCACTCCAGAAATTGAGCTTTCTAGTAGGGCAGGAAAAGTACTACTCCAAATGACATGGAAGGAGGGGATAGCTAAAGAAAATGACTTTGCAGAGATCTGAAATATTTGACAATTGAAGTATGATCTTACCTAAAATATGTGCATAGTGAACGGAAAGTGAGCTGCAGGGACTGCTTGTGCTCTTGCTCAGTGACATTCTTCTACAAAACCAGAAAGTGTACATTCAAAAAAAATCTATCCCATGACATTCCAAAGACCTATAAAAGCATGAAATACCACCACCCACTGGTCCATAGTATGAGGAGAGCAGGGCCTGGACCATATTACAGTAACCACCTAAAACCTGGTCCAGTGCTAAGAAGCAGCAGAACCAACCATCCACACAAAAGATGGCAGGTGACTTTGGTTCCCTGCCAAAGGTAACATCTGTAAGCCTTCCTGTAGAAAAGCCTGATACAAATGTTCAGACAATGGACCTCCAGGGGATATATACTCTTTATCATTGGGAATGCCATCCCCAGAGCAAAAGGCAAAGACAGTGCAATTCTCATGAGCTTTCTGTATTTAATCAGGATCAAAGCTTTTCCTTTGTCTTGTACGTTTACAGTCTATGCTGTCAGTAATAGGAAATAGATAGACCTTCTGGTGGGACTACCAGGCTACTTTGGGGGAATTTTATTTTTTCTTAAATAAATGTACTGAACACTTTCTTCAATATAAGGCACTGACAAGGGATTTCCAGAGAATTTAAGCCCAGGGCCCTGCCTGGCACAGCACAGTGGGGAGCTAAGATAAGGTCACAATAAACATAATTACCTAAAGAAAGAACTATTTAGAATGGTGAAAAGTCAGCAGTGCTATTCAATTCATCAGCATGAGAAGGTAAAAAAACAATCCTCATTGCTGCTGTCTGAAGGGATGGGCAAGGCAAAAGAGACAAGACTGCATTGCTAACAGACACCAATGTCATTCTAGAGATCATATGTTCTCTTTCTACTTATCATGTGAGACGTGTGAGAAAAAAAAAAAAAAATCATTTGCTCAGCCACCTGGTGAATGCTTCCAGCAAAGAAGTGAAACAGATTTTTGTATAGGATACTCCATTTGGTAAAATAATGCTTATAAATACTGAAAGCATCTTTCATTCCTGGTATGAAGTCTGAAAAACATGGAGAAGGGGTCTAGGAGGGAGAAGAAAACCAGCTGAAGATCAAAACTTGGTCATATTTTCTTTACAGATCTATATTGAAATAGTTTGAATAAAATACAACAGGGATTTACCTCAAAATGATACTGGATTGTGGGGAAAAGAGTAGGTGAAGCATTTTATACATGAAATAAAATTAGCCCAAGTTCATCAATGTTGAAGCTAGATGATTAGTACATTTGGGGCTGATAGGAGTTATTGTACTATTTAGTCAACTTTGGTATTCATTTTAAACTTTCCCATAATTGGGAAATAAAAATAAAACAAAATTTTATTGAAGGCAAGTCATAAAGATGGAGACTAAATTGTGACTTTGTGAGATAACACTTGTGAAACACAGATGAAATACTGTCCTTGTCCTTTGATATCTGTGTGTCCCCCACAATTGGGAAATTAAAACTGACAATATATTCAGAGAGAACAAAGATTAATAGATCTCATCCTAATAGACTTCAGGAATGGGAACTGTCCTTTCAGATAATAATTACCATCATGGTGAAGAGATGGTTCCGTCGGGTCTGTCGATCAGGAAAGAAGATGGCAGCTCCATTGAGAAGGGTGTTCCTGACCTCTTGTTTTAATATCTCCATGGGCATGGAATCTCCATCCACCCTATCTACCACTAATAAAAATGAACAATGGAATCAACTTTAATATGTTCCATCTATTCACTTACAATACATACCGCTAAAAACTGGTGAACAAAACTCTCCGTTTTATAGTTAATATCAGAACAAGAATTGCTTTTGTACAGGTTAGGCAGTATAAGAATATTATTTTTTTGTTAACATTTAGCTAAAACAAAGACGATATATGTCAGTTCTTATTTCTCTGTTCTTTTGAGATATAACCTGGAAAAACCTTAAAAATACTGTCAGATTGTCTCGTTTCATCTTCAATTTGTCACTGTAATCTCTTCACCTCAGCCTTGATTGAGGTTAAGACTGAATAGTATGGCTGGGTGTGGTGGTGTATGCCTGTAATCCTGTGGCTTGGGAGGCTGAGGCAGGAGGATCACAAGTTCAAAGCCAGCTTCAGCAATTTAGCCAGGCCATGAACAACTTAGTGAGATACTCTCTTCAAATAAAAAATAAAATGGGCTGGGGATGTGGCTCAGTGGTTAAGCACCTCTGGGTTCAACCCCTGGTACCCACCCCCCCCAAAAAAAGAGCTCAAAACTGAATAATGTAACAGTAATTATGCTCACTGTGATACAGGAGAAAATGGTAGGAAGAGAAGTCAGTTGATAAAGAAATAAATTTGGAACTTGAAATGGTAATTCAAAGAAACCCACCACAGCAATCCCTTTCTGGTTTGCATGAACACAGGAACCTCCCCATGCCAGCAAGAGGCCAGCGCAGGGTTGTATTCAGGGAATTCCCCAAATCCTTACCATCACATAAGTGTATGTAGAGCTCCTTGGCAGCCTCCACTCCCTCAGGGCGCTGGGTTGGAGGCTTTTCTTCCCCAGAGGCAGCCAGTGCCTCTCCCTGCAGCACTGAGAAGCAACTCTGGAGGAGGCGCAGCAGCAAGGTTTGGGCACATATGCACTCTTCCCTTGGGCTGCAGAAGGACAAAAAACATCAGAGAGCAAAAGAGCAAGTTGCCTTCACCCTCCAAAGCCATACAGCGGTCTACAGAGGACTCGCCTCTGGATAATAGGCTTAACAAAAAAGAATGCCAAGCAAGAGGAAGGGCAGAACAGCAAGAATACTGTACTAGGAGTCTGAAACGCAGGCCTCATCTGACGCTGCCCTCCACTGAGAAGGAAATTCATTTCTGATCCTGCCATTTCATCTGTATAATGAGGATGAGTAACTTGGGAACACAATGTTTCAGATTTTGAACTTTTTCTGATCTTGGAATATATGTACACACATGAGATATTTGTTGGTGGGATCCGAGTCTAAACATGAAATACATTAATGTTTCATATACACCTTATACAAATAGTCTGAAGACATCTTCATACAGTATTTTCAGTGTATCTGTAGTTGTTGGTTAATTTTTAGTGTACCCGTGTTTTGACTGCAGTTCATCACGTGAGGTCAGGTATGGAATTTTCTACTTGTGGTACATAAAAAGTTTCAGATTTTTGGAGCATGTTTCAGATTCTCAGATTAGGGATGCTCAACATGTACTACTAAAATATTCGACCTGCTTATCCTAAAAGTTGTGAAGTTAATCAAGTAAGAAAACATCTGTGAAAGCACTTCTTAAAGTATTTCATCAAAATTTAAGGTATTTTTTTTCCAATAATAACCAAATCTTTCAAATCAGAATAATATATACGAGTAGAAAGTTAAAAAAAAAAAAAAAAAAGAACAAACTGTCCATTCAGAATTGCAAAACTCAATGTTTTCACTTTTGTTTGTGATTATCATAACAAATTCTGACCTACTTTTGCTTTAGTTTACTGTAAAAATTCCAGAAGATCTGCAAATCAAGACCCGTAAAGTCCAGAAAAGATTTATATTTTAGGCCACTTTCCTTCTGCTGTACCTAAAAAAATCATAAAGACCAGAAAAAGCAAAATTAAAAAAATGCATTTACAGCAATATTGTAATGCCTTTGTTAACTCATTGTTAAGGAGTGAGGTGGCTTCACATGAGTGAAATTCTCATATAACTGACACTCTTAACTACTAAATGTTTGTCAGGAACTATTTCTGGTATAAAGTTTTCTAAAATATGTATGTGTATGTACAATTTATATATATTGTATAAATTTATATATATTGTACATTCACACATATTTATATATATGTATGTACATACATATATATAAATGTATATATACACATAACCCTCTTAACACACACACCATACACACATCTGCAAAAGTCTCCTAACTTCATAACGCAGCACAGTCTTTACCTGATGGTGATTAATGTTCAGGACCTGTCTGACCCTTTCCTGCACATGGACTGAACTTCTGTTGTAAATCCACCTGCTATTCCTAGGTCTCTCCCTCTAATTTGCTCTTTTCTGTTGCAATATGAGCTCTTAGATGACAGAAACCAAACTAGTCATATATGTACACTGAGTCACCAGCCTCTAACTGTCCTGAGGAAAATGAAAGCCAGGAGCAGACACTGTTGTATACACCCATGAGAGGGCTCCACTGGATTCCTGAGATGAGATGTGTACTCCATGGTAATGTTTATAGTAATCTTCCATTGAATAAATTGTCATTGGGTTTTATTAGTGGCTATAAAAGTTGGTATCAAACCCACAAATGATTTTAAATCCTGACATTTTAGTAAATAAATAAAATTCACCTAAACTTCAATAATAATTATCTTAAGACTTAAAAAAGACATAAGCCTCATGAATTTACTTTACCTTCCTCCCCTGGGCAACCATTGCTGGGGACCCTTTATTTTTTAATTTTATTGTTTTGTAGTGCTGGAGGTGGATCCTAGGGTCTTATGCATACTAAGCAGACATTCTATCACTGAGCTACACACCCAGTCCTATGGCTAGAGAACTTTAAGCAGTGTTTGCAGGTCTATTTGAAGAGAGATCACAACAATGGCCACATGCCACTTAGTCTTTCACTGGCTAATGCCATAAGTGCCCAATATTCCACTTTCCTTGGCCCTTCAATGTCATTACAGAAGCATGATGTCTGTTATACACATTCATACTGCCATGGTATAAGTAGACCCAGGTTTACTGGTTGGTGTTCATTTCTTTTAACACTGTCATTTGTTTTTCCTAAAGAAATGTGGTGTAACAACTAAGGAAAGCCTACCAGGTCATGGGCGAGTTGCTGGATGAACTGAAGAGTCCTGAGGAGCAGGGTGGCCCCACAGACACTCTCTGTGTCCTTTCTGCAGTGGGCACAGAGGATGTTTTGCTCTGCCTCTGCTCTTGCAGGCCGGAGGTACCCACTGATGCTCAAGCCTTGCACTCCCAAGCGCTCTGCCGACTCCTGACGGGTGCAGAGGAACTTCACCATCAAATACTAGAAGGGGAAAAAGAGATTTCAAGAGGACTCAGAATCCCTAAATACAATAAAAGTGGGGAAAAGAGTTTTGTGGGGAGGTTCCAGATTTTAATAATTTATTAGATACCATCATGCCCACTAGTTCGGATACAAAATCTACGTCCAGTATCTATAACAAACAGAAAAACAGATAGTACAAATGCAGAATTAAGTCAGGTTTTGGTAAAGATCATCCTAAGAGAAATAGCCCTCTTCAAGGCAAAAACAGAATAAGAGAAGTATATTTGCCATTTAGTATGGTCACTTAAAAACAAAAATCAGATATGTGATGAAAACACACATGCCTTCAATGCCCTGAGGAACTGTGTCCAAGTCCCCAACTGATACATGCAACTCATGTGCTGGAAGCCCAGGAAACAGTCTTATCTGCTCAAAGCTAGGCTATTTTCAAAGTCCAACTTTTGTATAATCAACCTGCTTCTTAGAGTTTAAGTTATAATCTACTACTTAACTGCATAAATATCTACTGAGCATCTGATTTGTGTAAGTCCTAAAGATAGTTCTGAATTCTCTTACGTGTAAGATTTATGCTTGAGGTTAAAAAAAAAATTAAGCAGCCAGATGGTCATTGCTTCTTTTGCAGCCATGGAAAAACATATCTCTGCATTTATACATAGACTTACTGCTCTCACAGTCTGAGATGCCTACTCTACATATCTTAGCCTGGCTAAAGATGAAGGCTAGTCAATTTCTAAAACTTGGCATCATATCACAATTCCTGGGAAGCCTTCCTGGGTGAATTGCAGGCTGGGTAGAATATTCTGCATCTGGGCTGCAAAAGCACTCTGAATTTCCCTTTATCACAGCCCATATCACATCTCTCTCTTTCACTAGACTAGAAACTCCTTGAGGTCAATCCTTCTCTGAGGTTCAGTGTTGGCACAGGGCTGGTAAACAAGCAGTACAATGTATACAAAATAAAAGCAGGGCAGCAGGCAAACATATGAAGGCCATACTTATGCTTACTTTGGCAACTCTGCACTGCTGCAATTTGACATCTGCTTCATCCCACTCTTCTTCCAGCTCAAACCAGCCAATAGGATCATCCTCTCCCAGGTCATCAGATGAGCAACCAATCCTGTGAACACAAGGGTAATCACAAAACATTTTTCTATTTCTAAACTTCTCTAGTGTTTGTCAAGTGAGGCATCACCTGGTGGCATTTAGCTTGTATAGAAAGCCTGTCAGTGACCAATTAGGGACTGGGTGTGGCACCTGGTACTGTTGGAATACAAAAGGTAGTGATGGTAATTGCCTCTCCATCTCTCAGACTTCTTATCTGTAAATTGGGAACTATGTCAGACTCAAATATAATTTGGGAACTAAGAAGAAAGTGTGCTTCTCTAAATAAATAGCTCATCTAAAGAATGAAACATGAAGTGAGGAGCCTTAATTGAGATTCTTAGGAGGAAGATACAAATAAGGGCAGTCCTAGAAAGAACTAAGGAGAGATTTATTTTCTTCCCTAGGTCTGGTTAATATGTGTATGACCAGCCTAGATGAACACTTTCACACCTTGGAGCTCCGACAAAACAAAATAAAACAAAACACCCCAAAACCCCAGCCTTCATAATCCTCAGAATTCTTTCCTGTTCCTTAAGAAATCCTTCCAGGAAAGCATTCCAGTCTTTAAGCCATAGAAACACAACTGTGAGCCATTTCTTTTTGAAAACTAGGTACTAGTTGTACATGGTGGTATGTGCCTGCAGTTCCAGATACTTAGGAGTCTGAGATGGGAAGATTGCTTGAGCATATAAATTTGAGACCAGCCTGGGTAACACAGTGAGACCCCATCTCAAAAACAAATAAATAAATAAATATTTAAAAAATGCATATCTATTAAAAAACTGCATTTAAAAATATTTTTAATTACAGGTGGACCGAACTTTATTTATTTATTTGTTTGTTTGTTTTTATGTGGTGTTGAGGATCCAACTCAGGGCCTCACATGTGCA